TCTCCTATTTCTGTAACATTGCAAATGATACAATCAAGTTCATGCATCCCGTTTCTTCTAAAATTACTTTTAGAAGTAATTTCTCAGAGTGCTGCTGCAGGGATTGTTCTTGGTTGAATGATTATGAGGTATCTTTTACTTTCATAAATTTTGTTCTAGGAAAAACAACTCTACTAGGCAAGAAAGAATTTCTTTAGGAAAGGACAATAATGTATGAGGGCAAATGAAGCTAACAGAGCTCTCTGGGTAAAGGTGTTTGTCTATTCAGTGTCTTATGTATTAAAATGAGGAGTCGGTAGTTCACTAGTACCAAATACTAATTGCATACAAAATAAGTTGTTTCCTGTATCCATGAAAAGTTGTTTAGCATTAAAAAATAGAATGCAGCATTTATGAGTATGTAATTATATAGAGCATAATAAATTATGTACATCACATACTTGGATGAACAGAGATTTTGCAGAACTACTTGTGCAAAATAATTTGGCCAATGGTTCGTGTGAGCTGTTTCAGCTTACATACTAGTCAGGAACTGCCTTCTGTATCAGCTGCTTTGATAAATAATTGCTTGTAATTCATTATGCTGACTGATTAGTTCACCATTTCCTACAAATCACACACAATAGATTCTGTTCTCCAGTTTTCAAAAACAGCTGTGTGAACCCATACATATATTCACAATATTCAATCATTGACAAATATTTATTTAAACATGCATACTTTGTGCACAGGATTTTTGTCTCAGCTATCTCATAATTTTGCCTTTGGTCTTGGTGAACAAAATTACTGTTACATCCTCTGAAATTGCAGGGATTTTAGCATTGCTTGATCAAAAGCAGAGAAACACCCTTATGCAAGAGACAGCCAGCGGTGAAGTGGAGCTCCTTGGTGAGCTATGTTTTTCCTTTTTAGTTGTTTGCCCAGCTACACTTCACCACCATAGGGCATGCCATGAGGAGAGCCCCAGAGAAGGGGGATGATGGGAGATGTGAGATGTGGGGGACTTGTCTCTGTTGCACAGCATGAGGGCTGCTCTTCAGCACTGGAGGAAGCAGAAAGATGGTAACATGCGTGATGATTACAGGAGGTGCACACTTTGGCAGTACCATGACAGAGAAGTGGAGTCAAAAATGGGTTAATGGAAGAACAGAAGATGTGCGCAGTAGACCCACCTTCATACATAACTAATTAATCCTGCCTTAGAGGTACATCATTCAGGTAAACACTGAGCTACTTAGTTTTTCAACTATGTCCTGAGGACTTTCACATTTCTATCTGAAGCTAAATCATACAATCATACAACCATTTCCTCTCATTTTAACACTTGTCATGTGCGAGAAGAGACAAACCCCCACCTGGCTAAGACCTCTTTTCAGGTAGTTGTAAAGAGCAATAAGGTCTCCCCTCAGCCTCCTTTTCTCCAGACCAAAGAACCACAGCTCCCTCAGCTGCTCCTCATAAGACTTGTGCTCTAGATGCTTCACCAGCTTCATGGCTTATCTTTAGATGCAATGATTATTACAGTAATTTTTCAATCTTAAGCAGAGAAAACAAAAGGAAATCCCACCATATTTGACGAAGAAAGGAATTCAGCTAGTCATATTCTGTGTCAGAACAGACTGTGCATTCAGCACAAACTGCATCTGTGATTTCTGCTTTGCTGGGATGCGATTTTTACCAGTATGTAAAAACTTAGAAATTCATGATATCTATATATTCAGTTTTTTCTCTATGCCTTGAGCCCATGGAAAATGTAAAAATTAAAACAGAAATTTGCACCATTTAAAATACTTTTTTTAACAGATAAAGCAATTAATTTAACTGTAGTGGAGTAACTAAGCTTCACAACATCCTCTGGAGCGCCAAAAACTGCTGCTGGGTGACCCAAATGCAAAATTTGGAAAAGGGAAGCTTAGACACTGGACATAAGACACCAGCTGAACCTCATCCCATGGGAACTGGCAGAGCTCAGTGGACCTGCAGATGTGCAGCTGCTCATTGCAGAAGTATCATCAGGTTTACTAATCTTTCTAGATTGCTGCCTTAGCTCAAGTCTAGTGGAAATTGGGATTCTGGTCACTTCTGTATCCAAAAAGTTTTCAGATTTTGAGGGATTTTCTTCTTAATATGGGAAAATAGCCATGAATGTTAAGGTGACTCCCTCATTCATTATTAACACATTTTGCAGAAAGTGTAATGTCCAATTCACTCAGCAATAATGAGAAATAAAGAAAATTTGTTCAGGCATTTCACTGTCCTAATGTGTGTGCGCGTATGTGATTCATGATTCAGATTTTAGGTGGTTTGAATCACCTTCTGTAACGACTGTGTTCTGTGTCTCCATCGACCACAGAGAGAAATTTTGGGGATCAGATTCTATCTTAGGCAATTCATTTGGATAGAACAAAACGTACAGAAAGCTTACTCTTCTGCTCAAGGTGGCATTTCCCATGGGCAGAGCAGTCATCCTCCCCCCCCGCCACAGTGAAACAGCCCAGCTCTGCACCAGCAGACACCTGCTGCCTCTCCAGGTGGCCCTGCTGCCACAGGTATGTACCGGCTCCTCTCCTCCAGATCACCCCCAGCAGGTCCAGGAATTGCCCTCCCTCCTCTTTGCTGAAGGAAGTGCTGGAAGACCAATTTTCATCCTGGGTGGCATGTGGCAATTAATTAACACGGTTTTCTGACTTGTCGGAATATTCCACATCTATGTAGGTAATGTATACTGAAAAAGGAGAATGATATGTCAAACACACCCCCTTTATAATATCAAATTAAACAGCCATATGATGATGTAATAGGACCGCTTAAATACTAGATGTGTACTTATAAGGGTGTTCTAGAAGTATACAGACATTTATAGGGCTATGTGGTTAAACAGGTCACTTATTTCCCTACTATTCTTTTTTTTCTTTTTCCAAAAATCTAAGCATACGCATGCTAAATTACATGAACTCTGCAGTGACAGAAAGTCACCAAACTCTGGAAAAAGACAAATGTGTGTTACATATCCTTTTTCCCTGTTGTTTGCATTCATTTTTATTCCAGAAAAGTAGAAATGAGTGCAGGATATATACTGTGTAGTAAAGCACCCTGAAGGCATTTATACAAACCCATCCCCTTACTGTTCATTGCACTGAACAAATGGAAAGATGAGATTTCTCAACGAATGCAAAACAAGAGGCAGAAACATAATCTCATCTTTTCTCAGCAAGCAGGCAAATCTCTTGCACCATTCTCTAGCGCTGGAATTAATCAGCTACTGAATAATACGTTCAGACTGCTTGGTGAGATGATTCTGAGTTAGAAAGTCCTTAAGAAGCCACTCTGCAAGCGGGTGAAGGGAAGAGAAGGCGATATGGGGCATGCTGTACACCAGTTCAAGGCTCTATTTTGGAAGAATTGGCTCTGCCGTGTGAGGCAACCGGTGAGTTTTTGGAAACGATAAAGAAAGGAATATTTTAAGTCTCCTTTTAGTATCTGTTGGAAAGAGTGTTTCTATCTACCTTAATTTTCCCTTTTCACAGCAGATTGGTAGCGACAGGCTGACTGCCTTGTTTTGCCTTTGGTCTCCTAATTGTTGAAAACCCAAGTAGAGAACAACAGTGTGTTTTAACTCTAAAATGGCTGAACACATCAATGCTCCCAAATTTGCAAATGAGATAGGAAATCTCATAAAACTTTTGAAGAGCCACAGCTTATCTTTTAATTATCATTAGATGCTACCAGTGTTTCTAGCAGTGGGGAGGATGAACATGAATTTCCTTCACATTACAGGTACTCATTGATAATGTAAGAAAGCTTGCACAATTGAGATAAAAATCTAGCTATGAGGAATGCAAGGACTGTATATTAAAATTGCATATACTTCTAAATATCCTTTCTTGTCCACCCTACAAAGCCTAATTTAAGCTTTCAAATTCCAACACGCAGAAGAATGTGGCAGCTACTTCAACAGCAGTCAAAGTTAAAATAATACTCAAACATGAGATGAGATGTCATTGTTTGCTTTTACTATAATTTTTTAAATTTAAGATAAAAGGAAAATAATTCTCTCAAGTGAGATAGCATATTTTTGGTAAAATGTGTCACTGCAATTAATAGTTTCTCATTGATTTCCCTTGTCTCTGGTGATGTGGGGATTTGCAATGAGGGATGCTGGCTGCTTCGGATAAGATTATCTCATTTAAATAAACAGACAGATTTTCATTTCAGAAATATTTCACTTAAATAAAGTTGTGATTTAGAGAATTTCTTCTCCAAATGATTTCAAGTGATGTTTTTTAATGTGAAAGGTATTTTTGAGGGAGGGATACTGTTGGTTATATTCTTCTTCATTCCTAAACACTTCTGTAACAAGGAACTCCCTGTTCCTTGTGCTTCAATCGGTGTGCATTAAGTGGCCTCTAAGTATCTCCTGTTCTCCTCCATGCTGATCTATTTCTCTCCTTGCTCTGTCTAGTTTCCCCTCATGTCTATTTTTGAAGGACAAAATCTTAACTCATTTAAGTTTGCCTTATTGGTACCTTTCGTGAACAGAGAGCTCACTGAGACGCAGACTCCCCCTAACCAGGAAATACAATAAAGGATCCAAAGCAAACTTAATTCTGACTGTCCAGAGCCAGGAGCTGCCCTGGGTAATTTGCAAAACCTCCATATATGCTCATTTTCTGAGCACTGAGCCATGAAGGTGCTCCATTTGCAATTACCCAAGGAGAAATTCAGGTGTATCCATTGCCTACCTATACAAAGGGCCTCTGAATCTGAAGAGATATGACCTCGCTGAAAGATCTGGTGTGCTTCGGCTCTGTATTGTGTTGATCTGTCTGCAGAAGGTGATTGTCTTCTCATGGTTATTTACCAGCAGTTAGGGCTAGAAGACAAGTGTGGTCTGTGGCACTAATGATGTATCAGAACTGTCATGTGGTATTAATTGATATCACATGGTGAAGGGTAAAGGAGCTGTGACAGACATAAATGTTCTGTAAAGAGTAGGTGTTTTGATTGAAATTCAGGCAGGCATCAGCATCTCTTACTAACATGATTCAAAATCAGCACAGGATAACGTGTGTGTTTAGACAACAGTTGAAGTTTGAAATTGCCACTGCATAGAAGATACCTTCTCATTCTGAGTTTTTGGAAGCTTTTGCTTCTGAACTACAGATTATGGAAGCTCAGGAGATAGGTACACACTACCAGGCAACTGTATTACTTAAGTTTTCTGTCACTGCATTTCTTAACTATTGTTTATGTAGTATTTATTACTATCCAAATTTGCAGATAGGTAAAGTACAAAATGTGATTCCCAAATTCCCTTGTCCTGATACTCCAATTTAAAGGAGAACTGGGGTTATAATCAAGTTGTGAATTGCTTGGACTATGTAGTTGCTAATACGACTATTAGGAGAAAACAGAAACATAGCCTATCCCAAAGCTATGCCTTTTTTAAAAAAAACTTGTTATTATTAATTATTTTCATTTTGGATTAATGTTAAGCATGAGAGAAAATGCTGGTATGATTCTTGCTCTTCATCTGCCCCTACAATGAGTGTCATCTTTTCCCTGCTTCTGTCCTTAACAGTTCACACTCCTTCCTTCCAAAGACATAAACAGCCCTAAAATTTGCTTACTTTAGAGTGCCCTCTGTTTTGCACATGTATGTTTTTGCATCAGTGCAAAAAAATAAAAATAAAATAACATAGCAGTGAGTGGTTACAAAGTTGACTGCCTTTATCAGCCAGGTCCTAATGCTCCGCTGCCAGATTCACCATTCTTCCCAGGTGCAACTCACCAGAGCTGGCACGAGCAATCAGACTCCAGTTCCCCTCCGTGCCTTTGCAAAGCAGCTGCAGAGGGGCTGCCATCTTTCAAAATCCCTTTCTTTGGAGCTTCTTCTGTTGCTGTCTTTCCTATTTTACCATGAATATGCCTTGTACAGCAGCATTACTTCCCACCTTTACCGGGAATAACTTGCTCAGTAAGATCAATTTTGCTTTCTTAATGTCTGCAACACACTGATGGTTCATTGAGTCCTCCGATCTATTTCCACTTCAGTCTAACCTGTTGTTGCCTCTGCAACTGCCTTCTCAGTTCTTCTACTTATCCCAAATTCCCCTCTAATCACAGGCTCTGCTGGAAGCCAGCTGAGTTGGGTTTGCTTTATTCGTCTAAAAAAAAATCACGAGTTTACCAAAGAGCAGGACAGCTAAAGGCTCTTTCGGAAGTTAGAAAAAAACCACCAACTGTTTCAGACTGCAAGCATCAGCTGCATGGTTGCTGCTGTTGCATTGCTGCGGTTGCTACCCATGCCATGGTTGAGATGGTAATAAGGACAGCTGGCACAGTTTATGGCAATGTGGACAATGGGATTATTTCTTAATATTCCTAGGTTCTCTGCAATTGCTATTATCAACATCCATGGTACTCTAATAAAGAAAAGCATAAGCATATTAGACTGAGAAGTCTACCTCTGATAGCCATTAATCTATACTGAAATTTTGGAGATAAATGGAAAAGGAAGAAACTATGTTTTCCAAAAAACTTCTAAACAACAGAAGTTATTCTAATAGGCCTACGCTTGCTTGACTGCCTGTTTTTCTCCAGTTGAGAAATTGATATATTTATTAAACCATGAATTTTATAGATTCCCCAAAATCATTGCTCTTTACCCTATTCTTTAGGTGTAATGAGGTTTCTCAGGTGAATGACAACAACCAAAGAGAATGCAGCCCGGAATAAGAGTAACAATTGTTTACAGCTCTTATTTGATTAGATGATCAAGGGATTGGAGCATCTCTTTTGTGAGGAAAGGCTGAGACACCTGGGTCTGTTTAGCCCGGAGAGAAGACGACTGAGAGGGGATCTCATCAATGCCTATAAATATCTAAAGGGTGGGGGTCAAGAGGATGGGATCAGGCTCTTAGTGGTCCCTGGTTACAGGACAAGGGGCAATGGACCACAGAAGTTCTGTCTGCACACATGGAAAAACTTCTTTACTTTGAGGGTGGCAGAGCACTGGGACAGGCTGCCACAGAGGTTGTGGAGTCTCCTTCTCTGGAGATATTCAAAACCTGTCTGGATATATTCCTGTCTAGCCTGCTTGAGGTGACCCTGCTTTGGCAAGGGGTTTAGACTAGATGATCTCCAAAGGTTCCTTCCAACCCTTACAATTCTGTGATTCTGACTTTCTACCCCAGTCCAATGCTAGTGTCATTGTGCAATGATCATGTTGATCCCCAGGTTTGTTACTACAAAAAAAAAAGATAATTTGCCCATTTAAAAAAAAATGCTGCTGTTGTATTTTTGCATTTTAAGAATCTTTGCCTTATTTGTCCCAGATTTGGAATAATAACCCTTCCACACATGCCAGATTTTTGGATATTCTGACTAAGTGAATTAATTTTGGAAGATCTTAAACCAGAAGACAGTCCTCAACTGTTCTGTAGCTGGCGTATCCTACTATGTTACAGCCTATGTGACTTTTCTAGCCAGCATTTATTCTCTTGTATTTCTAGCCAGATGACACTCAGTTAAACCGATAAATGGCTTATTTCTTCTCCTTTGTCTGCTTTGAGTTCTACATACCACCTGATAATCCAGCAGCAATTCTAAGTGGGTCAAACTCCTAAAGTTCAAAAAATTTCTAAAACGTAGTTGCAGGCAAAAAAGCCCAGGAACAGGTCAAGTAAGTTTGGTAGGTGACAACCAGTGACTTGTTTTAGCCATGAGCTCAGTCCTGTGCTTTCAGCTGTAGAGCTGCCTGGAATTAGCTGTGGTGGCTCCTCACCATGGTTTTATTTACATAAATACGTGTTCTGTCCTCGTTGTTGTACTGAAGAAGCAAAAAGCTGGCATTGTTATTTTAGTGCCTGGGGGGTCACAGGTATGATTCAGGATATTGTGCAAGGGACTTGAAAGCTATTGAGCCAACCGCACTTTCAATTTGTTTGCTTATGCTTGATCTGCTTGCAAGAGGTAAAGGAATCCCCTAGTAAAAGTCCAGTTCAGTAGAGCAGATAGAGAACAGAACAGAACGCTTGAAATCAGAAGAATTTGGTTAGTCCACAAGTTCCCCGGAGATGGTCTCCATGCTGCAGAATCCCAAAGGGCTTCTCCAGATTAGATAAAGATGAGTAGGAGGCAAAGAAGAGCAAACGATAAATAGCTCTATCCTATGTTGAGGGCATTCTCAAGTGAATACCTAAATACACCTACACTTCTGCCCACAGGTGTCAGCATTTGAAGCCACTGATAGGTCTTAATGGCCCTGAACAGCTTCACTGGGGCCACCACGCACACACTGAGCCCTGCCCCTATTTAAACTCAGTAGGAGGAGTAGTCTCTGGCTTAGTTAGACCTTACAATAGTCTCTCCTGGTGATTGTGGGTCTGCCTCTGATCCTAGATAAGAGGTATGGGTAAGGAGCAGATGCTGTTGCCAGTGCCCTGGGGGCACTGCTAAGCCTTAATGGCCCTGACCAGCTCCACCTGGGCCCAGGCCTTAGCCTAAATGGGGCTTTTGAGCCCTCAGCTCCTGCCTGCAGGAGCACAACTCTCCAGCTCAGCTCTTGAGCACAGCTGCTGTCTTTCTGGCTCGACCGTGGTCCTGACTCATCATTGTGACTTTGCCTGGAGGATCTGGACCCCTGGTTGAAGCTGTTTGTGATGGCTAGGATTGCCCTCCCCTGCTCACCTTATGGAGTCCCGTGGGAGGTGTTGCCATGCATGGCTCCCCATGCCTTAGGGAGTAGCCAGCCCTCGCTGCTCCGTACAAATTTGAAAGCAGCAGGCCTTGCTTCTTTTTTTTTTTTTTTTTTTTTTTTTGTTGGCTCTTACTGGGTTTGGAGTGTGTTCAGTTTAGATAAATGGCAATTTCCCTAATTTTCAGGAAGCCTTTAGTTCCTTGCGTCATGTTCAGCAGAGCAAGCCCTTTCCTCAGGGAAAAATCTGCCATTAGATTTTGTTCTTAAGCATTATACTACTCTTTCAGATATTTTTCTAACCTACGCAAGTTTAGGAATCACTTCCCCAGTGGGATTTGATTCAGTTGGACAGTTTAGAAATAAAAATTCCCAGTATGCTTCAGAGAAGTTAATAGCCACTAATGGGAGATCTTTAGTGTGATTCTTCGTAAATTTCTACTACATGTCTGTTGCTGAATTCAATATTCACACTTTCCTATCACTTTTGTCAGTGAATCTAGAAGTCTTTCGAAAGTTGGCTGAGTAACAGTTTCTTTGTTTTTGCAGCTGAAAATCGAGATGGTTGGTTTTGTTTGTTGTTGCTTGTTTCAGATTGTGATGTTTTTTGTTTGGGTTTGTTTTTTTTTTTTTGTTTCCAAGCAATCCTTTTGGGGCTTTGCATCCTCTCTGCAGAATGGCAAGCACATAGTGTGTACGTGCAATTTGCCCGGAGGAGACCAACTCAAAATCTGTGAGCCCCACAGCCTGGGGGCCTTTTCCTCGCAGCCCTGGAAATAGGAAGGCAGGGAAGCAAGAAGCGTGGCGGTGGGCAGCCTCAGGCCCATTAGCTTGGTCTCACAAGCTGATGGAGGTGACAAAGGCAGCTTTTGGAGAGAGGTGACTGCAGGGGAATGAAAGGGTGTGAATGGCAGCGGTCAGGTAGCCAGGGAAGAACAAGGAGGTAGGCCTCCAGGACAGCAGGCTTCAGGAGGGCATGAGGAGTTGCAGCAAGGTGCAGAATGCTGCTGGCTTTTTAGAAGGCTCCGGTAGAGGAGATCTGAATGTCACTGGCATCGCATTGTCAGAGTCACTGTGTTGGCCAGAGGGAAACACCGACAAACACTATAAACAGAAGTGAAAATTGCTTTTGTACTCTGAAAGTAGTGTATTTGGAAAAGTTATAAGGGTTTTAAATGCAAGTCTTAATTGCTAATTTTATTTTAATGATGTTATTTTCCCTTAAGTAGTTGTAGAGGGGATATTGAATGGTTTTTATTAAAGGATATATGAATTTTAATTTTTTGTTCCCAAATCCTGTTTACTACAGTACTGATGGAGTTTTGCTTTTCTTTTTCAGGTCTTGTCTCTCACTGAAATACTCTGGCCATGTGTGCTTTTTTTGATTCTGGCTGCAATCCGCTTCCAGGAGCCCCCTAAATATAAGGAAAACTGTATGTTTTGTTTGTTCTGTGTTCTATTTTGGGCACCACTGCTTGTAGAAGTATTTAGGAAATAGCAAAGATATCCTAGAATGGGGGACCTAAATATTGTGCAGTCAATGGAAAGAATCCTACAGGAGGATTCAGTCTTGTCTAGCTGTGGATCTGAGCAAGCCATAGCTAGGTGGGTGTCCTGGTTTGGGATACAGCAGAGCCAACTTTTATACATCAGGTACAGTTCCTGAGGAATGAAGGATGGTTTACTAACAGTGCAGTTTCTAATGGTACATCTCAAAAAAAGAGCACCTGAATTTCAATAAAATTAGGATTTTTAAGTATAATGTACATGTAATAAATGCCCCATTTCTGCATCTTTCAATTCTGAGTATTCACTAAAAGTACTAGCCCAAATGTTAGCTTTTTTATCTCCTTCTCATTTTATTCTCTTAATTTTGATGTAATGGTTGCTAAAAGAAGGTTATCCAGAGGAAAAGGGAAATCATCTTTCAATTATTTCTCAATTTTAGCTGATTTAAACAGAGAAATTAAATTAAATATGAACCCTATAGCTATTTCTTATACTTCAAAATAAGCAAAAAGTTGCTTTATACTTTGAAATTTAAAAAGCCACAGAAGGTAACACAATGTGATGGTACAGGTTTGTGGTTGCAATGTTTCTGTTTTTAATTCTGCCACTGTGTGGTTTTAGGTTACTTAGAAGCTCGGGATTTACCAAGTCGGGGCCTTTATCCTTTCATGCGGACCCTTTTCTGTAATGTTGGTTCAAGATGCAAGAATACTAGTTACACAAGACAGAAAACCAACCGCTTACAGTAAGTTACATGAATTTGACAGAGTTGTCAGTATCACAGTGCATCTTTTTCTACAGCAAAGGTTCTTACTGTCTTGTTGGCAGGTAGAACAGGAGCTTTGTTATTATGTGTTAAAAGTTGCCTTCAGTGTCCTTATGAATGCAAAAGATGTAGGGCTTTTGTCATGCCTCTTTCTAATTTTTGTTTGCCTTGCTTGGGCATTTCATGCTGTTTATTAGATACTGAAAACTGTTTGGGGGGGGAAACTGGAGAGGTACCTTGTGATACTCTTGCCCTTGCCTACTGCCATGAAAGAGCATCCTTTTATCCTTTACTAGAAAGTCTTTTATTACGTGAGGGTGAGACTGAGCAACAAAAAGCGTATCACATATAGATTTAAACTTTGAATAGTTCGGGACCATACATAATAGGAGAAAAAGAAAAGCAAAACAAGAATAACTTGAGTCAAACTGACAAAGGGCCAAAAAGGACTAGCAGCTCTGTAACAAAAAGAACTTGAAGTAGTCTGTAAGAAAGCCTTATGACAAGATCCTGGAATGTAGAAAGAAAAAAGAGGAACTTGGATTTGGGCTTTTCCTTTAAGAAATGTGATAATTTCATCTACTTCAAAATACTGAAAAGTATTGAGATGCAAGACACTTATGCAAATTGGCTGAAGGGTGCAGACAATAAAGTTAAGGCAAGGTTATCAAAATTTATGTGTGTATATATGTATGTTTATTCTTAGAAAATTGAGAATATCAACCTAAAAAGATCTTAGAGGTTTGAGCCCGGTAAGTATGTAAGAGCATCAAGTTTTTATGGTTTATTATTGTAGAATTTTATAGATAGCAGTATCAACATGCAGCAAGTTGGAAAGCTTCAGTTTCACAGTAATAGGCCATAATACTTGCCGTTTGATCTAGACAGTCTGTTCGTATTTGTAAATGTAGAGAGGAGTTGATTGAGCATAAGACCCTGCAAAAAAAATATTGTTTATGGGCAAACACCTTCTACATAAAGTAATAAATTGTTAGGCAAATCTTAACAGTTTAAGCCACAAATCATTATTAGTCCATATCTAGTATTACACAAAATACTTATATACAGAAATAACAGCATTACAGTAATATCCCTAAAAAAAAATTATGTCAATAATAATAATACAGTTAAAATTGTTACACAACCTCTTAGTTTCTATTCCTTTCCCTGGGGTTATGCTTATCTTTCCACTGCTGCACTGGATCATAAGGCCAGTGGCTGCAGTCTGGTGGTAGTGGGGTTATTATGCCAAATCATGATCTGGAGGAATGTGCTTTTGATCCCTTCTTTTTCATTCTGGGGTGCACTTGGGGTTACTTACATTTGCTAATGCTTTTATACCTTGCTTTTTCTCCCCTGGTCTGCATCTCTGTGATACATCTGAATTTATATGATATTTTTTACATATGTTAGGTACCTGTTCTTTTTTCTTGATACTTATAAATTAGTTTTGTCACTGACAACTGGTGAGTTGTTTATAGCTATGGGGTCCTCAGTGCCAGCCTGTGGCACCCATCTCCTATCATCCTGGACCTGTACTCTGACACAGTCCATCCTGTGTCCCCACTTCTCAAGGCCTCTACTATTATACTGGACCTGTGTTCCTCTGCGCTGCTTTGCTATGTTAATCATAAATATCTCATTTTGCACTGAAAGATTGTTTATTACTACTATCTGTATAAAACTATGGTGGTATTATACAATGACAAGTGAAAGTAAAGCAAATGGCCATAGCCATCTGGCCAGTGGGGGAAAAAAAAAAGTTAAAACTAGACCAAGTCAAAAACAAACTGCAGGCACGTTAAAGCAAGATCAGACAAAGCAAAGGTGTCAAGCCTCTGTGCTGTGGTCTTACAAACTCAGTACAAAGCTTGTAGCCTGTTACTTGCAGTGGCAATGACATATTACTAGGTTGAGGTACAATAGCTGTTGGCTTTTTTGAAAGATTTTTTTCCTAAAAGGATACGTTTTATTTATATCACTAGTCCAGATGCCATCTAAGTGTTTTAAACCTCTAGAAACTGTGAACTATATTGACTGCCCTGCATAATTATTTACACTGCTTTGACTGAACTGCCCAAATTATGTTTCAGCTGGAAAGAAGAGCAGGAAAGAATTTCCTGGAGGCAGTCTTAGACCTACTTAAGAATTGGTGAAATTATTCAGTGGCTTTCAATTTTTCAACTGAAAAATAAAATGCATGTATGCATATTTATACACTCAGTAGGCTACACTGAGTAGCATATAGCCTAGGTAAGGAAAAGGGGTAAAAAGGTAGGATGAAGTTCATTCTGAGGTCAGTCTATTCCAGCAGGTCCATCAGTATAAATTAAATCAACCTCAGGGCTGCTCTGACTTATGCTGGCTGCCAACAGCCCTAGGAATACAGACTGTCAGCCTGATCAGCCAAACATGACTAAATCCTGCAATGCCCCTCTGTTGACTGGAGAGAAGGGGTGGCATAGGAACAGTAATACCAATTATTGAGGATTTATATCAAACCACAGGTAGTCCTTTATAATCATTTCCAGGGACATTTTTGCATCAACAATGTTGATTTTTAAGGGTAAATCAAAGACTGTGCATAGTTTGCATGGATGCGTAACCCATTTGTTTTCACCACCGTACCACATGGGTGCTATCAGTTTGAAATATAGTTGTTGCCTTTTGGAAAAAGTAATTCTATGAGTTCTGTTGGAACCTCCACTATGAAAGCCATAAACCACCCAAATAACTATTTATCAGTGAGCAGCCTGAGCAGGGCTGCTCCACGATGGGGGTTTAGCCAGGGATTGAAGTCATCCTAGTGCAGGCCATGCCCTCACAGATGTGACACTGTCTCTCCAGGCAACAGGCTCCATTAACAGCTTCCAACACGGCAAGAAGATGAGCCAGGTGAAGGCTACAACTACTTCATTAACTTTCATTTGCAGAAAAATCTGCCGCTTCCTCTGATGCCTCAGAAAGCATCCATTTTTCAACACCTCAGAGGCTTTGTTCCTTGCTTCTCTCTTCAGCCATGGAAAAAGCTGCTGGCTTGCAGCTCTTTGATGTGATTCTCTAGCCTGTTACACCCAGCAGTATCTCAGAGCAGAGTAAGGAAATATTTAGAAGGTATATTTAGGAGCTCCCATGACAAAGGACATTTTTCCCTTCTCTTTCCAGAATGTTCCATCCCCACCTCATCTTAACGGATCATGGAGTAAAACTGAGAGCATGCAAATAAGATAAAAACCACACAGAACAATGTCTTACGGCCTTACACCCACACCCAAAAATGAGAATGCATGTGCATGGAACAAAGCATTCCCAGTACTCTTAATTCCACTGCAAATCTTGCAGATTGTGGTGGGATTTGCCCTTGCAACTCAGACTCCTATACCTGTTTGTTACATGTCCCAATATCTAAAACAAAACTAAGCTTAAGTTTTCTCAGAGTTAGAACTACAAAGATCACCGAAATAAGACTCTAAAATGCTATTTCTAAGCACATTAGCTTGTTTGTCTTTACTTAGTAACAAGTAGTAGTAGCCTGAGCAGCCACACCCTGTAGCCCTAAGTCTGTCCCTGGCATCTTCTCCTAGATGGACCCTTTGGTCTCACGTAGTAGCTTTGTCTCCTTTGGCACCTGACTGCACTCCTGTGCTTATTCTGCTGTGTTGGGGCTGATGCTGGAGCCTGTGACCCCCCCCATCTCTGCCCGCTGGCTAGGATCCTGGGGGATAGTGCCCCATCAGTGAGGGCATGGCCTCTTTCAGGGTCACATCAGCTGCTAGCTTGGCCCCGGTCCTGGAGCAGCTCCACTCATGCTGGTCACTTTCTTCTTACTGATTTTACTGTTACCTGGGCCTCTGTGGGTCTCTAGTGGAGTGGTGTCAGAAAAGCTCGTGTATGAGAGCAGGTGTGGAAAAACAAAATGAAGGTCCGAGTGACAATGATAGCACTTGCATAAAAATTGCTTAGAGGGTCAAATATTTATTTAATGATGTGTATCTTCAAATGAAGAAAAGAAGTAATTCTGCAAGATAGCTGTATGCTGCAGGAGCTTATTGGAACAGTTACCCTATGTGGTCTGGACCAGCTTTTCTTCATTGGAAACCAGAAACCTAAGCAATTTTTGTGATCTTGCTTATAGATTGTCAGTTGGGGAGAAAAGGAATTTTAAACATAAGTTTTCTCCAATTTATAACCAACTAACAACAACAATTTTTTGGTTCTTTATATTTTTTAGTCTATTGCATTCTAGAAGGATTATAATAGTACACAACATGGAGGGGAAAGATCTTTCCTTTCTGTGGCAGACGGGAAGTAAGCTATTGTCCAGCATGTATATTGGTGTTGATGGAGATGTCATGTCTCCAGGCTGTACTGAGATGGTGTAGAACAGGAGCCAGCACAGCTGGGGCTTTGCAATTTTAGAGACAAATTTTTAATGTGGTGACAGGGGTGAGGTTGAGACAAGAGTTTGCTGAGAGGTTTATGAAAATCACCAGTCTAAATGGCATTGGACATCATAGCTGAGATCTCAGATGAGCTCTGAAATGTTCTTACTATCATTCTAAGTAACTGGGTAATTTGGACAGAATTAGCATTTCTGAGTCATGACTAGGGAATGGCAATGGCTTTTACATGCCCACAGAGATGCAGTCTTTTTCCTCTTTTATGGTGTTTTGTCAAGGTCAAAGCTTGTATGAATGTGTGTCTTTAGTTTGATTTCAGTCCTTATGCAACAATTAAGGAAGAGTTACCATGGATGATAATGAAATGATATACGTATACACAACTTTTCCTAACATCCCAGTTCTAATTATGTATGCCCACTCCTACAAATTACTGTCTTCCTCCTTTTGTCCTTTTTGTCATCCCTTGCTTCTCCTCTTTATTGTTCCTAGCAACTGATGCTGTTGACTTCCTTTACACATACACAAGTAAGTTAATGTCATCTTCTGCCCCAGAAAGCAGACATTGAAGGATCTTTGAGAGAGTAGCAGTAGAACAATTAAGCATTTTTACTGGCACGCTGTCTGAAAATTGCTTGTGTTGTCTGTCCCTGTAGCTGGTTTTGAAGTCTAATTTCTTACCTTTTTGGCAAGATGGTGACATTTTCCTGCAATTTTGTGTAACTAGTGCTGAATTAAGAAACCAGCGGTATCTCATAGCATTCTTATTAGGAGATAAATAGGGTCCCATATTACTATATTGAAAATACATAAAATCCTTTAGAACTTAGCATAGATGTTCAGAAAATGAAAGCTCTGTAATATTTTAGTATTTCATAAAGCTCAGCCTGATAACTAATATGCCATTTGCCATTTCCTTTTCCAAAGGAGGTTGCACTTGTCTTCAAGAGCAGCCAGAGGAAGGGCTGTGGCAATGAAGGTGTCGAAAGTTTCCAATGTGGGGCTCAACTGTGGCTCGAACAGAGCTCTGATAGATTTACCTCAAACTGGGACAGATGGCAAAGAGAGGCACGAGTGGCAGCTGGCTGATATCGCCCCTGCCCTGGAAATCCCCCTAAAGTTAATAGCTCAGAAACAGCACGTCCAAACGGCTGCTCTCATCCTGCTGAGGGGCTTGTGCTTGGGAGTGTGGTGTTTCTTTGAGGTTTTCTGGTTGCACTTGCTGCCTTCTCTTCTGTAATAGCTGGGCCTTATGCCTTTTTTTGGTCCTTCTTCCATACCCTAAATATCTACCCCCCTCTACTGTTTCCCAGTTCCCCCTCCAGTTTCACCATCAACTTGATTTTCCCTGCAATTGTCCTAGAGCTCTTCAGAGCCACCACACCCTGAATGCCGCCAGCTATTTTCTTTATTATATGAAAAATCCAGTGGAAACTGAGCTAGAGTGTTTTGGTTTTTTTTTGTTGTTTTTTTTTTTTTTTTAAAGTTCTTACTGGATTTGTGTTTTAACCAATGTAGTTGTTACTATGCTGGTCAAGCACTGGCCACTCGTTCATGCTCAGAATGCACAGTGCTAGAAAGTTTTCAGTATGTATTTAGCGTTCCTGTTCTTCTTTGCCAAACTCCAGTGTTTCTAGCTGTCTGGAATTTCAGGCAGTAGGTGTGTTAGTAATATTGGAATTTATGTGGTGGTTTTCAAAAGCAGTAGCTGAAGTGCGGCTATTAATCACCCTAAAAACTGCCCTCTGAACAACAGAAACCTGCTTTTAAAAACTCCATTTAAAAGGGGGGTGGGATGGGTGTGGGGAGGAAAGTGGTGAGGAATTGTTCAGTCTTTAATCCACTGAAATTTGAGGCTGGTGAAAGAGTTTTGCAAAATCCTACTGGCTGTTGGCCAATTTGGGATCAAAATAAGCTGCACTGAAGCAATCAAGAACTTGGTTGTTTTAAGATTAAATGTTCTTCTCATCCTTTGGTCTAAAGTTGCACACAGCTCTGTGGGTGTATGAACAAATGAGGATCAGGGAGGGTAAGAGAAATGAGAGAATCAGAAAGCAGTGGCTGGTGGTTTTTGCTTCTGTTTGTGAATCTGTCTCATTAGGTTTTTCTTCACCAATAAGCAAGAATTGTGCTGAAAGCTAGTATTCACATACAAGTTTGACATGAAAGGAATGTAACTCTCTATTTATGTTTTTGTAAGTGGGGCTTATTTTACAGTTAATTATGCTTCTAATGAAAAAATAGCAATATTTTTGCTAAACAGGCTTTCACTTTAAGAAAACTTGAACTTCCTATAACATAAAACAGAATTCAACTGCGTAGTAAAAGATTATTATTCCCTTGTTTATGATGACTTGGGATAGTGTCGAGTTATTTTGTCCTGTATAGAGATGTTTAAATTACTCTGATTTCACCTTGAAAGTATTGCTAGAAAATTGTTGTGCTCTTGAGTAGCCACCAGGTGGTAGTATGACAGACATAATAGAGAGAACGTGTACCAGGGGTTTAGCTGTAAACTAAAATCAGGGGAAAGCCAGTAATGATAATAACAAACTATAAAAATAGTATCCTATATGTATTTGAAAAAACAAGCTGTTGTATCCCAAATGCAAACTGTATAGGTTTTTCTAACAACAGGTGCTTCTGGCGTGTGAGCCTGCATAATGCAAAAAATACGTAGCCAGAGACATCATTCTTCTCGCTTTTCAAGTAGAAGGGCACCTGCAGGAGTTCATCTTTTGGAATTGGCATACGTTTGTTAGTGTGGATGCTTTTTTGTTAATGTGGTGGAATTGTTATAATCCTTCTGTTGCTTAGTGAGTTAACTACAGAGGAAGCACCAACTTTATTCATGGCCCAGAAAAAGAGACTTACCATATTTCATCTGGTGATACTGACCGGCTTACCTGTCCTGGTTGCAGCGTGTTGCCCTAGATGCAATACGAAGGCCTGAGCTTCGGTGTATGTGCCATCACTGAACCATCACCTGTACTCACAATAAACGGGGGGAGGAAAGTTGAGTGTCCAGAAATATCTAAGACTTCTTTGGACGTGGCTGGCTGCTGCCAGAATTGGGTTACTGGCATAGGTGAGCTGCTCCAGCTCAGTCATTTTTCATTGCCCTCTTTCCTGAGGTTTTGAGACTCAGTGATGCAACTTGCACGATAATGAACTGAACTACATAAAAATTGTATAAATGCAAATAGTTTTTAAAAAAAATAAATAATCAGAATAGTGCTGTGAGTACATAAACATCTTTTGAGCTACTTGCTTCCAGTTTATAATTACCTCCTTTGTCCCCTTTCTTTCTGTGAAAAAGCAATTCAGGCATCCAAGCTGGTACAGAGAGCTTCACAGGACCTGATCTAGGCTTCATGAAAGAGGTAGAAGAACTTGCAAAGGGATTTATTGAGACCACAGAGAAAACTATGGCTTTAGAAAAGCTATGGGAGGAAAACTCAAAGTTCTCAGGTAAGCTCTGATCTTTCTAACAATTAATTTCTTAGTCTATCTGGTGGTAATAACCATTGAACAAAGAAATACTTTTATTTTGAAAATAAAGTAAAAAACTAAAATTTTAGCTGCCCTGAAAAAAGCCACTTTTATGATTACTATTGCTGTGGCTGTCATAAAATTCTCGGAAAAAAGCTAGCTTTCTAAAATTGTGCTGTTGTTTTACTACTTGGCAGTTAACAAAATACTGTGACGCGAAAGGTTTAAAGCTAGGGATTAACAATCTGAGTATGTTTACTTGGTCTAACATGGATTCAAAAGTAATTTATCAGGATTTCCCAGGTTTTTTTGTTATACTTGAGAGTATAGGGATGGAAAACCTCACTAGGTCACACCTGGTGACCTTTAGGCAAATAAGTGAATCTCGCGTTTAAAGAGTTTAACTCCCAATGCTCTCTCTCTGTTCCTACCCTTACTGTGAAACTTTGCTGCTGTAGCAGCTGAGCATTTAAGACCCACTGATTTTCTGGCTGAGTTTTCAAGCAGAAAGCATGCCTGGCTAGTATGTTCATCTAGTGTTGATGTGGTGATTTTTGCCTTACTGAAAAGTGTATGGTAAGCAATTTCTTTAAAATTGGTTTTGTGATAATAGTAGAAGTATTGAAAAGCACAGGAAATCAAGTTGGACCACTATCTTTCTAGGGTGTTAGGTGTTTCACATGCTTGTAGAAATGCCCTTTGTATACTGCTTGCTATTGCTTATGAAATTGATTCTCCTGCAATTAATAATGCCTCCCTAAAGGAAAATATTTGATTTTACAGGGCTTTATAACATCACCACTTTTCTTACTGTAAGTATTTTTACAGTCTATTTTTAAATTACAGTTTTGGGTTTTGAGACATCTGTATTATAATGGCTAGATATTTGTATCCCATCAAGTTTTAGTAAACTATCTTAAAAAAAATGGTATGCTGTTGAAGGAAAAAATGTTTTGTAAATTTGATAGAGGTTCAGTTGTTTCTAGATTACTGATTTAAACCAGTCTAGGTTGTTAGTATCTAAAATTCACAGCTATTTGGAGGCTAATTTTTCATTAGGAGCAACTTAAATGTGCATCTGGAGACCTTGTGTAGTTGTATAAAATCATATTACAGAATGTCTTGCAAGGAGCTCTTATCCTCACGTGTGCTTATTATTAAAAAACAAAACAGAAGCAAATCAACATAAAACTTTAAAAGAGACTGTGGTGAAATTGAAAAGATGGGGCTCTTGCTTCGATGAGATTACTTTGAATTCAGTTTTGTAATCCAGTCAATATGGTAAGCAGACTCAGGTGGGGCTGAAGGAAGACAGACTTGCAAGTTGTAGCATAATTCCTTCCAGAATCAATTTGGCAGTTTATGTGAAATGAGTTTGGTCTTTGTGCAGTCCCTAATGCATTGGTCTTTCACCCTCACAGTCTCAACAAAAAGAGGAAGGCTGAATGGGCACAGTAGTGGATCTCCATTACTGTCAGTTTTGTACCTTTCACAGATCACTGCTTTCACTTTTAAAATATTTTAAAATGCATTTTCTCTGTATGTGATTGTAACTGCCACTTCATGAAACCTAGATTTACAATTTATAACTTGAACTTAGATGGCATTTTTATAGTAACATTTTAAAATTGCTTATGAGATACTTGATTGAAAGGAGATGTATCAATATGATATTTCATTTCTGGAATGGAATCTGAAATAGAATGTATTTATTAACATTAAGAAAATATTTATTTAGAAGTAGCCTATCATGATTAGTAACAGAGCTAATATCCACAAGCTTCTTTTTGTGTAAATCACACTGATGTCACCATTATCTAAAAAAGCCCTAGTGGAACATTAATTTAAAGAAACAAAGACTGCATAGTAAACGAGTGAGATAGATCCTATGTCTTTCATAGACATCCAGTAAAAAGAAGTGGTTTTACCCCAGTCCAGCTTTAAAGAGCTGTTCTTATCAATTATTGTTTGACACCTCCCCAGGCCCCCCAGGGAGTTGTGAGGCAAGGATGGTGTGTCCCTGACAGTCCCCTGGTCTTCATGCCCTATACTTAGAAATTCATTGCAGGACTAAAGGGCTCCTCGTGCTTGAGATATCAAAGATGATTCTTCTCTTTGAGAGAGAGTTATACTTCTGAGCAGAAAGATATTGCTTAGCGTTTCTCCCAACTCCATTTTCCATCAGAGCAGAGAACAACATCTGAAACAAAGCTACCATAAGTTCAAAGTACCACCAAAATGATGTCATGAATTGCCAAAGCTAGAGGTATATTTCCACTTGAAAAAAATATTTTAAATGCTTTCAAATTCAAAAGAGCAGGGGTAGGGGAAGTAACAGGCACCTGCTATTTTTTTTTTCTGTTAATGGAAGTGTTGCAAGTAAATGATTTTTCTTCATATAAAGATGGATTTGAATGAAGTGGAGGAAATGATTTCTAAAGCAGAAAACCTGTACAAGCAACCATATTTCTGGAACCTTCTGCATTCACTCCCTCGTCTTGAATTGAACAGCCTTTATACAGAAGATGGGTTAGCTGCCATAGCACAGTTCCTAAAAGTTATTCAAAAGTAAGTACTTTTATGTGCTTGAAAGTGCTCTACTTTAACATTTTACCTGCAATTCTTTTTCTTTTCACTAGCTATTTAATAAAATAAACATCTTTATCAGTGTAAAGAGGCTGAAATTTTCTTCTGTTTACCAGATTCTGTGTTTATAGAGGTGTGGTAGGAGTCGTCATCTGTTCTGATTCCTTCATAACTGTCCAGTTTAGCAGAGACTCCCTATGAGTATCCAAGAAGTAGCTTCATCTTAGCAGTGGTTGAAATTAGCTTATCACATAGTATGGCTTTGAACTTTGTAATGTGCTTTGGGAGTCTTTGAAAGACAAAATATTTACATATGAATAAAAGAAAATCATCATTTGGATTCTAATAGACTAAATACTTATGTAGCACTTCATCAATATCAGGAAAATTACTCCATTTTGTTTCTCAAGCCTATCAAAATAGCTTTGGCTTGCAAGAAATGAAGCAGGAAGGAAAAAATCACAGAGACTGTATTCTGAATATGAAAGTTTTGGGCCTTAGGTAAAGGGCAGCTGGATTCAGTAGAAGACATGGTATCAAAAGCACAGACTAAGACAAGTATCTACAGGAATTTTCAGTAAAATAAGGCAATTGTTAGGAAAAAGAGAAAAATGTGTTTGCCAGGGTAGATAGGTGGTTGTAATAGATTGGTAGGTAATTGTCTTTTAAGTTAATGAACATACTTATAAGGCTAGAGGAGGCCACTGAACCTGCCTGCCTGTGCAAGACTAGCCATGAAATTCACCAGCTTTACCCCCTAAGGAGGCAGGGGCCCAAAGACTTTGAATAGGAACTTACTGTGCTGATTCTGTAACCTTTAGCATCCCACTGTCTTTTTTCTTACTAAAAAAGATATGAAGGATATGATGGTGGTATTTTTGTTGAAACTGGGAAATAAGTCTCTTTTGATTATAATATGTGGAATGCAACTGTGATGGGGCCCGATTTCCTTCCCACTCTCCTTCTTATGCCTGAGTCTCTTATTCCAGTTTGTTCTCTGAACTATTAACATGCAAAGCTGTATTAGCTGTGCTTGTAGTAGTTGTATCCCAACAGCAGAAGTCTTTTTCAAAAGGTTTGCAAACTCTCACAGTCTGAGTTTTCCTGACATAAGTTTATGGTTATTATTTTCTTCTTCAGCAGCAAACAAAGACAGCTGAAGGGACCAAGACTGGGACTTATAAGAAATTCAATACACATATATTTTTTTTATTAATGTGTTCTCTAATATGTTTTGTTTAATTTGTTGTGAGAATAAATGTTCTGTTGCTCTAAATGTTTTTTCTTTTCTCTGCAAATTGGATGGAAGTAAAATTTATGTATTCTGTGTCCGTCCTGCTTGCTGTGAGGAAAACTCTTGTGGTGCTTTTGCTGTCATTTTTAACTCTTTCTCTCTCTCTTTTTTTTTTTTTTTTTTTTTTTTTTTTTTTAAGAGGACATTGGTCCACATAGGAGAAATGTCCTTAATGAAAATTGAGTGAAATTCTAATGGTAAAATCTCAACTTGTGGGTTTTTTTTAATGAAGAGTTTAATTTGACAAAGGATCAGTTTTTCAACAATAAAGTATTTTAGTATTCAGTTGCTTGAACTTCATCTTTTTCTACCAAGCCCTATCAGTTTTTCTGAGTGTATAGAGCGCTTGATTTTTATTTTATTTTTCACTTTCAGTACCTTAGCATCATTAAAGGATTTAGCTATGATGCCATTGGGCAAAAGTTTCTATGAAATGGTGAAAACAGCACTGAATTTAACTGCTGCATCTATAGAGGAAAGGAGCTTAGAAGGTAAGGAATTTGCCTCTTTTTTTTTTTTTTTTTAAGAACCTTGTAAGCATGCTGGCAATATGCACTAGCAGTAACTGTCTGAGCTTCTGCTGAATTCCTCATGTGAAAAGTCTAAGAATTGAACTATATTACTATTGTGCTAACCCATTTCTTTATTGGTCTGCCTTTTAATAGCTAATAACTAAATGTCATCAGACTGGCAACTATTTGAAAAACAAAGCACATTGGTCTAATATAGTGTGTTTAGAATGATCTTTCAGTGGTGAATTTTGGGGAGAGACTAAATTGCTGCAAAGGATAATTTCTTCCATTTAATAGAAGGATAACCTCTTGTTTTGGACATGCAGGTTAAGCATTATGGCTGTTTTACTTTAAGATTCATTCTTCTGTTATCATAAATTCTGGTCTCAGCTGAAGGGATATGTTTCCCCATCTGCTGCTTGAGTATGGGAGGCGAGTTTAACTGGAGAAAGCAGGCTGGCCCCAGATCAGCTCCTCCAGAAAAGGTCAGGAGTAAGTTTAATTGGCAAACTGTCTGGTGGTACACAATTATATTCTAGGTGCAGCTGCCTGAAGGTCAAGCTAAGAGTTATGTGGTTTAAATCCTGCTTCAGCTGTGAAAACTGAGACTGAAGTAGTACAAAGGTGATATTCTGATACTCTCCTGGTGCTGTCCCTCTCAGCAATGATACCCAGCCCATACACACACATTTGCATGAGGATGTGCATAGTAAGACACACAGTTCAGAACTGCAGCCTGCTGGGTCTGCGGGCAATCATTGTGCAGGGCATCTCATCATTACTGTATCAGTTGTCAGAATATCATCACATTAACTGACTTTACTGTACTACTAATGCAATCACAGATTTTGTCAGAGTGAAAATGATGTTCAGGTACATGCTGGTTTTTCTTCTTTTCCTTTTGTGGTTTTTTTTTTTTTTGTTTTTGTTTTTGTTTTTGTTTTTGTTTTTGTTTTTGTTTTTGTTTTTGTTTTTGTTTTTGTTTTTGTTTTTGTTTTTGTTTTTGTTTTTGTTTTTGTTTTTGTTTTTGTTTTTGTTTTTGTTTTTGTTTTTGTTTTTGTTTTTGTTTTTGTTTTTGTTTTTTGTTTTTGGTTTTTTTTTTTTTTTTTCTTTTTTTGTTTTTTTTTTCCAAAAGCTGGAAATATGATACTTGGATCTCATCTAGTTCAAATCATTAAGAAGCAACATGGACAAAAAGCAGGAATGACATAAACAGAAGGGTTCTTTTCTTTCAGGTTTTCAGTATAATCTTACTCTTGGAGATATTTTGTGGAACCCACATGCTGTGAGATCAGAACTTGAATTCAGGTTTGGTTTTGATGATCTTCACGTTAAGAAGCTGCTAAATTACACGGTAAAATTAACAAAGGTAAACCACATGAAAATTAATTTTAGTGTCCATCCCTTTCATCTTTGTTTTTATCTGTGCCCTGAAGGAATTTTTTGTGCCTTACAGAAGCTATAGTCATATCTTAGGTTTGTGCAGCACCCACAATATTGCTAAATATCCTGGCTCATTCCCATTAAAAGAAATGTATTTAGCTTTAGCTGGAATTTCTGCGCATGATAAAACTCATAGGTCTAGTTGTGTACATTAATGAATTTACACTTCTCTGAAGTCACCACTGCATATGGCGAAGTCTTAAGTTTATTATCCAATTCTGTAGAGGAATCTGGGGTTTGCTCCACTAAACTTTTAAACTAGATCCTAGATTTGAAGTTAACTGGATTAATTTGGCAGGTAAAGATTTTCATCCATTTTGCTGGACAATGAATGCCTATATCTTCTGTGCATAAATTAAGGCACATCAAGAGTCCTTTCTTCTCAGTTGTGCAGTCTGGATATGCATATACTTGACTGGTGAGTTGTCTCAGTGAGCTATTCAAATATACCAGCAATGTGTCAGATTTTGAAGCAAATCTCCTTTCTCAGAGAATGCCTCCTAACCTTCCTTCTAGACCAAAGTGATCTGTTGTGATGGTCTGGTTTGAACTGCAGAAAACTTGAAACATCTTTTGAATTTCTGCTTAAATCCACAGTTTTTGAGTAGAACATGCTGGTATAATCTGAAATCTGTTTGCTCTTTGCCAGGTACAGTCTAGAACTGTATTCCAGAAGAGCTCATTATAAAAATAGCTGATGCACACAAAGACATAAATTATTAAAAAACTTGATTTTGGAATGGCCTTTAAATGAAATGTCAGTGATGGCCAGTTTGATCAACTGAAATGAATTTGACTGCAGCCTCTTAGCTATGGTTGGCTGTGTAATCCCAACTGACTCACTTGCTAACTATTTATACATTGAACTAATATCTTGATATTGTATGTGTGTGGTAGGGGATTGAAGGCCCTCAAAAAGTATGAAGAGAAATATGGAAGCCTGGACAATGTCTGTTCTAAGCACTTCACTTCTGTATGTAATGCCCCAGATCCTTTGGTGTCAAAACATCTGCAGAACTTCTAATAAATTTCCTAGTCACGGTTGAAAGGAATTATGGTGTGAAGTGTCTCAGACATTAATAGGGAGAATTAAACTGTACTAAATCATTTTTGTATGCTTTAATAACATTTCTATGATTGGGAATAATAAATCTTTCAAAATAATTTCGAAGTCAGGCTGTAAACAAAAAAATTCTGGCCTCTTGGCCACACTGCTGAAACGTTCCAACTTCAATTTAGAACTAGTCTACTGCGTGTAGTCATTGGTTCAGATGTACTGTTGTACTGAATGGTTTTTTACATAAGTAATTGCTATACTTGTGAAGGTGCTTTGATACAGTTGTTTTAGTGTAAGTGTACTGTGTCATTGCTGTACTTCAGCATCAGCATGCAAATGACTGTAGAAGTAGTAACACTGGTGTAGCTACACAGTGAAAATTCCTTGCATATACAAGTATTATTATTCTGCATTGTGTATGAGAAACCTAATGGGGCCACTGGTATTTTATGCACCACTCTGTGTGTGGAGTACTTTGAACTACATGCCCCAGAATATGAAGCTGGATTAAACAGGCTTTGTTCTCACTGAGGGAGGCCGCATGATATTCTTTTTTCACCAGATAAGTAAGTTGATAGCGGAGATAACACTCAGCAGCTCTCTTGAGATGCTCATTGATTTCTTATGTCCCTGCCAGATTCCCACAGGAGAGACACTGGAGCAGTTTGTGTGCTCTGCTCTGTCCAGTGTGCAGGAAGATGAAGCAAACAAAGAGAATAATGAAGGCGGCTGTATCTCTGCATGGCATGAGGCCAAAATGTATCTTGTTCATGCTGTCAGCAAACTCAGACTCTATGCACAGGTACACTTTAATAAGTTAATAGATTAAATTCCTATTTTTTGCATGTAGGCTGTCAACAGCAACTCAGTTAAAAGATCCGAGTTAGCTATTAAATGTTATTGTCATGAACTTTTTTCATCTTGCTAATAAAACAAAGTAATCCCTATAAAGAATCATTACGTTGGAAGTATAATCTATCACCATGTGTCCACTTAATCAGATTTTCTCATTGACTCAAATACAGATTTGAAATCTAATATGGAACATAGTGAAATATACTGCACTGCAGAGGCCTGACAGATGGAAGACCCATTTACTGTCCCACCTGAGCCTGAATTTTAGGCAAAACTGAAAGCAGACTACAGGCTCCCACTGATATAATATATAATTCATTTATTTTTAATTTGCCTTTTCTATCTCTGGCAATAGTGACTGAAGCATTTTGAAAGGGATGAGAGTAAATCTCCAGTATAACATCTTAAAATTCTGCTCTGGCAGAACAGCTTGGCATGCAGTCTCTATGGTGGCATATGTGTAGTTGCATAGAGAAAAGCATAAACCATTCAGATGTTTTTTAAGGAGAACACTTAACTAGCTGCCTTAATGCTGATATTTGTTTTTCCACTGAAATATGTTTTTTTTTTTCCATTAAAAAAAATCAGCTGTGTAACAAGCTGCTCTGGAAGTGTTTGCATATCATCTAAAGAAAGCATGTAGAGCTTATCCTGTATTTCCTCAAAAAAACCATAACTTTTGATTTCTGTCTTGATAAAGATTTCACTGATGTATGATGACTGGAAGTAATAATTGAAAGTGACTGCCAAAACTAATGCACTAATTCCTATCATAGCTGTAGGAAAATCCAGTAATAATTTCAGCTGTGATTTTAAAACTCTTCACAGAGTGAACATCCTTATGATGGCAACTTGAAGTACTGTATGCTGTTGGCCACTGGTAATTTCTTTGGTGAACAAGATATTTCTTACAGCAAAAATCTATTATAACCACTTGGCAGTAAAAAAAGTAATGGTAGAGGAACGGATCACAGTCAGTAGGTTTGGCCATGCCTTATTCTAGGCTACACCATGGGAGCACACAGGCTCCTTCTCCATCTGTTTTTGTAGTGGAACCCCAAAAATGTTGAGATTGCCGCCTTCCATTGGGTTGGTAGTGCAGGCAGAAGTCCTGTAAGGGAGAGCAAGCCTGAGTAATCGGCTGTGGAGGTCTGCTTTTGGTTGGTTTCAGTCTCAGGCCATCTTCTTACTGTTTCTGAGTCTTTGGGTAAAGACAGCACAGCATAGGATGTTAGCTCTCTGTAAGATGTAGCATATTATATTGCCAACTTGCAGCTCAGTACAAGCTGTACTGAAGTCAGCCTTTGAGGCCAGTCATTTCAGTCTAGACACATTGTTAGGGAGAAATTTGGCTATCGTTAATTGTATTTTTTTTTTTTAAAGACATGCAAATTCTGTCTTGTCTAAATAGAAAGCTTTGATTCCCTAACAAGGTGTGCTCTGTTTTGCATTCAATCTGCTAGGTATTTGAGCAATGGTTCAGCAGCAGCTTCTCTCAGAAACTCCTTTTGGAACTTGATGATTTGATGTCTCAGTTTCTAGATGACAGGGAAGCCAGGAAAATTTTTTCAGAGATAAATACCCTGATCCAGCGATGGAATGAGAAATCAAATGCCTACTTTTCAGAAGGGTATACTGCACCTCATGATCTGTAAGTTATCTTTCTGCACCTTGTCAGATCAGCTTGAATATTTATCTTCATGTTACAATTAATTGATTTCTGATTTTTGTTTTATGATTTTATTTTTTATTATGTAATTCCAAGCCTTGTATACAGTCAAATAATTGTGGTGATGCATACACACTCTGAAAAAGAAATTAAATGTGTAATTCGGAGTGTACCCACTTGCAGGTTCAGCAGAGGACCTGAGTACGTGATCAGGACTCACTTGTCATAGCTCTACATGTTCATATCAAAAATTATCCTTCTTTGGAGGAGGTATGATCCATGCTATAAAATCAACATCTGACGCTAAATCTGAAAGATAAAAGTGCTCTAATGCAGCATGCCCCAAAGTGGAAAGTGATCAGGCAATGTCTTTGGTTCTGGATTTGTTGCTGTTTTAATTAGCTTATAAAATGGACATAGGCCTCTTTCCATTTCCAAAAAAATCTGTTTGAACAGGGACACAAAAAAATGAAGAAATGTTTCCTAAGTAAATGAACTGGTGTAGGATTATAACTCCTACACTTGACCTAACAGTTGTTGATGAAATAGCAGCCACTACCACCTTTTCCCACCTTCGAGTGTTCAGAAGCGTTTGTTTAGTACAGTAAATGGCTTGATAGAAAATAAACTCTTTCATGGGAAACTTCTCAGTTAGTTATTTATTTATTCGCTGCAAAGGGGAGGAAAGGAGGTGATGTAGTGTGTAAATCTTTCCTAACATTAATGGTTTTGCCTTCAGGTAAAATAGTCTGAAAAGAAGTAGACTTATCCATGAAAAAAAGTTGTACTTCTCACCTTGGAGACTGATTAGTGAATGCTGAGAGTCACACAGGTTCTTCTGTTTTGTTTTTACTGTTATTTCCTTAGTTTGCCAAGTTTTTTGTAAAATCAATTATTTACTTTTAAGAGAGACAGTGTAGTAAAATTGTTCAATAATTTAGTAGTACGTTTGGGAATTTTTGTTTTGTTTTATTTTTTTTATAAAAGGAAACAGCTATACTGCTGCTGTTGTAAGAAACAACAAAGATGATTTAGTGACCACACAGCAAAAAAAACCCCATAATTTTTCAGCAACTTTACCTTTTTGTTTATAGTACACAATTTTTCTGTGCTCTACTTCTTGATTGCAGAATCCTGCATCTGGAGAGAATGCAGTCTGTGCTTCAGGATATACCTCAGTGGCCTGTTATGAAGAGATTGCTTCAGGTAGATGGAGCTATAAGGAACATAATAGCACAGTATTTATACTTCACTGAAGGTAAAGCTGCAGGGTGGTTACTTGTTACTAGCACTCAAATGACTTCCACAGAATAACATAGGAAAAGGATTACGTTTTACCTCTAGGAAGGCATTTGGGCTCTGTAATACATGTCACACTTAGATATTCACAGCAGCTTCTGAATTCCTAAAATTTTATTTCCCTTAGTGGTGATAGAACACAACATAACACCTGTTTTCACTTCTCATGTCATGAATAAACAATTTGCTTAGGTATCTTAAAGGATGTTGTATGCTGCTGTGGCTGTTGTTTAAAGATCTAACTCAAGAAAAAGAACTTGCTTAATAAAAATTAAAATTATCAGTGCCCGAGAACTTTCTGATGCAGTCAGTTGTGTGTGTGAATGAGAGCTCTTGGTTCTAGACTTAGATGCACCTCGATGTTTCTGGCTGCTCATTACAGGTGAAGCAAAATGCCAAGTTGGACATATGGATTTTCTGATCTCTTTAAGGATTTGATTGAGGGCTGTGAAGTGCAGAGGCCGGGTGCTTCTGGGGCAACACTTTTGGACACAGAGCAAGACTGGTGGATAGGGGACAGTACTGAAGAACTTAGTGCAAGTGGAGGTGTTTTGGGGAGTCAATTTGGGGAACTGGATCTGTTTTCAGCAGTTTGACTAAATAAGATGAACTACCTTCCATGAAGTTCTTGTGAACAAGTCTGTTTAGCAATTGCCACTTTTAGATTTGGAATACATTTACAGTATTAAACAGTGTGCTAGGACTCAAATTGTATAATGCTCAGCACCATGATACCCAGGAGTTGGTTGGCAATATAATTGTACTATAAAGTCCACACAGATCTGGATTAAAAAAAAGCAAAAAAAAAAGTAAAAAAAAAAAAAGTGAAAGGGACAAGATACCTTTCTGTGAAACTTTTTGGTGGAGATCTGCAATACTATAATGTGGGTACATATAGGAAGAACACCTGTATTACTCAGTTGTAATTAGGTTTGTGAAATACACTTTGATCCTATGTGTGAGGTAGCCGAGGGGAGAGCTGAGGGACCAGGACCAGATGGACTGAGTGTCCAAGAGCAATTATTGCAGCGGTCCACCGGGTGTGTGGGCAAGCAGATCTGTACCATAAGCTGGAGCAGAGCTGCAGCTTCGAGGGCTCTTATGTCCAGGTGTGAGCAACTGGGAAGGGAAACTGGGATCCAGGGGCAGCTGCTGGGCAGACTGGGTTGTCTGAGCCCAGCTGAGAGCGGGGATCCAAACTGTGCGTGTGTATACATATCTGCATGCCTTCCCTCTAACAGATCTTCACCCTGACCAGCCAGGGAGGTGAGCAGGATGAGGCCGTTGGTGCTGTTTGTGTGTGCTGTGTGTGTTGGTCTGTGTTGATCTGTGTGCCTCCCATATGCATTTATGGTGTACAGGTTGGCTTGTGTGCCTGCCTGTCCAGCCTTGCTGCTGGAACTGCAGCAGCCTCCCCTCTGTAGGGCTATGGGATTTGGTAACTTCCTAACATGAACTGGTAATGCTCCTGTGGTTTTCTTTTATTTGAGAACAGCGATATTAGTTTTTCTTGGGAGCTTAAGGAATTGGGCCACCTTTCCATATTTCAGAAGAATTTACAGGCTAAAACAACAGTTACATATGGAAAGAGTCCAATTTTATTTACAGCATTCATAGCTAGAAGCCCACACGGGACTTCATTTCTTTTCCTGAAAATTGTGAAAGCTGCCTGAAGTCATTGGAGCTACTCTGATATGACTGTGAAAGGGGGTAGGGTCATGCCTTTCCTGGTGTGAGAAGGCCGGTCTTCTTTCTGCCTTGCCTTGAACCTTTTTCAGTGGCGATGCAGAAGAGGAGCAGTCGTTGCTTCTCAGAAGTGCAGAGTGCAACTGTGTACCTAGTTTGGGCAAAGTGATGGAATGCTTTGGGGCAGGGATGTTATCTAAACCAAAGTGGAACATTTATGCCTCTGTAAGTGATATATTTTTAAATCGTTATGCACAGTTTTCTTTCCCAGAAGAATGCTTCCTACTGTACTGTCCCTGAATTACTCTGTAGGTTAAATATTTTCTTCATGGGGTGTGTGGGTGAAATGTCTTACAGAAACTTTACGTAGTCTGGAAAAAGAGATTCCCTTTGCACAAAGAGATGGATTCATTCATCTAGACATCAGAAAGCTCTTTGTGGAGCTAAAACAGGTATGTTGTTATTTAATGTTTGCATATTAATTTCTGTAAAGCTGAAAAGGGGCATTCTGGGGGATAAAAAGTACTTGCTAAGTACGGTATTTCACTTATTATTCAGCAGCGTTATGGTCCAACTTTACTTTGTACTTTTTTATTTTTTGACATTTCATTGTGAGAATTAATATGGAGTGTAAATTAAATCTGTTCCTTCACCCTGAATTCGTTTTTAAAGTGACAGTATATTCATTACATTTTAGATGTTGATGAGCAATGCTTCCTATATATGCAGTGACGTGCTTAAAATGCTTGAAAAGACCCTGAGACTTCCACAGGGCTCAGACGACATAGACATTTCAGCAATATACATGTGCCCTGACAATGGCTCAGAGGTGACCTTCAAGCTAAGTGACCAGGTCCAGTCACTAAAGGAATCTGTAAGTATTTCTGAATTATTTCTGTGTTTAAAGCTTGCAATGCTTTATTTACATTAATATTACAAAATGAAATAAATTAGCAGGGTTTGTAGCTCATTACTTTGCCGTTTGCTACTCATAAATGAATGGGTAACTGATTATTTAAACTGATTGAAATGTGCTTGGGGGCAAGGCACAAGTGTTCCTGCAGAGATTCTCTTGGTGGGGAGCTGTGATGTTTTAGACATGCTATGTAGCTGTGGCTTCCAGAAAAAAAAAGAAGACCGTTTGAAAGACTGCTTATTTCATCCATTTTATGTTGGATTTCAAGATCAAGTTTATTACAAATCTAAGAAGTGGGACCAAAGTCTCAGGTTAGTTTCCCTATTACTGGTCTCAAATATTTCTTTCTTACTGTGAAAGGTCCTGCTTCTGCAGAAAGTAACTCAGGGACAACAGAACCTGCCAGCTTCAAGAATGGATGATTATTTGGGATGGCAAGAAATAGAAGAGCAGCTAACCAAAAATTATGCTTATTACTGTGAAATTAATCAATTGCTGAGCACAGAGGCACCATCTGAGGAAGATGTCCATTTCACCTCTTGTCAGGAACAGCTGCTCTTCTCACTGTATGTATCTTGTGTACCTTTTAATACATAATGATCCTGACTGCTACTACCCTGAAGTAAGGTATTATAAACAGTAACTGAATAGATAAAAAGGTTAAAACCTTGCTTTTTGCTGTTGATTACACCTAGTGTTAACAATTTTCTGTAAGCACAAACAGAAAGTTAGAGGGTATTTTTTTTTATTTGACAGTAGTATTTGGGGGGCTAGGCGTGGAAATAGGCTGTGGATTTGCAGGTATCTAGGATTCTACAAGCTATTCTCCCTTTTTTCTTTTCTCACATCCAAGCATTTTCTACCACTTCTGAGCTTGATTCCTGGTACCTACCACTCTAGTGCTGTGCTGCTCAGGATTTTTGAAAAATTTGGATCTGAAAGACTCCTGGGAGATACAGGAAAACATTAAAGAGAAGGTAGTTAGGAAATGCACTAGGACGGGTATTGCAGCCTCAAGTTGCTTTCTGAACGCATCAAGTGGTCACTGTTCTTCTATTTTGGCAGAAAATCCATTCATCTTTTTATTAAGTTGATTGTAATTTGCAAGGGCTCAGTAGTTCTACTGATTACCAACTTTCATGATGTTAAATCAGAGTATATGAAGGGACAAATCCCTGTATCAATAAAGTGTTTTAAAATAGGATAGGATTTTGTTATTCTTGCTTGGCAATGTAAAACATGTGCTTAATGTGAAGTTACACTGTACAGATACCCTAGGTCACAATCTTAGATGTTTAGAAGACAACTATATTATTTATGCTTATGATAATATTGACAGAAGACTTTGCTATTAAAACAGTAAAACTATTAGCTCTAAGCATTCAAGAATCTGTCGGAAATTCCAAAAGCTGCATTGTGGCAGGAATTACATCCACAGTTATTAATAACATCTTGCATTAGAAAATTTATATCACTTTTCCTGTCCCTTTTGCTCTTGGTCAATGGTTGGTTGCCTTCCCTCCCTCCGTGTTTCTAAATAACTATGAAACCACCAGGAGGACTAGTTTTATGCTTCCTTTTATGAGCATCAAAAACACTGATAAAACTAAAAGCCCCCTGGGAATAGAAGCTTGTGTTTAAGTAACATTAAAGAGCAAGAAAAGCTCATCACTATTTTTATGTGAGGTGTTTTGTTTGATTGTTTTTTTTTTTTTCATGGACAAAGCAATGATCTTTTTTTTAATGCAAAGGTGTATTTCAGGACAAGAGGAAGCATTTCTCGATAATTGTTTTCAATTTCAAAATGCTACTTTTTGTACCAGAGCATTTTCTTGTTTGTTTTTTTTTTTAAAGGTTTTTTAGGTGTTTGTTTTTTTTTTTTTCTGCTCGCACAACTGTGAAGTAAAGTCTAGTTGTGCTTAGAGTGATGTCATAACTATGCCGCTGATTTCTTTAGCAAAGGACTCTGCTATTAGTTTTGCAGGCCTGCCTGCCTCAGTTTTGCCTAAGTCAACAGGACTTATAAGTACTCAAAGGGTGCAAGTCAAGAGGATGGGGCCAGTTCTTTTTCATTGGTGCCCAGTGACAGGACAAGAGGTAATGAGCACAAACTTAAACATAGCAAGTTCCATCTAAACATGAGGAAGACCTTCTTTACTTTGAGTGTGGCAGAACACTGGAAAAGGCTGCCCAGAGAGGTGGTGGAGTCCATCTCTGGGGACATTCAAAACCCGGCTGGACATGTTTCTGTGCAGCCTGCTCTAAGTGGACCTGGTCTGCCCAGGGGGTTTGGACTAGATGATTTCCAGAGGTCCGTTCCAACCCCATATCATTCTGTGACTCTCTGTATGCATAAATTAGCAATATAATATAGGCAGAGATTTACAGAGAAATGGGAAAGTGTTCACAAGGTAATTTGACTTTAAAAGAAATCACTGTTTTAATTATGGTATCCTTGGTTTTTGTGTCATTTCAGAATTAATAGTACACTTGAAGATATTTTGTTTGCTTTTGAGGGAAACCCATACTGGAAGGATTTAACAACTTTTGTCAGTTGGACATGTGAGGTGGCTCAACACATGAATGAGGAAGCAGGCTCCACAGGAGATCAGTCAGGTGAGGAAACAGCTACTGCACAGCACAAGCTTTATTCTGATGGCCCTGTCTGTTTTAGAGTATGGTATTCCTCAGAAAGGGAAAAGGTGATGATTTTTGAATTTGTGAACCTGTTTGTGTTTCCATAAACCTTGGGATTCACCAGCTGGTGAATCATTAGTAAGGAAAACTTATAATATACACAGCCTGACTCTGGAAAATAACTGTGATTTTAGTGCCAAGTGGAAAATTTTTAGATTGTCCATTTCTGTTGGGAAAATTCCAACCTGTTAAACCTGGTTGGAGTCTCTACTTTTCCTGACAGAATACTGTTGCAAGACTTCTTAAGTCCAGGATATAAATGGGAGACCAGACTATCTGGTCACTCAGTAAAAGTATTTCTAGGCTGGTTTCATATTAGGCAAGGACTTGATGTTTGATTTCCTTCAACCTACTTCTCCTGTGATATCCCAGATGATCCATCTTCTATTGACTTTGTTGGAATACACTATTTTTTCAGTATTTGGGGAAAACTTTGAAGTAGCTGAGATTATGCTGAGGAATGGGAGATTTTCCATTTCAGAATTCTCTCTCATTAAATATTTGTGTTACTCTTCTCAAGGTTTTAGCGGAGCTGTGAAGCAGGGCGTAATGTGGCTGATCCAAACAGGCTTAAAAAACGACCTTGCCCAATATCACCAGTTTGTTTCCTTTACGTGCTTTCACCATGCCCCAATTTCTTCTGTTTTTTGACCACTTATATTTCCAGCTTCTGAAGGATTTATGTTACTGGTGGATTTTTTTTTTTTTTTTTAAGCTAGCTATTTGCATTTGCAAAATATCTTATTTCTGCTAAAGATCTGATTTTCTGAAGACATTTATCTTTTTTTCATCTGCTCTTTTTCTCTATGGAGCTAATCAGAAATGTGCTGAGTACCTCATCAGTAAGTGGGCAGCTATGGAATGTATGCAAAAATAAGCAGTACTTTTTAAATCAAAGAACTGTGTTAATGAAATGAACTGTTCAAATGTGAATTGATTTGCACAGGTTTTGTAATCTATTACAGTTCCAGATATTTCATTTTTCTGAGCAATAATAGTGAATTTCACAGAACTGCTTTCTCTTTACTGAAATTCCAAGGAAAAATAAATATTAGTGTTGGTTTCAGTGCCGAGTACAGCACTAAGTGGGCTCTGGTGTAATAAAACTAATTGTATTTGAACTAGTTCTGCAGTTCATGTATAATTCAAAAGATATCATATTTTTCCTTATTTTTGGTAAGGAATTGTATTTTAATTTTTCTGTAAGGAATTCTGCAAGGAAAATACAGATGTGCCTTATGTAGAGCTGATATTGATTGATTCTGCATTTAGTTCCTTTAAATCATTCTGTAGGACTAACATCAAACACTTGAATAAAAATTGCTTATTTACTACTGTTAAAATTTACATGATGTATTTCTCTTTCTGCACACATTCATGTCCAACTAAATTTGGTAGGATTTATTCAGGTTGTTTCAGTGGGAGCTGATCAAATTGTTCATGTATGTATTCATAAAAACTTTTTTTAATCAGTCTTTTGATGTTGAAATTTTTATTTTCTCTGCAGATAGGCTAGAAACATCTCTGTGTTCTACACAAAAGCTCAGTTTGGAGACCACCCTAGGTCATTATTTAGCATTTCTGCAAGACCTAGAAGATTATTCCTCATTTATTTCCTGGGCACGGTAAGGTTGAACTAGTTAGTGTAATTTCTTTATTTAACCATTTTCCAGAAATTGTTTACCCCACCTCCACTTTGGACTTTTTTAATTCTTGAACATAATTACCCTGCCTCTTTTCACTAAATTGTGGATGTTTTTCAGCATTACTGGGAAGAAATAGAATCCTGCAGAGAAAGTTATGTCTCTGTGGCTGCCATTCAAAAGCATTAAAAAAAGATATCTCCATCTCTGATGTGCTATCAGTAGTAACCAAAGTGGTAGATCCCCGACAGTTCCAATATACAGTTACAGGGGGTTCTTGTCACTAAGTTACTTGCATTTTAGCCCTGCTACTGTCTAGATGAACAGTGAAACATATGCCATTTAATCATCACTCTGTTTAAAAAAAAAAATAGAAAAGAAAAAAATATCCCTCATTGAACAACTGCAGACTAATTGTAGAGTGCTGCCTCTGCTATTAAGTGCTGTGAACTATTTACCATACTATGCTGGTGATCACAGCTGTTAATAGATAAGAATACTTTCTTAATTACATTTCTGGACTTTGAACTTTATTTTTCATTATGCTGCTATTTAGCTCTTTGCCAAGTTAGTTCGTTGTTCAACTTATCAAATGGAAATAACTACTATCAATGCGAGGAAAGATGAAGAATCAAAAGTTTATAAATGGCACAATTTGAGTGTTTCCTCCACTGTTATACATGTCATGCTTTTCATTCAAGCAGATCTTGACAGGGAATTTAGCAGCTTGATTAGACTAGGCTCTAGAAGCAAAGAACTCCTGGTTTGAGTTTTCAAAAGCTTAGGTATTCTTGGTATCTGTAGTAAAAATAAAATGGAAGTTAAGAAGTAGAATGCAAATTGATATCATGGATGTTTGATGACTTTCCTTTTGTGCTCTTTCCCAATTTTGTTATAAAGATCAATGCCGACACATTTGCTCAGGCAAGGATTTGGATTTGGTCTCAAGTGCTGTTTCTGGAGTATGCACTATTTTCTCTGCATAGTAGCACAACAAAATCACCTGACTTGTCTGAGTGAAGCCATTCCTGTAGTTGACACAGCAATTCCCACACAAACCTTTTAAATAGTTTATGATGTTCTTCATTTTAAGTATTAGAAGAAAACATATTTATGGTGGGGATACTTTCAACTTGAGACCTTTTCATTGGAATGCTCCTTTTTCCATATGCCCCTCAATCTTGACTAATCTTGCACAGCCTAGTAAATGTTGCCTAGTAAATGTTTTTTCTTTTGATAAGTAGTATTGACCTACTGGAAACATCAGTTGGAGCATTCCAATTTTCACTGTGATTTTATGTGGTTTCTTTTCTTTTTTTGTTTTTTCTAGATATTAAAATAATAGTGTTCAGCTATCAGCTGGTCAACTGGAATGGTTTAGCTATGGATAATTTTGATTTTAAAAGTCTTCAGAATTCACAGAAAATTGGAGGTTTTGATTGATTTTATTGATAAGTTCCTTTGTAGAAAATATTAGTTGTGGAGCATAAAAGCTTTGCTCTTTTCAGCAGTTGAAAATGTGACGTACTTTAATTAAAGATGTTTGACTCCTTCTGGCATACAAGCTTGATTATAATTACTGGTATATGTACACTTCTTTAACCTAGCTGCCTACATTCAGGTTTTGATTTGAATGTGGCTGTGACTATTCAGTGAGTTTTGTCTCATTTTTGAAAACAAAAGTGATTGTCATTTGTGTAGTAGCAGGTTTTGTATTGGTTAATTTGCGAACTGCTACTTAAATGATATATGAACTAAAATAAAACTATATTCTAAAATTATAATATATATATTTAAGCAATTCTTGTCTGCCTGCTAGGTAACTAACAAGAAAAAAACCCTTGTGCTTAATTTTTCAGGGTTTTGACATCTTTCAAGGAGTTTTTGAGTAGACAAGAAAACTTACAGACTTCTGGTGAAAAGGAAATGGATCATCTTTTTAATCTTGTAGAAGTCATAAAAGAAATTATAATGCTTGATTTCTCAGCTTCTTCAAACCAGTCTCTAATTGAAAATGTCTTGAATAATACAATTACATGGATGAAAAACTTTGCTGAGGGAAAGAAATCTGCCACCAATTTCTCACTTGCAGTTTCTGAACTCCATAATGAGCTACGAAAAAATTTCAAGCCTCTTCAGAGATTCTGGACAAAAGAGAAGACAGAAGTTTTCTGGCATATAGTGAGAACTGTACTCCATGAACTTCAATCTAGGCTTTCTCATTTGAGTCAAGTAGAAGAGGAAGAGGTATTGGAGACCTTATCTAGAATTATATCTTTCATTACAGAAAATAAAATCCATAATAGAAGTATGCTATTGCTCAAAAATATCCTGACTGATTGGCCAGAGTTAAATATTCCTGCTTTGAACAATCTAAAACACTTAAGTGAAAACTTCCTGAGGAATCTTTATGAGGTCAGATCATCAACTGATGATCATGTCAATGTGTCTTTCAGCACAATTCATGGAGTGACTAATGCCTCTTTATTTCTCTCAAATGCAACTTTTATGTATAAAGTACAAAAATTAGAAGAAATTGTGCACAATTTCTTTAAAAACATACAAAAATTAAACAGTTCTAGTATGGCCTCACTTGTTCCAATGCTTTTCTCTCTGTATCAGAGTGATGATCTGGTCTTAAATAGTGAGAGCAATAGCAGTCTGTTAACATTTCTTTATGAGACTTCAAAAGATATTTCACTTTTTCAAGTATGGCATGATTTGCAAGACAGGGATCGAGTTTTTGATTTTCTGTCTGAAAGTTTTGAGCTTCTCTGGAACTTCACCAGTAGGTCTATGTGTGAAAAATTGCTAATAATTTACAACTACACAGAGTTTCAGGCCCAGTCTCTTGCACAGAAAGGAAAAAAAGAGATGCAAGTTGTCTATAGCACTCTGAGCAGCCTTAAAACTTTGTTTATAGATGAAGAGTTCCAAACAGCTGCCATTTGTTATTTGGAAGAGTTTCTTGATATCTCCCCAGAATGTCTGGTAAATAATGGGTGCATTGATTTTTATCCATCAAACATTACTTCTGTAAATCATTCAGCGGAAGTTTACAGCTTACTTTTGCTTCCACTGGACAGTGTTCTGTCCAATATAACAAACTTGGGGGATAAGGTAAGTGCACCTTCTGCTTTGCACTGCACTTTTACATGGCTTCAAACCTGGACAGAGATTTTTGAAGAAGCATCCAAAATCTTACATTTGAATTCAACCTTTTTTGTCTGTCTAAGAAATGATTTGGCAAATCTCTCAGAAAGTCTTTTAAATGTAACTAATGACGAACTGTGCAATAATACAGCCATGGTTGTTGGAGCTACAACAGCAGCAATGAATCTATTAAAAATCATATCTCAAGGAGGTGGTGATTTAAATGACTGGAAAGATTTTGAAGCTTCGCTTGCTAATCTTCAAAGTATATTTATCAATGCAGTTGATGTCACAAGTTCACTTAAAGGTAACAGCTTAGAAAGTGTTTTAGACACGATGGAAGTCATGATAACCGAATTGCAGAAATCTATACTGAAGGTTGCTAATGGAGAGTTTTTGAATTCTTGGCTTGATACTTTTATCTCAGGACGATTTCAGGGAGAAGATAAGGGTGCTGATGTATTTTCCATTGGAAATTCCCTTTCTACTATTCTCAAGCTCTCCCAAAAAGAACTTGGAATTATTCTCACTGAGATAAAAGACACAACTGCTTTCTTTGAAAGTATACCTCAAGGCAAATATATGGTTTGTATCAGCATTTTCCAGAATATTACCAGGCTAATTTTGGACAGTACTCTGAAAGACATAAGCCATTCACAAACAAACTTTTTATCTCATCTTAATTCCTTTCTAAACTTTTATAGTACAGCAGATGAAGCAGAGGATTGCAACAGATGGATACGTGGATTAAGTAATCTCAGTGAAAAATACAAGTCACTCTCCCACCTTGAAAGTGCAAAACATATTTTGTTTTTACTGAAATCTCTGGGAAACTTTGAGACAGATGCTAAGCTAATGAATGTGATGGACTTTGTTAATTTCATTTTTAATTTGATACTCCCTGAATGTTCCATAACTGATTCTGATGTGATTTGTGTAAATGTTTATTTCAATATTATAGCAAAAACTTTAAAATTTATTCTTCCTGAATTTTATGTAAAAGATGACATTAATGTGCTTGAATTTATTTTTACTCTTTTAAACAACTCTGGAGGGCACATAAAAATGGTTGTTAATGATTTGGTGGGGGACTCACAGAATACATCAAATAAGACCCATTTCAGTCCATCAATCCATGAATTTAACAGGACTTCAAGGATGTTTCTTAATTCTTTTCGCCATGTTCATCTTTCATCAGTAGAACTTCTGGCAGAAATTCAAACTCTTCTGAAAAATAAAACTTCTGAAATGCATGAAAACAGCTCCTTTCATTTGGATATTGAGATTGAACCTTTCTTGCATGAGAAAAATACCAGTTTCTTGATGGAGTTCTTTCAATATGTGATAAGTAAACTTGACTCAGACTTGCAGGATGAACAAAAAACATTTCTTCAGGAACTGATAGAGACAGCAGCCCTGAATATTGAACTGGTAAGGAAAGCACTTGAAATTTTCAAATCTTCTCATTTTACTGGCTTTCCATTAAGAGATGATAAAGAGTTTCTAAAGCATATGGTAGACTTGGTGCAAAATATGAGGAACATGGATGTTGAGTTCTTGATAAGTCAATTCAAACAAGTCCAGGAGAGCCTTGATAATTTCTTTAACAGTATCAAACCTTTGTATATTGAAATGTCTGAGTTAGGAATGTTAACAAAGTTGTGGGATGCATTTGATAACAATTCGTGTAATGGGAACCTGACTGGCTTATGGCAAATAACACGAGTCTTTAAACAAGATGAGATTGATGATGTAGAAGAGATGTTCAAGCTCCTCTTCGATGTCATCAGCCTTATGGAAAGATTAGCTCATGGAAACATCACAGAAGCACTAATTGAAGTATACACTTTCATACTGACTCATGAAGCAAAAATGCCAATGTTTACTGAAGAGGAGTTCTCTAATCAAGTAGAAAGTCTTCTAATGTTACTGGAGACACTGACAGATATGTCTGATGAACCTGCAGAGTCCTCAATTTGTTTTTCTGCGTCATTCTGCTGGACTCTCACAACAGCAACACCTCAGAGTGATCCCACTTCTAAACCTTGTGACTTTGTGTATAGCAATTCTACGCTTAGCTACAATGCAGTCATTGAAGTAATTAAGGAGCTGAAACTCATCACTCTGGAGGACATTTCCTCATGCACTATGGAAGACTTTCAGACAGAAATCACTCACAATCTGACTTGCTTTTTTCATCAGATCAAAGAATGGAACTCTATTCTTCTGAAGTTTTCGGAGCTCCATCATGTAAATGACTCAGTTCTCAAAGAGCTGCAAGATTTTTGGGATGAGCTATCTGCCTATGCTGTGCCACTGCAGGTTAATAGTACATACTCAATTAATTGTTCCTCCACATTGAAGAAACAAGTGGCTTTCCAAATTGTAGAAACACTAGCCAATATGCCAGTGGCGGAAATGGAGATGGCCAAAGGTGTTCTTGAACAGCTGCGTGATCTTTACGGTGATCTAACCTGGAACAGACATTCAAGAACATCCTTTATAAAGACTGTTCTTACAAACTTCAAGAATATGACGAGTGAAGTTTCTGGACTTCTAGATACAGAAGCTGTCCTTTCTCTTTTTTCTGTAATTCAGCCTATAATGACGCTGTCTTCTGTTGGAAACCATACATACTCAATCCTTATGACGTTAGCAGCTTTAAATGGAAACAGTAATATATCTGATAACTTTGAGAACTTCTGGTTTCCTATAGTCACAAGCATAGAAGATTTATTGGTGAATTTTAATGTTAGACATGCACTTGTGTTGCTAGATCAAGAGTTCCAATTACTAAGGCTAGCCACTGGGCAGTCCTCTTCAATTGATCTTGGTGATTTAATACAGCAGTTTAATACATCATCTGTAGATGCTACATTAAGAAATCTTGAAGACATAGAGGAGATTTTGAACAGCTTTCTATGTGAGTGTAACAATAAAAATTATTCTAAAATAATGCATACTATAATTCTCCTTATGGCTAATGAAGATTCATTGAATGACCTGCTGCTGTTTGTAAAAGACATTATTGATGTTCTGGAACTATTCCAAAATAAGTCTAAGGAAGATTATACTGGAATGTTGTTTGTTGATGGTCATCTTAGCAGAGAAAAATTGAATAATACTCACACTGCTAATTCAGATTTGCTTAAGAGTCTTTTTCATATAATCACTGATCTTTCTGTTATAGAAGAAGCTCTGCATACAAACAATACTGAACTTCAGATAGGTGACTTCTTTGATTCATTTTTTGATAACGCACAATATAGAGAAGTTTCTACTCAGTCCCAAAACAGAACTATGGAGATAATGCAAGAGATCTTGCAAATGGTATTTCAGTCTACCACAGAACATGACAGGAACAAAATAACCTTCTCACTAAAGGACTTGCATAAGGATATAATGGCAGAAATGAGGTGAGCATTTTCTGTGTATTCATTTTGACAGTGTGAAATGATGATGATGACAGCTTTGTAAACAGCTCAATCAAAACTTTTATTAATTCCAGTTTCATTTCAGATTTGTGCCTTTGAGTAAAACAATATTTCGTAGCAACTTATATTGTTCAGACCAGCCATACTTGGTATCACATTGTATTGTGTGTACCGGTTATGATGTTTTCAGTCTTCTGTATTGATACTGGAGGTGGTTTTTGTAGAATTATTGTAGAACCAAATATTTGAAGATATTAGTGTTTTGAAATCCTTGCATGTTTGAAAACTGAACTCACAGTTACTGGTGGAAAATGATCATTTTGACTATGGAGCTAAATATTAAGGAATATTTGGGACTAATGTTTTGTAGTTTGTTTTGTTGGGGTTTTTTTGTTTGTTTGGGTTTGCTTTTTTTTTTTTTTCCTATATCCAGATGTAGATATACTGTGCTTGAAATGTCTTCAACTTAAATTTGCTGATAACTTACGCAAACAAGATGACACTTTTTGGAGCTATGGTTATAGCATTACATTGTTCAGTTTAACAAATACGATTTCTGAAGGAATCTTGAGCCCATTTGATTACTCAAATCAAATGTGATCCAGCAGCAGAGGAAAGTCTGCTTTGGGAAAATGTTTACTGGCAATATATTCAATAAAAGTGCTGCTGGACTGGAGTTGCAGCATTTAAGTGACACTCGCTGAATGAATCCCACAAGATGCTAGGGTGTCTTGCTGGTGGAGTCACTAATTCTGCTGACGTAGACCAGCTGAGAAATGGCATACTGAAATTGGTGTATGACTCTGATGTGATATTTAGACCTTTACTATTAATTTTATCCAACTATCTCAAACCAGTGGTCAGCAGAGCCAGGTGTTAGCCAAATCTGTTGAAAAATCAAAAGCAAATACCAGAAAAGTGTTTTTTTCCCCAAATGCTGATTATCAGAAATTTTGAGTAATCTGTTCTTTGCCGTCATTTCAGTATATGCTGTGGGATCTCAGTATTTCTGAAGCCGTTAAGAAAGATTTTGCTTCTTTTGTTAAGACACTTTCTAGCACTTCTAAAGTCTGAAGAAAGCTGATGACTTGCTACCTTGATGAAAACCTTTTTTTTTGTTTCTGTGTATATGTCTTTTTTTTAACAACAAAGTATTATGCTCTGATTTTATAGTACAGACAAAGGTAATAAATGTTAATATTTAAATCCTTATATGATCCATTGATGACTGCAGCTGTACATAGCCTGTTAAAATTTTCTGTGGTACCCTTAGTAAGAAAGTAATGCTTTCTTATTTGTCTACAGGGTTTCTAAAATCTGCAAGATTCTTCAGAAACATTTATATCCTGCTAGCTTCCTACTGTTGCAGAAGTTGCAGTTTACCATTTTGAATGTTCTTAAAATCTTTTCAGGTTGGTTACCACAGTAGTGGCTGAATGGGTTACCATATGTATTCGTTATACAATATTAAGACTTTACTCTGAGAAAACTTTTATAAAAAGCTAATTTGGGTGATGCCAAGCAAGGCAAACATACTGATGCCTAGAAATCAAATCAACAGAGGTTCAGGAAAAATTTTGTTGCAGATCACAAAATGGGATTACTTCTTTCTGGAGAGCAGGATGTCTTGCAGCTCCTCATTGCATTTTTAGCCTTGTGCTCTTTCCCTTCATCCTGGGTTTACTTGAACACACCAGGACCTCTTCTTTTTTATTTGATTCACAAACCCAGCAGAAGACTGTATACACATTTAGGTTTTGTCTACCTTTATTACTGGATATTTTCTGCCAGGCTAGTGCACTGAGTCAAGTCACAGTTCTTTTTTTTTTTTTTTTTTTTTTTTTTTTTTTTTTTTTTTTTTTTTTTTTTTTTTTTTTTTTTTTTTTTTAATGAGCCAGAGTTGCCACAATGTAGCTGACAAAATAGCTGACAGAAAAGAATAAGAATCCTCTGATTCTGGCTGTGTTGAGCCAGTGGACTGGCTAACTCTAGCTGAATAACTCCAACTGGTTGTTCAAATTTTAATGTGTTAAGCTTGTTTTATTCCTTGCATATAGGCCCCCAAGATGAGCACTTTTATAAGCTCTGTATTGCCCTAAGTGTGTAATTTCGCATTATATTTTCTTGGGGGAAACCAAAGCCTTTGCTGTTCAGACTCCATATATTAACCCAACCATGCCCAGAATTGTTTGTGAAAAGCAATTAGGAGGCATTAACCTGTTGTTCTAGTGCAAGGGATGAGATTGGTAATATCTTATGCCAACTTCATTTCCAAACAAAATGTAAAATGTCTTTACAACCCAATCCTGACTATCTTCACTCTCCTGTGACTGGTGTCATTCCAAAAGAGTAAAACAGTAACAATGTTAAGCTCAGAATAAGTAATACTGAAAATGTGTGCCAGGTACCTGGGATCTGTCTTTGACCTCTAAAGAACAGTCTATTGAGAGAACTGAGATTAAGAAACTGTTTTTTTTGTCATTCTTATATCAATACGATGGTCATAGGGATGTTTCATTCAAAACAGAAAATACTATGAAACCTAGTGATAAAAAATGAAAACTGCTTGACTTGATTTGCATTTCTGAGTTGCATTGTATTACTTCTGTGAGCAAGATCAAGGTTTGCTTGTTTTAAAAGCAGCGATGAATGCTTATTATTCTTCCTTTTTGACTTACGAACCAAATATAAGGAAAAGAACAAGGGGGAAAAACCAAACTTGAGTCTTGCATAAACCAGAACTCAGCTGTCAAGCCAAACTCCTTCCCTGCTATCCGGTGTAAAAATCCACTACAGGCAGGGGAATGGAGCTTTTTTCCAGGGACATGGGAGCCACAATCTTGAGTAGAAACTTTTGCCATGGATGATCAGGTGATAAATATCCTCTATATGGATTCTTTATCCCTAGATATGCAAAATGTCTATGGAATGCTGTTTCCCTCCCCTTGCAGGTAGGGTTTGAAAGTTACTACTCACTGGAGAGTTAGTAACATCCTGATGTCTCCACAAGGATATCGGATCAGGGGAGCCTGCCCAAAGAGGAGACAGATGTGGTTAATATACACAGCTTCTCAGGGTTATGCTTCTTACACACAAAGAGCAAACATGAAGTTTTCTTCTCTGGTTCTGTAGCAGGTGTTACTGTTCTTATTATTGATCAGGAAGGTGTAATGGAGAAAAGTAATGGAAATCAAAGCCTTTCTCGCCCTCTGCAAGGATAGATAAATTTAGCCAGAAATATTTCCCAGTGCCTTAACATATCAGCCTTTATTTTCTTTTAAAAATTTCTCTTTTATTATTTTGTCAACTTTTCATCTATTACAGTAATTTCTTTTTTTTAACTAATTAAGCCTGGACATTTTCTCTTACAGAAGAACCAGTTGTTATTGGCAACCTTTTCTGTGCTACAAGCTGTAAAGATGGATTAATGAGTCATGTAGTCCTCTCGGTCATTGAAGGAATCACTCTGGTTCAAGATCATTATCAGGTTTGAGTGGTTTCCACACCTACAAGTGCTCTTTACAACATGCGTTAAACTTTTGAAACTAATGGAAATGTCTTCTTTTTTTCCTACTATCTGAATGATGAGTCCCCACAGAGGCTATACAAAGCTGAGATTTGTATGGGTATAGCTCTGATGTTTTAGATAGTGATACTCAGAAGGAATTCCTTAAGTAAACATTGGTGAGCTTTGAAAGCTGTAAATATAACTGGAATTATTAGAATTCCTATGACTAGAATAACTAGATTGCCATTCAATACCAAACAGCAGCCCATTCCTTTAAATTTTGTGATACTGCTGATTTCATGAGTCAGAGTAGATTCATACTTTTAAATCTTCACAGGAACAGCTGTGAAATCAAGACAGATGCAAATAAACTTCTTGGACAGAGTCATTCAGGCTAAAATAGCAACTGTGGTTACCAGTTGGGGTCAGTCTGTTTTTCTTTAATAGTGCATGAAATTACCAGCAGGAGAGAGTAACATTTGACATTTAGAGACTCATTCAGAGTTGGAAGCAGGCCTTTGGGTAGAATGCGCGTGTGTGTGCGCACAGAAAAAATACTGAAGTCATGCTTTTAGTATAGAATTTTCCACCTCTTTATTAAGTAGCTCTGCTAGTTTGTCTGATATGAACAGCAATGCTTTGAGGTAAACAGGCATCAGAGGCATTACTCATATTCTCAAAGTAGACTTTTGTAGAGCAAATGTCTCTCGAGCCACTGCCATTCAGTGAGCTACTTCCGCAAATATTAAAAAAAAATTGCAAAATCAGAAATGTGAATATTCAGGAGAAAAGATAAAAGAGAATACTACATAAAATATAATTGAAGAAAAAATGTGGATTATTGATAACAAGATTTTTTGGTTTGCTGAATGGAAACTGATGTTTAGAACACTTTTTTGGGAAAAAGATAAAAATGGTCAGCCTAATATAAAAAATTAAAAGCCTGTTTCATTTTGAAATTAAATTTCAAATGAAAATGTTGGCATTTCTTTTAATGGATGAATATCCTTGATAGGCTAGGTCAAATTTACCATATTTTTGATTGTTTCCAAAACTCAAGTCTTTGAAAATCTCTCACCCAGTTTCAATTACAAATAAAATGAGTAAAAGGAAAAAAAAAACCTTACCCATATTCTCACTTGAAAATATGCATCATCTAGTTGCCAAGACTAGACTACTAGAGGCAGTAACATAATCTCATGAATTTGCTAACCATATGATCACTGTGTTTTGCAGGATATTGAAAGAATGTGGCCTTCTTTCAACAAGGGGGATTGTGAGAGCGTGGCAAATGTAAACCAAAAACTGTCCAGTACTTTGGAGAGCTTTCTGACTGCCTTACAGAACACCAGCACTGGCAGCTGTGAATGTCAAATAATGTTGGAGAACACACGGAGAAGACTGCAAATGTAAAGCCCAAACGGTTCCTGTTAGAGATATGATTTTCTGCATATGTCTGTGTTTTAATTATGTAATTACAGGAGGAATGCTCTTTATCAAAGTATCTTTAAACTTTCATTAAACTGAAAATTGAGTGCACATAATGCACAAATTATTTAAACAAAATTTTGGATATTTCTCAAAGCCCTTACAGTTTTGCTGAGCACTTGCAGCAGATCTTGCTACTTCACAAAGAGAATGCTTTGAATTACAACTAAGAAAATTTTCAGTGTTCCATGACCTCACTTAGGTAAAAATTTTGATATCTTAATTTTTTTTTAAAGCTGTTTTGCTATGGCCTTGTGCTCTCAGCAGCTGGATATGTTCTGCAAAATATTGAACATTCGGATCAGTTCAGCAGTTCAAAGAGTCAGAAACATAGGATGGTGCTTGTAAACTGACAGGCTTGAACTCCAAATAATTTCAGATATTTTTTATTCCCTTGAGGAAAAATAACAAATTTTGAGTAAATGAATAAAACTGCTACTACAGTGTATTTCAAACTTGCTGTCAGTTAAAGTGGTCCTTGTTATAATTGTTGCTATGCTGGTTTGACTTTTGGATTGTTTTCATAATGGGCTTGAATGGTCTATGTGAATTATTATAATCATACAGAAGAACTTGAGCTTAGATGCTTCTCTTATGGATCATAGACTCATGCCCAGTTTTTTAATGGTAAATAATACCTTATGTGTGTATATTCTTTATCACTTAAATTACAATTAGTAATTTGAACTGCAGTGCTTTGTATCTCGATTTTAAGAGTGTGTATTCAGTACAAAACTTGGAAGTGAGACATTGCTAGACCTGTGCTTCTCCATAAGCTGGTTTGCTCTAGCACTTAGCCATCATGGGAAGATCTCTACATTTGCAATTTCATTTAGACATGAAATATGATGATCCCTGCACCACATAAATACAGCATGAGAAGGTCTGTAGAGCAGCTTACTGCATGCACAGTGTGTGCACATAGAGCATAATGTGACCATATGCTCTCAAAGAGCATAATGTGACCTTTTTGCCTCATTTAGTTGCTGTTTCACTATTCAAGTTATACTTTTTACATAGTAATGTCAATGACTTAGTTCTGATAACTTGTGAAACTAAGGCTATCATTTCAGGGTGGCTGACAATTTGGAGCTACAGTTGTCAGAAAATCCAGCGGCAGCTTTTCTGAACACTTTTAATCTTTTGAATGGTGGGTTCCAGTTTTCTTCGCTTTTGTACAAGTCACTGCTGCATAATTTTGCAGGACAATAACTTTTTCATTATTCTTCGAACTTTAAAGGGATACTGCTTATGGAGACTACTGACTTAATGCAATATATTTTCATTATACACATGTGCACATACATGCGCTTGAGTTGTCACAGGACAGCATAACTTACTCTGTTGGAGCCTGTCCCATGAAATGAAGACATTCATTAGAAAGAAGAGGAAATTTAAGTTAGTGGAAAACGAAAATCTTAAAGGACTAATGGCTGCTTCATGAATTTCTGATGTTCTCATAACACAGGGATGTGGAGTAACCTGTGGTCTTATAGGATAAGGGAAACAGATACACAAGCCCTTCAGTCTGCCAGGAGAGTGACCTTTACATTTGAAGTAGTGAATTACATGATATGAAGTTTTTGTGTCCTTTTTTACCCCTCAGAATAAATCTATGAAAAGGATACAGCCTGTGGGAAACTTAATTAAGCAGATTGGTACTGTTGGCACTATTTTTCTTCTCTTCTAGGTGTGAAAGTCAAAGAGTGTGTGCAGAATCTTACTCAGCTGAGGCTGGGCATTGGTTCTTCTGTCAATATTTCTGAAGAAACTGTCAGTACCATCTTGGAATCCAGCATTTCTCATTCAAAGGTAAAAGATCAAAAAGAGGTGTTAAATTAATGGGTCAATCGATAGCCTGATGTGCCAGCTGAAACAAAACAAACCACTTTGTGCGGAATCTTATATTCACTTGTCACTTCTATGTGGAATATTTATTGAGATTTAGGACTTGGAAATAATAATGTGAAGCATTAACAGATCAATTTATAGTAGCATAGTCTTCTGGTTTAAATGGCACTGTTTCATTACTTTCAGACACAGAATTTAAAGCTTTTCTGTCTTGGTACTATAGAAAAGGTGAGGATTCCTGGAGAAATTATTTTGCATCTTCCCACCTTTGATCCTTGCAGTACAGAGTTGTCTGATTTTTTTTTTTATTTGGTATAAACTAATCAGGTCAATCAAGCAGCCACTGGGTGTCACTGATGCTCCACCTGCAGAAACAGGTTGTAAGGTTGTCAAAAGCTTGGCTATTAAAAAGGCAGCTCAGGCTATTGTAACTACTTATAGGGGATTTTTTTCTTCTGCTTCTTTGGCCATGCTAATGCCTTCACTGTTAGCTTGTTATTTTGATACCTGTAAATGGTACTCTTGAAGAAATTCAGTTCACAGGTGCACCTGTGATCTTTTGGAATATTAATGCTAATTGTTTGAATTTTCAGATGACTTTCTAGCCTTAGTTTTGCGAAAGTCCTTTGTAGAGTTTAGATATATGTCCACATCTCACATTAGCATATCTATACGGAATTTTTTGTTTGCTTAAGTACTTAAATCCTCCCCTGCTACAACTACAGCGTTAAAGCCTATGTCTCTTAGTGATTATGCAAGATGCTCGAGTACTTTTTTAAGCTATAATTTAGGCACATCCTTTATGTTTATGGTATATATAACTCTAATGATAGTTGTGGAGTAGGAGTTTGGATTAGCTCTGATACTTATAAAGCTGCAGGGAAAGTTCAGAGGGATGTAATCTACTAGATAAGATGCCAAATGGGTTAAAAAATGGATATTGATATTCATATGGAACATGAGGAAATAAATTACAAATTGTATCACAGAGTCAAATTTCCTCCAAAAGAAATTGACCAAATCAGTATCCTTTTTGGATATTGTTCAAATCAGGATCATTATCAGCTGCTAGTAGAATTATATTTATATTCATATTCTGTTCCTTGTACATGCAGAAAAAAGGGAAAATGTAAATATATAGGAAATCCTTTGCAATCACAAAGGCAAAATTCTATTCCAGAATAAAAATCTAGATGTGAAATTAATAAATTGGAAATGAGAATGTTCATAGGAGTTAATGATTTAAATTGCATATCTTGACCAGCTTTGGCTCTGAATTTTATTTTCTTGGGGACCCTCTCCCTCACTGAGTACTGTTACTAGCTACAAATGCATTCAGTGGAGGCAGTATAGGCAGGTTGTCTCCTAAGGCGCACAGGGGAGCTCACAGCACTGTACTTCGGCTCCTACAGGCTTCAAACTTGGAATTTTTCTGGACTTGCTGCCATTTGTTTTCTTTCAGGCATTTCAGGAGAAAGGGTAGCTAAGAACTCCTGAGATGTACGGGTTGCAAACATCTGTCTTTTGATATGACATTTTTGTAGGAAGAAACAAACCATCATTACACAAGGAGTTTTTATGATAGTTTTGCCCAAGATCTGCTTAGGCACTTGTCCCTTCATCCAATATTAAATAATAACACTTCAAAGGAAGCATTCCTAAGGGTTAAATTTATGTGTCCTCTGAAAAAAAGGAAGGGCCATATTGTTTGATTTTAGTGATTCATACATCTAAATTTTGAAACTTGAGTGTTTCTGCAACAAAGGTGTGTATCTGCTAGAATGGGTACGCTCAGCATTGTAAATATGCCTGCTTATGGTATGATTGCTCATAGACTGATTGACTGACCTGTTCACAAATGAAAGTAAATCTTTATGAGAAATATACTTCATTTCTTTATATGTATATAGAATATAAAGTAAGAACATATCAATCTGATATAGAGTTCATTATTCCAGGTCTGTCGATGACTGCAAATGGTCATGTTACTGTGCCACAAATTCTCACCTTATTAACTATAAAAGAAGGTGATACATTTCAGGGCGAAAAATTTCTAATACGTATACATTATGACAGGTTTTTTACAGTGCCTTTCTGGTAGCTTTAACTGGAAGATGTGATGAAGAACTACTTAGCCTGCTGCTAAAGCTACCTGAAAACAGCAAAACTTCCCTGGTAGTGGAAGAATTATGTTCTTTAACAGCACTGGACATGTATACCATGTTTGTAATGATTATGCAGAATTTAAACGTACGTCATATCTTTTACAAGGTAAGATGGGAAAAAGAGCATTCAGTTCCTATGTTTTGTTTTGAAGAATAAAATACATAATCAATAAATAAATTAATAATGTCTATTACGTTCTTTCTCTGTGGAATCAAACCCTGGACATAAGGTATTTTTTGGTCTTCATTCAGCTCCATGAACAGTTGAAGAATGGGGTTGGTAGATGCTACTGTATTCCATTTCTTGCATCCTGAGGAAAATTATCATTGAGGACTTGATTATAAGAGCTTTAGAGAAAACACAGAAGATAAGAGACATAGTTTTATTAAACTTTAGCAGAGTTTGTAGTTCATGCAATTAGTCACTTCTGAATTTGTAAGTGTGGAAGACTGATCTAGCATGATTAGAACTAAAACAGGCCTAGGAGATCACATTACAAGAGTTAAAGAATATTTTATAGGAGAAATTCATAGGCCTCTGGAATATATTTCACTTGTTGTAGAAATCATGTTGGTAATTTATGTGGCTCCTTCAGGAACGAGCTTTGCCAGCTTTCAGGATGAGTCTCTTCTATAGGGCAAATCTATATTTCATATGACCGAAGTCAAATGACTTTGACAAGAATTATACAGAGCCAAAACTATAACGAAAGGGATACAGAAATCTGTAGCAAAACTGTATTATCTGTACATCTGTGGATAATTTGGGATCTAATGTGGGTTTTCAGTGAAATTATATTTTAATATGTAAGGGCAAAATTATTGGATGAGATTTCTGACAGTTAGCAGACATTATTTCAGTTCTTGATTGACAGAACACAAAATGTTTTAAGTACAAATAGTTGAAAAATAGTTACAATATTGGGAGGAAGAATATTTTGTTCTAAAGTTGTAGATGCTCAGTTGTATTCTGGAATGTTGCATGCTCAGTTAAACAGTTGATCACACACATTTAAAAACAAGGCAATTTCCCAGAATAGGTTAAGGTGCCAGAGGGAAAAGATTTCCACTTTCTGAATTATTTGCCGTCCTAGTGGGAGGAAAAAACCACAGGAAAAAACGCAGTGCTTATTCTGATGGATTTTTCTATTGAATCATACTGAAGCATAATGAATTCCTAGGAAATAATAAAAAAAGTTGCCAGCACATCCTAAATTATAATGGAAGTTCTGCTAATTTTTAACTGAATATGATTTTTTTTTTTTTTTTTTAATGTGTAAAACCAGGTGAAGGCTGAGGAGAAAATTAAGCACAGACATTATTAGAGTGGGAAGCCAAATAAAAGTGGATAAAATAAAGATAATCAGAGGAAACACCTGAAAGTATATAATGAGATCATATTGTTTTTATTTTCATGCATAGGCAGGTAACAATGAATCAGTTTGTATTACCATGTCATCTAAATAACCTGTAAAAGCAAAGCAAACAGAGAGAAAATTCATAATGCCAAAACTTGCATGGTGGAAACAACAAATAGCCAATTGAACTTTAGTCAAGTAGGGAATGAAATACAATTATTTTAGGTAAAAGCAGTTCATATGAAAAATGCAAAGGGACGGACAGTGTGACAGGAAATTTTGTTGTGTAGTGTGATTCCTAAAGCAATTACAGTGGTTGCTAGTTTTAATTTAAGTTATTAATTAATTTTAAAATATTGAACTGTTGCATTGAGCGTCTTGAACCTGTTGAAAGAAAAGTTCTCATTTACACTGATTTCTGAGGGGACAGGATGTTGCAGATCCCATTAGCATCTTGGGTTGGAGAGCTCTCTTCAGCTTGGAAGGTATAACCATGTTCTCTGGATTTTAATTCCTGTTCTGTCATAGGCCAGTTCTAGTATTACTTTAGACCTTTTCTTTAGCTGAATTTGAGAGTAACTGGGGAGTTACACTATAAGGAGTTTTGTTAAACATGATTTGCAGAACATTGTATAAGCAGTTTGAGAAAAAGACTGAATAATTTTAAGTGCTTCATGGAAAGCTTAAAATTTTTTTTCTAATTGGAATTTATTATTGTGATATTTCCTTCTTTTCCAAGGTTAAGATACCATCTGAGATAGGCAATGTACTAAACATGCTACTGGATGTGGTTTCTAGTATCAGCTCTCTTCTCGATAAAGCCCACCATATCATGGAAAACCTTCCAGTGTTCCTCCAAGGAATTCAAGATATTGGTGTGCTTGACATCTCTGCATTGTGGCAGGTATATGTATCATTTTAATATGCAAACTTAATTCCCATCATGAGGGGTCTTTTAGGGATGTGTACTAGTAGAAATTGTGTCCTAGAAAGTTGGGAACTTAGAAGAGAGTCTATAGACCCAAGGTAGATTCATTTGATCTCTTTCAAGACCTCTGGCAATTTTGAGTCTGTTGTTGCACTGTTTCTGTCATCTCTTTCTTTGCTAATTTATGAGATCATAGCCTAAATGAATATGGGATTAGGCTACTGATTAATAATAGCGTGTATTAGCTGTGATTTGGAAATAGCCTTGCCGTTTCTGCTGGTGTTGTGGGGTTTGGTTTTTTTGTTGTTGTTTGTTTTGGTTTTGTTTTGGGTTTGTGGTTTTGTTTTTTTTTTTTTTTTTATGACCAGACAGTTACTCTGTTTGTAAGAAATAACTTTGCTTTTTTTAAGGATAAAATTTCAGGCTACCATGTGCACTTTCTGTATCTGCCGTATGTTTCTGTTTGTATCATTTAAGGTTTTTGTGGGATAGTTCTGCTTGACATTTTAAAAAAAGCGGCATAAAGTGTGAGTGAGGATATTTCTTTTGACCCTGTCTTTAAGGGCAGTTGCTGTTTGCACATCTACACAGATAACACTGTGTTCGCTGGCTCTGATATTAATCAGAAAAAAGATTTCTGTTTCTAACAAGGTCCAATTCCATAAGAACATCCGCTTACCCCTATGGCATTCATTACCTTCTGGATTTGCTATTCTCTGTGGAAAGTTTAGGATTGAATCTGGTTCTAAAATTGCAAACCTCTAAAAGATCCCTCAGTAGTAAACAATGCAAACTGGTTTGTGACTACAGTACAGAGTAAACACTGCCTTAAATACTGTTGTTCCTAGTGATATGAACCTGTCTCAGTATCTAATCTGTGTGACAGTCACTTTGTAAAATACCGTTTTGTGCACATTAGTTTTCGTTTTGAGCCTCTCTTCTTTGGGCTGTCACGATGAAAGGTGGCTTTCATCAAATGTTTACAGCTTTTCTGCTTTCCTTAAACTAGTTCTGTTTGTGTCCTTTGAACAAAGGAAGTAGTCTTTTTGGAGTGAAGTGGCAAAGTTGCTTATTTGATAAAACAACCTCTCAGAAGGTCCTGTTCAAAAAAAAAATTGCTAAGGAACAAAAAGAACAGCAGAGGGCCATCTGGTCATGGTTTTAATCTTTGCTCCATGGCAGCCCATATTATTCTGTAATATAGCATAGATTTAACCTTGGAATTTTGGTTCCTTTTTACGTCTTGCCTTTTCTGGAAACTTTTTCTGATAATAAATTAGATGTTTGATGTTTTGAAGGGCTCTTCTGTCTTGTATCTTTTTCTCACTTTGTAGACTAGTAGAAGTTGTTTATTTTTAAGTATCCTTTCCTTGTCAGGTTTAACAGGATTTTTTTTTTTCTACTTTGTATTAATGCCTTTTATTATTGATTTTTTTTTTTTCTGCTTTTCTATAGTGCCAAACCTGTGCTACTGAATAAGTGTGCTACTAAAGTGTGGATATTGGTTATTCACTTTCCCACCTAAATATTTTCTTCTATTTCCATCCTTCTGATTTTTTATTTTCGTGATAACCAACTGCAAAGTAGTTCAGTGACTAGGAAGATTCCCAAATAAAGTATGTAAAGGTTTTTAAAGTAAAAGTATGTGGACCTTCAGCATAGAGTAAGACAGATTCTCCTTCATTAGCTTCTAACTCAAAAAGTTATTTTGAAGTTGATTTAAAAAAATATAGATTTAATTACTTCTATAATGAGAGGTAATAAAGTAACTGTCAATTGTCCATGTGGATTTTTGTCTGAAAGACAAAATGAAAAGCAAGAAATACTTTTAAATTATTTGTAAAATGTGGAGTTGAATTTGTGTGCTACATATTGCGTAATAAAAGATGTAAAAACTCAGTATCTGCCAACGGGATCAAAGATAACCTTTTGTGAACATCCATCCTATATAGTTCTCTCACTTTATCAAAGCCAAATTTTAGGAAACATATCTTATTGAGTTAGTGGATATTTAGTTGAAAGACAGTAAGTAGATTCAGGCTCTTGGTGGCAGCTTACCGCATAAATATTCATTATTTGAATTTCAAGTTATTTTGATTGGAACCAGAATTAATTAGCAAGTTTGTGCTCTTTGACTGAAATAAGCCTCATTTATCCTTCTAGTCCAAATAGTCACTAATAAGGATTCAAAACCACTTTTATTCAGCTTAAATAAAGTTTATTCCTCCAGTAGATCCCATGCCAACAGATTCATTCAAGAGCAGTAGATGATGATGATGTGAAATATGGATATTATTTAATTGCTATGATGTATGCTGAAACCGTATGCAAAAAGTCAGATTTTGGGAGCAGCCAACACTGAGTTTTAAATAACACTTCTAATATTCCTCCAGGATTACTAAAGAAGCACCTGGCACTTCAGTAAATGCATTGAGAAGGATAAACTGTTTCTAACAGCACAATCTCTAAACTGTCTGTGAATTATTCTTTATGTGAAGTGCTGTGCTACTTTGAAAACTGACTCTTCTGTTTAAAAGATATCATTCTGGTGATAAAATGCTAATTTATTTTGGTGTCAAATGTATTTGGTTGACATGTCACGGTCTTTTATCTATTTGCCAGTTGTGCAGTCTTCAAATGATATCGGATAGTCTAGTTACATTTTTCTTGACAAGCATCTGCATCAGGCGGGCCAATGCATCCTTCAGTTACACTCTACAGTACGTTGCCTTGCAGTTGTATCCTCTCTTAGAACTGTGCACCTGTACAGCCTTCCATGAGATACCAGTTACATTTTACCATGAGATACCAGTTACGAGCACATTTTTTGAAAAATGAGGCTGCACAGAGGAGGCTGGTCACTTTTGGTTTTTTTCTTTCTTTTTTTTTTTTTTAATGTGGTGAACGATGGCGCTTAAGCCATGAAAGCAGTCAGATTGCTCTACACATTAGATGTATGCTAGGCATGAGCAAATGGCAATAGTAAATGCTTGTATGACCCAATATGTGCAAAAACTAGAAGAACGTTTAACAAGTTAAAAGACTTACTTGAAAAACAGGCTTTTAGGGCATGTGCACTTGAATGTATTTTTTTTTTCTAAACAACTGTTGTCACTGCAAACATATGCAAAATGGTTTTGGTTCTTTCTGCTGTCTTTGTGCTACAGGACTAACCTACTAGAAGAGCAGACTTTGTGAAAACTAAAATTGTCATCAAGAAATCTCTAGTCCAGTTGTCTTGATATTTTCATTTCTTTTCTGCCTAACCAATACATAGTGTTGTTTTTTTTTTTTTTTTCAAAATTTAATGTAGTATGTTATACCTACTGTCTTTCATTTAGTAACCTGGCAATTAAAACAGCATTACTTTTTTTTTTTTTTTAAACTCCCATGATAAAGGTGATCAGGAGAATAGAGAAGAGCACAGCAGGCCCTCATTCTTGTAGGCAGTTTCATCAGCCTAATTTTGTCAAGCTCCTTGGATGCCAATATTGAGAGAACACCAGGGCTACTCCCTGAAGCTACTAAAGTAACTTTGATTCATCTGTATTTCTGTTTGTTTGTTCTAGTTCTTGCAAGGTGGGCAGTTCAGAAGTTCAGCTGTTGGATCCCTGGAGTCTGTAATCAAGGCAGTGTGTAAAGAAGAATCTTCATTTTTCAGCAATGCAAACCTGTTCATTGACATGCCCAGAATCATGGGACTCTTGGAAGACAATATGGCAAAATATGGCATTCCTGAAGACTCAAGTAAGAAAAACTATCAATCACAAGTTGCATGTATGCATTCAGAATTTAGAGACTTTTTTCCGTCTTGAATGGAAATGTTTATATACCAGCTGACATCTCAGTTGACACTGTAATCCTGAGCACAACGATTGATCAATAAAAGTTTTATGGCGATGAGATAATTGTGGATGAGACAGAAGGGATTCTGGTTGTTTTCTATCTTTGCTAATAATAAATAAGAATATTCCTGTCTTAGAGACATATTTATTCGAATTTTTAAAGCACTTTGTATTAAAAATATATCTTTGAGATACACGATTGAGGATTTATTGCTGCATGCCTTTCTTCTGTGGGCACAAAGCTGCGGTATTATCGTGCAGTAAAATATGCAAGCCCTCTGGATAAAATATTTTTTTTTTATAATTGATATTCCTATTTTCTTTATCAAGTGCCCAGAAAATCTCTTCGCCCTTATATAATTTCACCTTTGCTCACTTTCTTCAATATACACTTGAATTACCCCATTTAATATAGTTAATAACCTTGCTAGTGCCTCAGTGGCCCTGTGCAAGAGAAAAATACAGTGATAGTGTGTCACTCAGGAAGGATCTGTGACTGTGAATCATGGCTCTATCATCTTTGAGTTTGTGCAGCCAGAAACTGACTCTGGCTTGGCTGGGACCCTTGGGAGGGAGCCAGAGCTCTGCTGTAGCCTTCGTCACTCGTCTGTAGGATAGCAGTGAGCAGGCAGCTCTGCTTTTCTTTCCCATTTGAAGAATGGAGTTAGCAGGATGGCTAATGAGAGAGACTGTTTGGGACTTAGTCTCTCTGAAAGATGTTAGGCCAGAAGCACTATCTGTTTCTTAATGTTTTGTTTTGTTTTAAATATTGTCACAGCACTGGAGTGTCGTAAAACCTTTTACTATAGGACCTTGAAAAATATCTTTAAAGCATCCAATTAGTTCCAGCATTCCTGTAAGTGAATCAAAACTGTTTCCCGTATTTTACAAATTGGTAAATGAGGCAATGGAAAATGAAAATTAAGAAATTTCTATGACACCACAGAAACTTGATTTGTATTCTTTTACAGTGATTAACTTATGTATTTTGTGTACCAGGCACTTGCCAATGACATTCTGAAAATCACAGGAAACTGAGATTAGCAAGTCTTCTGTGTCCGTAGCATATTGATGCTACTGAGTGGCCAGTTTGGAGCCTCTTAATTCTTTGCTGTCTTTTAGCAATGATTGTATTTGGTAATGATTGTTTCCTTTAAGAAAGTAAACATTTGGGCAAAGAATGGGGTTTTCCTAATGATACATTTCTGAAATTTGTTTCTTTAACTTTTGGCAGGATTTCAAATGTTTTTGGTCTGTTTTTCCATTATGTACAATAATTTGTCTTCCTTGAGAAGTCAATGGCATTATTTAATATTTCCTCACAGCACTGAAAATGGGATATTTCTAAATCCACTCATAATAAATAATAAAAAAAACCCCAAACACATGGGCTGGTCATAAAAATGTAAATGTTTCGCAAAAGAAACTCATTGCCTTTGCTTGAGTGCAAGTGCAGTGGGATATCTTGGAAGCTATTTCTTGGATCCCAGTTCTGAAGGACATACACCCTAATTATTAGAGGCATTAATAGCCCCATCTGATGTAGGAACACAGTTTTGGGTTAAGGAATGGACAATTGATTAGCTTTTTCAACTCAATAAGTTAACAGTCATGCCAATTTTTTTCCCGGGATTTCTGGTAGTTTCTTGTGAAATTATACAAATAAAGAATCTGAAGGAATTTGTGTACTCCTTTCTTAGATAGGAAAAGAAAGCTATGGAACAACTGAGGGTGTGGATTGAGTCTGTTTTTTTTAAGGGGACTCTTCTCTGAGCATTCGTTTTGTGAGCAGAGGTTTTGCATGTGTCCTTCCACTCTAAAATGCACTTATGTAATTTTTAGGATAGAAGGGGTTCACAGGCTGCTTTTCACAAATGTGAGAAGCCCTTTGGATTCTAATTCATTTTTTCTTTTTTTTTTTTTTTTTTTTTTTTGTCTAGTATTTGTCTAATGTCTAGGGTTCTTCATCCTCAACACTCTCATGGACTGGGGATAAACAATTTTTATTTAGGGACCTGTAGTGATTGCTTAGTGATAGTTGGATGGTATTTGGCATGGTGCTGAGGCAAATCCTAAGTCAAGAGTCAACCTTTTCTTAAATAAAAATAATAATAATCCAACCTCACCTGTGTTGTCTGTCTTAAATGTGAGTCTGTCTTTGTTTTTGCAGGTCCATTTTGCTTGAAGCTTTATCAGGAGATTTTGCAGTCTTCTAATGGGGCTTTGCTATGGACTTTCCTGAAACCTTTATTACATGGGAAAATACTGTACAATTCAAACATCAACATGATTGACCTGGTCATGGAGAAGGTGAGTACCAAAAGAAACACTATTTCTGTTTATTGATTTTGCCTTTGTACTTCATTTTAAAGGTCCACTTCTTTCAGGGTAGGTAGAAACAATCGGATAATTGCCTTTCAGAAAACTGAATCCACCATGCCCCCAAGTTCTCACCTTGTTCCCACTTTAAGCTTAATATTTCTCTTAACTTTCATCCTGATTGTTACAGTTGCTTCATCTCAGTGTGAAAAGCAGAATTTTGTTCTTAAGTCTCTTAAACCTTGTATAGAAAGATCAAAAGGAACACGTTAGCAGAAGTGTCATGTGAATCATGCTGTGTCAAGGTGTTGGATATATGTATTACAAGTCAGCTTTTGCCCTCATCATTTAATTATGATGGGAACTCTAATAGGGCAGCACAGGGAACTGAGGGGATGGGATCCACCAGGAATGAAAGCCTATTCTGAGTGAGTCACTGAGCTGTGTTTGGAAAAAAAAAAAACCCAAACAATCTATAATGCATCCTTCTTGATTATGTTTCTAACACCAGTAGCATGAATGATCAGTAGTAGCTGAGCTGCCATTTGTGTGGTTGCAGGTGACTTGATATTATTCAACAGTTTTATTGTCTCTGCAGTTTTGCTATGGTAGGTGTTCTGTCTTGAGCATGGTTATCTGCAATGAGATGTTTGTTCATTACTAGCTTTGAAGCACTTCTGTAAGAGGAGCAAATTTTCCTTTTACCCTGCAAATATATGATTTTTACCCTGGAATATCAATTAGGAATTAATAGAAGTACAGTTTAGGTTAATTTAAAATCTAGAAAAAAAACATTACTGTTTGTAAGTGGTACACAAAAAGACTGTAGTAACTTTAAATGTGATAACTGTTTTCCACGTAAATGAAGTACAGTGTATTCTGTACTTGTGCACTAGAAGATAGTAAAAAAACCCGAAGCCAAAAAGCACATGCTAGGTAGCAGATACTAGGTAATTTTATAGTTTCTGCTGTGAATCAGAAATAAACTTTCAGTGATTTCATATTTCGCAGTTAAATAACTTAATTCATGCAACAGGTCATCTCTCTGGAGTTGAGTATAATTAATTTTAAATTTTTAACCAGCTAAAAAATGAAGCTGCTCTTGATGTTCAATAGATCAAAATTCTATAAAGAATGAGTTGGAAGAAATGATGAAAATTCCACATTGTTTTGAATACATAATTGTATTATTTATTACAATGAAATTTAGAATAATGTATTTAAGAAATTTCCACATTATTTTGCCAATTAATATGCCAAACCCACATTCTTAAAAAGCATCTGTAAGATAAATCTCCTGACAGACATTGTATTTGCCTATAGATCTTTTACTGAAATCAAGACTGAGTAATACAATTCAGAATGAGGTTTGCTTGTGTTCATTTGAGTTTGGTTCTTTCTTTTGTTTGTGGTGGTGTTTTTTTTTTTTTTCGAATGCTCTGGGACAATACAAAGATTCTAGTATGTGCCTCTAGCACAATGTCTCGTTCTCTTTATGTATTTTTCAGACTCACAAATGTTCCATCAGTTTATTCAGGAATCTGTGTTAAATACACTCCCACCCTTCCTCCAAACCTGTAGATTCAACAAGCAATTGTGGATGTGTATTTGTTTATGTGTAAATCTAAAAGTAGTAGGAAAGATTCTTCAAAAAATTTTTAATTTGTTTTATTACAGAAGCTTATCAACTGTTGCTTGAACAGAAATAAAATTTAAATGCAAAATATTGTCCCAGTTATCTCAAGTGCAACTACTAAAAAAAGACCCTGTAGCCCTTACTAAGACAATTCTACTGAAATTAGAACAGAAGTTCTGATTTCATTTAGACTATATGACCATATGGCAGCTATTTGTTACAAGAAAAAGGTAGAGGATTAAAGCTAAAAGGAACATTGATGTTTGTATACTGATAGATTCTGTAAGTTTTTCACATGCACTACTTTGTTTCCAGACTGTATAATTGATCATTCTTAAATAAATTGTGAGATTGCTGGTTTTAGCTTCTAAGAAGGCAGCAGTTCTAATGTGTAGAATAACAGTGACCATCACAGATGCAGGCTGCAGTGCTGACTGGGAGCGAAAAATGTTCAGTGATAACTGGCATCCAGGAGTTCAAAGACCACGTGTGATGTCTTTGAGCCTTGCTTTCGCAACATTTTTTTTTCCGTTGATGAGGTGATCTTATGAAAGTATTTCTTATTTCAAAAGATTCTCAGAATTGATCTTATATTCAGGCAATCATATTAGGACAGCTTTGTGCTATTTCTTTGTAATTGGAACATTCAGGGAAAAAATAAATTAAATATAGCAAGGCAATTGAGAAATGAAAGAAACAAAACTAGCCTAGCAAATTAATTAATGTTTCCTGTCTTTTTGTCTAGTATAAATAGAAAAAACAATATTGAGTTGCATAAGTTCATATTCTAAACTTACATATCCTCACTGGCTCTGCATAAGCACACTTGACTTGTCAGCCTGTTAAAAGATGTCATTACAAAAGCAGTTCAATAAGTTCAAAATACCATTTTTATTTATTCTCGCATCAGGAAGGGGCTTAGAAATATTCAATCTAAACAGGATGGTAGTTGATATTGAACACTCTAATTTTAATCAAAGGCAATATCCAGCCTAGATGTTACAAAGAATATTCATTTTAATGGATCTTCATTGATTAGGAAGAAGAAAACTTGAAGAGAATTTCTATTAAACATCAAAGTCCCTCTGGTCATTAGCATACAAATTCACAAGAATTGCTTTACCATGTAAGATTAAACATTTCTCTTGCCCCAGGTTCTGATTCCTACTGTAATTAGTAAAGGCTGTATAGGGAAGAAGAGAAGAACATGTCCATAAGTTGATATTCCCCCCAAATACTGTCCCAACATCTGAAAACTTGAGGGTCAGGCTTGTCAGGACATTACTGCTATCATCTGTCCACTTCCTTTTGTATTTTATATAAACGCTTAGTACTCATAGTGCCTGTGGTGAAAATGTTCTGCATCAACAACTTCCTCACTTGCTTCAACTTCAACTCAGGAAACTTCTTTTTTAAAATCCTGTGTTTATATCTCCCAAATATATTTATTTTAATTCTCTATTTTCACTACTATTTATTGTAATTTATTATTATTATAGCAAAATTAAAATTTACTTAGTACAGACTTCAGAATTATTAGTCTGTAGTCCCCTAGTTTCCCTAGCACCTTTTATGAATAACATTGCATTTATTATTTTTCAGTTCCCTGATAACCAGGGAAATTTAATCAGGAGGTTACACTACAGTGAGTACTTAAACTATTTAATCCTTGAGCACTTTTAGAATTCTTGGCTGGATGTTATCTTGTCCTGGAAACTACTTATTGTTCATTATGTTAAATTGTATGACCCTTTTTTTTTACAGTTCCTTCAGTTTGAGATAGATTCTCTAAAGCATTCTTCATGTAGAAGACTTCTGACACAGGAACTTCCCAAAGGCCTCCTGTGGTGAATGATAAGGCAAAAAAAATTCAAACAGAACCCTTTTTTCATAGAATCATTTGGATTGGAAGGGACCTTAAAGATCATTTAGTTCTAACTGCCCTACCATGAGCAGGGACACCGTCCACTAGGCCTGATCTTTCTTGTTTTCTTATTTGAATGTAACTTCAATTTTTTAAAAGGATGTTTTCTAATAAATTCCTGCTGTGTAGTGTATATGTGCATGCATATGGTCTTTCTCAAGTCTTTCTCAAATCTTTTTTTGATGGACAGATATCATAGAATGATTCAGGTTGGAAGGGACCTTAAAGATCATCCAGTTCCAACCCCCCTGCCATGGGCAGGGACACCTCCCACTAGAGCAGGTTCCTCAAAGCCCCATCCAGCCTGGCCTTGAACACTTCCAGGGATGGGGCATCCACAGCCCCTCTGGGAAACCTGTTGCAGTGCAGCACCACCCTCACAGTAAAGAATTTATTCCTAATATCTAATCTCAATCTCCCCTCTTTCAGTTTTAAAAAAATACCCCTTGTCATATCACTGCAATCCCTGATAGAGTCCCTCCCCATCTCTCCTGTAGCCCCCTTCAGTTACCAGAAGACTGTTATATGGTCTGCCGGAGCCTTCTCTTCTCCAGGCTGAACAGCCCCAACTCCCTCAGCCTGTCTTCATAGGAGAGGTGCTCCAGTCCTCTGATCATTTTTGTGACCTGTTCCAACAGTTCTATGTGCTCTCTGTGCTGAGGACTCCAGAGCTGGATGCAGAACTCCAGGTGGGGTCTCAGCAGAGTGGAGTAGAGGGGTAGAATCACCTCCCTCTACCAGCTGGCCACTCTTCTTTTGTGTATGTCCAGTTTCTTCTGCTGCCTTAAATAGTCTCTCTACTTCCTGCACACGTCTTACCCCTTCACTGCTTTTAATTTCTTTCAAATAAGCTTCTACATTATATAAAGTTCATCTCTTACAAAAATCCATGCTGCTACAGTAATATTTTTTTGTTTGTAAAAGGTTGAATATAATCAGGTTATGGTTACTGTAGCTCTTTGAAGGTGACTTCAGCAAAAAAATAAATAACCTTTTGTGCTGTTCAGAATCAAGTCAAAAAATAGTAAGATCTGAGCTCAGATCTTAGAAGCTGCTTGATAAAACAATTTCTAATGATGTCTGAAAATTTGATCTCCTTGTGTTAGTGTGACCCGTGCTTCTCTGTACTGGGGAAATAGCAATCTCCCATATTGGCTGTTTGCTACCCTTGCAGCTTTTCTGATCTCCCTCAGCTTGTAGACATCATGCCTGGATGTGATCCTGGTATTCAGGCCTGTGATTTCAGCCTATGAGGGTTCTGTGCATGTAGCTTGCTAACAAAAGAACTTGTTTAGCTGATTTGACACCAAATTTCAGTTTAATGTTTAGGATCACTCTCCCTTGTAAGTGGAATGAAGAATGTCCTATAAGTTAAATGCATAAATGCTTTTAGGAAAATAAGCTTATTTGCAAAGGTCTCTTTGGGGCCTTCTGTACTACAAATGGAAAGAAAGAACCACCACAAATTGTTTTCCCATGTTGTGCTAGGAGTGGGATTTTGCAAAAAGCATTCAAAATGCTATGGAAAAAATGGTGTACTTTCAATAGCAATTATTGCAAAAAGTGTCATCCCAAATTGGAGTTTACAACTCATTGCAGACACCTTGCTGGGAAATGTCACGATCTCTACCATAATAACAATGCTGGATTGTTCTTAAATGCACTTCTGTGACTGATAACACCAATTTAAACAAAAGGATGCTGCAATATTTTCTAATCTTGAGTACACTTGTGATCTGTTTAAAATAGACTGGAAAAAATTGATGGTTATTTGCTGGTGGCTAAGAGAGAAATTGTACTTTATGTTTGACTGGGACCAAGGATATTTTCCTATACTGCAGTGTTCCTCTGTGAGAATATTTTTAACTAGATTGATCAGTTGAATTTATTGTTCTGACCATGCTTCCAACTTTCACTTTTATTATATATTCAGTTAAAGTAGTTTAAATAAAAGACCAACATGAGCTGTTAAGACTTTCTTTTGAATATGTCCTAACTATTTTTTTCCTGTTTTTCTGAAGAACCTCTATGATACTCTTTATGAAAGAGACATTATAAAATAAAGAGGGCTTTATGTTACTTCAGGTAGGAAACATACACTCCGCAGGAAGTTGTCGATTTGTTTGGTATTCAGAGACTGTAACAAATACTTTTCATTTCTTAAGTAGAAAATAGAAAACATGGATATCCTTGCTGCTGACTATAAAGGTGAAATGGAAAGGTGTTGCAGAAGATCTGAACAATGCTAATTTTTCCTGTTTCTTAAGATTTGCTATGCACAGTTTTTACTTTATTTGCCTCCATGTATTCTTTTCCCAAGGCTAATTTCACTTTTGGTTTTGTGGAAAACTTGAAGACTTATTCTGAGACATGGCTTAGGATGTCTGAGGTTTTTAAAACCAGTGGAAATGTCCTCAAGGTCTCACAACTGCAGGTTGGTGAACTGTGGGAGGGCTTCCTATTTTCCAATTATTTGCTATGTGATCTAGGCAGAATTTCTGTATATGTAGAAACTGCCCATCTATCTGGCTTCAGGTTTGAAAAGAGCTGAAAAAGAGGCAGATTAGCTTTAGGTTCTGAGCCTACAGTTACTGAGATGAGATACTGATACTGAGAAAATTCTGATGTGAAAATATTTAAAAGCAATGTTGCCTCATGATATCCAATATTACCAGGCAATAGGGGAGATAAAACAAGTAGGTATACTTACTTGTAAGTAAGCTATATACACTTATTTAAAACAAATGTAAGGTTGTAGGAAATATGTTCTGAAACTTGTTTATCATTCCTTTTTCCACAATGTGTGCATCTGATGTGGGAAATACTGACTTAAAAAAAAAAAAAGAGCATTATTGTAACTTGGATTCTTCCCTTTCTAAATATTTGTCCTTTTGTTTTCCCCAATAAAATTTAGTTTTGCCATTTTTGACTTTTGAAAACATGCATGGCTGTTACACTTTGCAAAAATAAGCAGAATCCTGTCATGTGCCATACATATCAATTAAACTATTACTTTTAAGTTCAAATAAGGAACGATGCTAGTAATCATGCATTAGAATTGCAGATCCCAGGATTCTCTTGTACAGCTAATAATTCCCACCCCCCCAACTCTTGGCAAATGAGGTAAAGAAGTTAAAAGAATTCCCAAAGGCCAGTTTTAAAAAGATATTTATTTTACTACTGCCAGTGCTAATAGTATAATGGCCATAAAGTCTTGCAGGAAAAGAGAACAGGTTTCTGTCCCAGCAGACTTGCAAGGACATCAGAATGGAGTCACAGTTAAAATATTTGCAATAATGGCAGGCAGTGATGTACAGCAACGGGGAGTATATGTTCTGCTGTTTATTTAAAATGTGCTGAGTTAACCTATTAGGAGGGGAACACTGAAGACATGGAGAGGCTAAGTGACTTCTTCAGTGTTATGCAGGAAATCTTGGTAATGGAATTGAACATGAATACATATCACAGAATCATAGAATTGTCAGAGTTGGAAGGGACATATGTATATTTTTTATTTCTTTAGGGAAGATAAACCTGATGTAACATGTATCGCTTTTCATTTTAGGAAGCACTGCAAAGCAATTTCATAAAGCACTTCATAGAAAGTAATTTGGATATTGACATGGAAAAACTCTTGAAAAAAATGCAAGTATATGGTATGTACATAAAAGTGCATGTACTGATAATCCTTATTAGACTTTAACTTGAGTTTAGAACTACATTTAGTTGAAATTGAATCTTTTACCTACTTAAATGATACTAAAGTGCCAGACTTCTAAATTCTTTTGTTGAGTTAGTCTCAGATAGTTCTAATTGTCTGTTTTCTTCTGAGTGACTGGATAATTTGCATTTCAAAGTATTGAAAGACTTGAAAAATCTGGTAACAAATTAGAAGTGGCAAAGTGTCATGGGAGAGTTACAAACATGGAAGCTATACTTAAATGGAGGGAAGGGAGAAGTTATCCCAGTAGCCACATTTCCATTATGTGGTGGTAAAATTTGTAAATTTTGAACAAAACCTATATACTTTAAATTGAAATGGAAAATAATATTGCATACAGTATGTTTAACCAAAATCTATCTGTATTTTTTTTTTCCTCTCCTTTTATTGAGATTTAGTTGTGTGCGGTCTCCTTGATATACAGATATGATTGTAATAAGGGAGGAGAAAGGTTGGGCTCAAGTCAGCAGAGAGTAACCAGGGTGAGACCCAGTGCTGGGATGTCCAGGAGGGGATATGGGGGCAATGCTGAGGCCAGGCCGGGCTGTAACCCCATGGGTAGGAGTCTGGGCCCAGATCAGCAGGTCCATGGCCAGGTCCACAGCCAGGCTGTGATGTGGAAGGAGCTGCATCCTCAGGCAGACCCTACAACAGCTCTGTACAGCTCTGATGATAAAGGAGTGGCTGTGGCTCAGCTGTCTGCGCGGGGCTGCTCAGTAGTGTCCCCCTGGGTGACAGCAATCTTTGGCTACACCCTTTCTGCATTGGTGCTGAGCCCTGGCAGCCAAACATCCATGAGTAGAGAGTAAGTCCTCCAGCGCCAGATAGATATCCCAAGGGGAACAGTTTATAGCAGAGGAGGTGGGAATTATTGCAAATAATTTGGGGTACACAGTAATTTAAGGAGGAGAAGAGAAAGGATTATGCTGGAAACCTAAGTTACTTAAAGATTTTATAAGAATTATAAATAGAAATAATAGAATTATAAACAGAAGTAATAGAAAAAAAATCAATATGTCCCATTGTAAGTAGGATAGGTGCATGATAATTAAAATGGGTGGTGACATTTGCCAGGAGGAACTGTCCATACCAAAGCAGAGTGTAATGATGTAAATATCATTACACTCTGAAAAGTTCATGATTTTTGGCACCAGAAAGAGAGAAAAGTGGGATAAAATTCAGTAACAGATAGTGTGACATCATGTACAAAGGGAGCTGGGTGCTTCCTAGAGGAAGATAGTGGTAGAGAGGACAGATCTGTGTAGTTTGTTATCAGTGAGTGTTAGGGTAATTACAAGCCAGACACAGATCTGTTCCAGTTGTTTGTTGAAGGAGGGCAGTGATGAGCTCTTGGATGCCCCCATGAAGGAGTTGTGTGACCTTCATTGCTGGAAAAGAATGGACTTGACATCAATACAGGTTATTAAGTTATAGTCAAAGAATTAAGTCTGGAGCTAAAATAAACAAATACATGTAGTTGAAATGCAACTTTTATTGGATCTTGGTACTTGCCTCTAAGCAGAAGATGAGGAAAAAAAACCACTGAAGCTCCTGTAAGCTTGTAAATGGTGAAGTGTGTTCTCAGTTTTAAATTTTACTGCTGCCCTGAGCTGGCACTGTTGGGTGTGAGCTGATGTTCTTGACTTTCTTTTGCACACAGGATGTGAGATTTAATTGAAACTGGCCGTGTGAGCTGATGTTCTTGACTTTCTTTTGCACACAGGATGTGAGATTTAATTGATTTGATCAAATTGATTTGAAGGCTAGGACTAGCTATGCACAATTTTACTAAGAAAAATGACAAATTTTGCCCAGAATTCATTCCAGAAAGTAACAATCTGGGCTCAGTATTCTCCTTAGGCAAGGGACTCAAACTTCAATTTGCTATTTCTTGGGAAAATTTTCTTAACCACTGAAATGTTTCCTAGTCTGAGTCAGGCATAGCTCACCCATCTTGGTGAAACTGGGTCACAGTACAAACAGTAATTTAAGGAGGAGAAGAGAAAGGATTATGCTGGAAACCTAAGTTACTTAAAGATTTTATAAGAATTATAAATAGAAATAATAGAATTATAAACAGAAGTAATAGAAAAAAAATCAATATGTCCCATTGTAAGTAGGATAGGTGCATGATAATTAAAATGGGTGGTGACATTTGCCAGGAGGAACTGTCCATACCAAAGCAGAGTGTAATGATGTAAATATCATTACACTCTGAAAAGTTCATGATTTTTGGCACCAGAAAGAGAGAAAAGTGGGATAAAATTCAGTAACAGATAGTGTGACATCATGTACAAAGGGAGCTGGGTGCTTCCTAGAGGAAGATAGTGGTAGAGAGGACAGATCTGTGTAGTTTGTTATCAGTGAGTGTTAGGGTAATTACAAGCCAGACACAGATCTGTTCCAGTTGTTTGTTGAAGGAGGGCAGTGATGAGCTCTTGGATGCCCCCATGAAGGAGTTGTGTGACCTTCATTGCTGGAAAAGAATGGACTTGACATCAATACAGGTTATTAAGTTATAGTCAAAGAATTAAGTCTGGAGCTAAAATAAACAAATACATGTAGTTGAAATGCAACTTTTATTGGATCTTGGTACTTGCTTCTAAGCAGAAGATGAGGAAAAAAAACCACTGAAGCTCCTGTAAGCTTGTAAATGGTGAAGTGTGTTCTCAGTTTTAAATTTTACTGCTGCCCTGAGCTGGCACTGTTGGGTGTGAGCTGATGTTCTTGACTTTCTTTTGCACACAGGATGTGAGATTTAATTGAAACTGGCCTTGATTTGAAGGCTAGGACTAGCTATGCACAATTTTACTAAGAAAAATGACAAATTTTGCCCAGAATTCATTCCAGAAAGTAACAATCTGGGCTCAGTATTCTCCTTAGGCAAGGGACTCAAACTTCAATTTGCTATTTCTTGGGAAAATTTTCTTAACCACTGAAATGTTTCCTAGTCTGAGTCAGGCATAGCTCACCCATCTTGGTGAAACTGGGTCACAGTACAACTGGAAAGGCCCCACAGAATCACACATTTGGAAAGACAGGAGGGAGGAAAGAGCAAGTCTCTTAACCTGCATTGCCTGCTGGAAACTTAGCAGTCTCAATATATTAGTTGAGTAATAGATGAATTTTGGTTGTTTGGACCTAACACTGGGAACTACATGAATGGTTATGGCCAAAAAATATTTCATTAAGTAGATCATCTCTGGAATTATCAGGTCCATCTTCACTGCTGCAGACAAGGTCATCACAGAAATCTGTGCATGTGTTTCTCAACCGATAGCTTTTTAAGAGATAAGGACATTTGACAATAAGTAATAAAAGGCTAATAGTTTTGGATAGTGAATACAGGAAATAATTTAAGTAGAATGGCTTATGAAACTAGAATTTCTTTATTCTAATGGGATACAGTCAATAAAATTAACATCATATAAAAAGTGAAAATCAATATGGCCTATAGATCACAATAGCATTTATGCCTTTGGGAAGCTGATCTGTCCAAAGTGCCAGAGCGCTATTCTGCATTTATACTTTGATTTTTCCTCTTTTCGAAATTCACATTGTCATTTTGCTTTTTAAAATATCACTATGTGCTCCTATTTTTATGTTGGTTTTGTGTAAGTTTTTTTGTTTATTTTATTACTCTATAATCATGTGTAGCTGTTACTATAAACCCCTGTTACCCCTGTTCTTATGTTTTGGGTTTCTTTAAATTTCATTACTCTCATACTGCATCAACTTTTAATCCTGTAATTATTTTGCCTGAATCCTACTAAAGTTTTAAATATATCCATATATGTTATTGGGTTTACCACTCACAATCTGTTTATTTCCATCCAAAGCTCAGGTTTTCTAAAATCGCCTATTCTGTGTGATTATGTATTTTGTCTTCTAAATAAAGCAAATATTCCCTTGGTTTATTACATCTACACTCACATTAAGCTGACTTCTAATTAGGCTCAAATCCAAGGTGCTTGTATTTGCATCTTTTTTTTTTTTTGAATTCTCTACAGTCTATAACAGTGGTTAACAGTCTTAGTTAAATGATACTCACCCTGCTACTCCTGCTGAAAATTGTTGTGGACACAGAGTGGATTGATGTGGAATGCTTCCAACCTCTCTATAAAATTATCATGCTAAGAGACCTTGCATAGTTATAGATTTCTAAAACTGTTTTACAGGGTTACTTTGTCAGTTTACTCACCTGGAACAAAGTAAATGTTTAACTGATGGTAGAAAAGTTTATAGTTTTCTTTTTAAACCCTTCTTTACTTTCTAAACTAGCTGTGTGTGGGCAAGTCAATTGTATTCCTCTCTGCTTTCTGACCCAGGAATTTGCAATAATTTCCTGGTTGTAACCAATTTTATATAAAACCTGTCCTGCTAGAATTTGTGAGCTCCTTGCTGGGTGCAGTCCTCATGAACCTCTCAAGAGGCACTGGGAGGCAGTTGTGCTGCAGGATCTTCGTTTAGTTTCTTGCTCGTTGAGTCTCTCACTTGTCCTTCTGTGATTTCTCCCAGATGTGAAGTATTTTTTCACTTCCGAGGAAAGGCAGCTTTCCTTCATGCTACCCCTCTGCTGTCCTCGTTGTAATGAAGTAGTTTTATGTGTATATAGAAAGGTAGAAATGAAGAGTTCTAACATCATAATTGAAAACTCTGCCACCACCAAAATCACCTGATAGGGAGAAATTTTCTCTGAATTTCTGACCTAAATTCATTCATTGCTGGGTCATTCCAATTTATTCTTCTTGCAACCTTTTACTTAAATAGCACTTCTACCTAGTATTCCCTCCCGGTTACTTAATGATAGGTTAAAGGATCTAATTGGAAGATGAGGGCTGAGTTGATATGTAACAAAGTATGAAGATAACACTGAAAACAGATTTGCAGATTTGTTATTCATAATTGCTACATTTATAAATTGGAATAATACAAGAAGATAGGTAATTCTATAGATCTGAATTAAAAAATTTTCCTGTGGATTTTATCTGTTCATTTATATGTGTTATTTCTACGCTAGAGTATAGAAGTTAATCTGCATTGTGAAAGACAATGTTTTGCTTCCAGAAACATTTAAGTATGCCGTACTCCAAGCAAGCAGCAAGCTAGTTGGTATTTCTTATGCTAAAATATTCAATAGTTCAATTCATTAGAGAGAAGTTTTTAAAGTTAATTATTAATTTCAAATTAAGGTCTTTCAAAGATCAGCTGTTGAAAAGATCTCTGTTTTTTTTTTTAAATGTGTATATATATAGGGCTATATATAATTATGGACACGCACACATATATATTTATAAATATAAAAATATATACGAAAGTTTAACCCCTACTCTTTGGGCTTAATGTTAGGAATATTCTGTTATCTCTAATGCTACAAAACAAGTAGCAGCATCGGTATTTCCTTTGTTGTCCTCCTCAAGGAGGACATATAGTACCTATGTTTAGAGCTGTTTTCTCTCAACCCACAAATTCACCCTGTCATTGCTTGCATGTTTTCTGAGTTCTCGACTATAATACTATCAGTTCCTCTATCTTTTTGCCTTGTGATCTTTATCCTTTCTCACCGGTAATCACGTCCCTTCTACAGACTACTCCATATATTTTTCTAATTAATCTACCTTTCTATCGTAAGAAGCTGAATAACATCTGTGATTCAGGCTTTATCTGTCACCACTGTTATCAAACAAGCTCACCACTTATCCTTTTTAAAGCCTATATGTTCAAGTGTGTCTTGAAAAATTTAAGATGGAAACTTTTGTTGGATATTTTATGACATTATTTATTACCTGAGAAATTCAGGTGTTTCCATTAAAACCAGATGAGTTAAGATTGTTTCTAGATCATGCTATCTTCTGGTTATTCTCTCAAACATAAAGATATAACACTATCTCTACATTCTCTACCAATGGATGAAGATCTGAATTCTTCCAAAGGTTCAGTGCTTTTGGAAAGCAGCCTTTGGTTGAGGTATACATTCATCCTGGATCCATAGATAAGATCAAAGTCAAAATGGAGGGATTGTAGGCTTTTTGAGATGCTTTTTAAATGTAGGGCTTGAGTCAAAATGCTTACGTTCTATATAACAAGCTGCTTGAAATATTTGCAGTGTTAAGGAGAGAAGAAATGGACAATATGTTACTAGATGAAAGAGGTGTGTCTGTGTTTTAATGGTCGAAGTACAGTTACTCACTTGTATTTGTGGGAGTAGTTATGGAAAGATCAGGAAATATAAATAGTCCTACAGCTTCAAGGACATGGTTTCTTTCTAGAACTTTGCTAGAATTTGTTACATTTTTGTTGCTCTGAAAGTGAAGGGAAAAGTAGTTAAGAACTTGTAAAAGGCACTGAGACATGAACTACACTTCCAGAAGTTCACACTAAAATTCCCGTGTTTTTAAAACATCATCCTTTTTTTTTTAATACAATACAATTTTTTTTAATAAAAATTACTCTCATAGGATGTTCAAGTGAGAACATAGCTTTCTGTTTGTTAAAACTAAGCAAGTCCAATTTGTTTTCTGATCTTAGAAACTATGATGAACAAGATGCTTAGCAGCTCAGCAAGTAAACAGATTGACCTGTTGTCACAGCTTGTAGTAAATATCTCTTCCTGTGTGTTACTGGACCGTTTCCAGCCTTTTGACTCTGTTGAGAAATTGGAGGAGAAGGCTCATGAACTCATGCAGCAAAATAATTTTTTGGCTAGTAAGTACCTTATTTAAAATGTATATTGACATAAAAATCAGACTTTATAGTTGTCTGTGTTTATTAATATGGTACGTTAACCTTATGGCGTTTCAAAGTGTGGAATAGTCATAAATTTTTGAAATACAATAAAAAGAGATAAAAAATTTATAGTACTGAGGAAACTTGATTACTTATGACAAGATCACCTAGTATACATCCTTTCAAATTTTAATTCTTATATTCTTGGCTTTGCAAAAAGGAGGAAAGAAAGTGGGGTTTTGCTAAGTTTTGTTCTTAAACCAACATCTCAGAGAAATTAACTTGTTTATTCAGAGTAAATAAATTCTTAAACAATGGACGTATTTCTTTTCTTCCCTGGGATTATGCTCTCTATCCTTTTTGTGCATTATATCCTTATTGCTGAGAACCAAATAGTTGTACAAATTAGTTTAAAAGACAAGAATATTTTTCTTATTGCACACGCTTTCTCTTCTTGCATAAAATGCTTTAAGTTGCAAGTAGCCTTTCCAAAAGAGAGCCCCATTTAAGTCTGTATAAAGTGTACCACATTTTTTTTCCCCTGTTGCTTGGATTTTTATTACCTTCCTGGACTCCTGTAAGTACACAACAGAAAACATGTGAAAGCAGTTCTAGAGAATAAAACTACTCAGTCTGGAATCCAATATTTGTTCTGTAACCTGCACGGTATTGCCATTTGCAGAATGTGGAAATGACTACCCTCCATCAATATAACACCAACAGGCCATATAATGAGATAAGGAAAATTTCTCAGGAGTACTTTGTAGGGAGTGAAATTGTTTCCCCCTTCAAGAATCAGAAAAATAGATCTTGGCCCTCAAAAAATTGAACTGTCAAGTTCTAGATCCATTTTGCTTCTACTTATGTAGAGAAGGGTTCATATGTTAATATAAGCCAAGACATTTATTGGGATTTTTTTCAGTACTATGACCTTTATAATCTCTTAACACGCTTGAAGAAGATGGCGTTTTAAGGGATGTATTGTGTCCAGCACTTCAATATTACATGCTCAGATATAGAAATACATTCCTTTCCATACTGAGGTATGAAACTAAAGTGGAATTTTCCTTGCTTTCTTCGTTTGTAGTCTTCAAAGCCTTCATAGCCTCAGCAATTGTCTTAGGAAATTAAATGTTTGCATAAATGGGAAAATTAGATTGGCTGGTTGAAAAGATAAGCTTTAGACAACAGTCAGGTATTCTCTATCATATTGTCTTTCAGAGGGCCAGTTGGTAGGTAAGACAGCTCTCCCCTTTCTGAAGGAAAAAAGGTCACATTCATCAAAAAGTCCTAAAAACTCTGGGTCAATATGGTGAATATGTTTTATTTTACTTCATCTTTCCAGCTAAAGATTAAGCTTTCATCTTTCATCTTTTTTTTTTTTTCCTACAGAGTTAGAGAAAATAAACATGTGAATTCTGCTGCACTAAACCAGAAGTTTTGTAATTGACTCAGAGATTAAAAATCATAGTAAATTTTAGTGGGTTGGTACTGTTTACTTTGTCACTCACTTCCAGGGGTTGCCGCCCTTTGATGGACAAATTTTATGGCCACCGCGTTCATTGTGGAATTGAGTTCCATCCCCAAAAAAGGGTTAAATCTGGATACAAAGAGAATGAACCACAACTGAAAAAAGCAAATTACAGAAGGAATTTTCTCAGATAAAAATGATTGTTGCATACCCATTTATCACGTGAATAACTTTTTACATTTCACATTCATGAATTTTTTAAAAAATAAGTCTCTATGAAACCTACCATTCTTGTGTTTGGGGGTCAAGAAACTTTGGAGGTCTGCACTGCCAGGTGAATGTACCCTATTGTCATATGATAATTGGCCATGAGTTAGCTATGTAAATAGCATAAATTGTATAAGCTTGGGTATGAAGCTCCTTTTCTTCTTGTGTCAGGTATCATCTTCGATATGCCAAAGAACAAGACACAAGATTCTAGCAAACTCTTGCCACGACACATTTCATATACAATTAGGACCAGTGTTCTCTATAGCATGAGAACAGATTTGATTAAAAACCCAGCGTGGAAATCCCATCCCCAGAAGTTGCCAGCTGATGGGTTTAAATACAACCACATCTTTATTCCTCTTCAAGACATGATTGAGAGGGCAATTATTTCAGCACAGACTGGGACAGATACCTTAGTGCCAGCCATTCAGGTGCAAGCCATGCCTTACCCTTGTCATACCAGTGATCTGTAAGTAAACTTTCAGCTTTTTAATTCAATATATTATCCTAGTGGGTGCATGTATATCTCAGCATGGGATTGAACCAGTGTGTCCAATACTAGAATATTGCAGCATAGCAAATGTTGTTTAACAGCTGTGACCACAACACATTATGCAACTTCTCTCTGGCAAGTGACCCCTTAGGAGCTGTTTGCAACTGTACTGTGGAGTAGTCTGTTAGACAGAGACTGTGTCAACGTATTGTGCAACTGACTTAGATTATGCTGAGAAACCCACTTTCCATCCTTAATTGTCCTGTACACAAACTATAAATTGGTTCCTGACACATGTATAAATACAGTGCAAAGTTGATGAAGCAAAAGAAAATGCGTAGAATTGTTTATTGTGAAACTGTCAAAATATCATGACTATTAGAATTTAAAACTAGTCAGTTGTTATAAATCTGGTAAAATGGAGCAAAAGTTGGCTGGCTCATGCTATTCTTTACTGTCGAAGTATATTGCTCTACCATAGACACAAATCTGAATTCTGTTTGAATTTGAAATGGAGCTCTAAAGAGTGATTACATCAGTTGTATTGTTGACAAATACTAATATTGTATTATAGAACCAATACATGTATTTAGGTTGTACATGAAAAATAAGTAATTCTAACCAGAACAAGAATAAATTTTATTGCTCCTGTTGAGTCTATTTTGTGCACACTTTGAGAATATTCCTAATAGGAGCTTATTAACATTCTGCTAAAAAAATCTTTTACCTTTGGAGGCTAAGAACTCTGCATATATGTTCTTTCATAGATTCTTGAACAACATAGGGTTTTTTTTCCCACTTATGATGATGTTAACATGGATGGTTTCAGTTGCTGGCATGGTTCGCAAGCTGGTTTATGAAAGAGAAATTCACCTTGAAGAGGTAAGAGGCAAATTAGCCTCTGAAAATAAAATTTATTTATTAAAGTGTACTGAAATGCAAAACTTAAACTTTGAGGTACTTTTATGTACTCATGATCCAGCTGGCTTTGTTTTCACTTGTTTCCTCTGGGCAGAAGGTTCTAGTTCTACCTGCCAACTCGGATTCACAATCTTGTTTAAGCATCAGCCCTCTTAGTATGCAAATATTTTTTCTGAGACAAACAGCAGCAAGCAAAAGATCCATAAAAGCTGAAGTTGAAAACTGTAAATTGTGGTTTGGAAAAAGTCCTTGTGATTAGAATGGGATTTTTTTTTTTTCATTAAAAATTTGCCCTTTACTATGTAATTATCAGAAATATAAAGAAGGATGACAGAAAAAAAATGAGACAATTATTTGCTTACATCAATGGCTAGTCTTAGCAGATGCTAAGCATATGGAAGGACACTGGGTTTTATGATACATTTTCTGTATGGCTAAATATACTTTTTTTTTGGAATTATACTGGTCTTTACTGCTGCATTAAGCTTTTTTAATTTGGGAAATTATCTAATTCTCTAAACTTTGTTTTGTAAGAGAGTCCTTATTTTTTTAATGCTTTAAAATATTAAATCAATTTAACAAAGTTAATTTTGATCATCTTATAAAAAATGCTTCAGAAGTAGTATTAGCTTGTTTCCAAAAGCTTTTTTTTTTTTTAAAAAAAAGGGGGGGGTGTGATTCTTTATACCTCGCTAGATTATTATTTGCATACTAATACATATAGGTTTGCAAACATAACCACATGTTGCTTTTAGTTCAGCAACAGGCTTGGGGAAAAACTTTTATTTATATAGTACTGGTGATATCCTCAGTACTTTTTAGAGTATAAAAAGGCAAACTCCTCACTGGAGGACCCGGTAATTTTACATCTGGTTCTGTAATGCTATGCAGAAGAGGGTTGTGCCTGAGCACTAGGATACCTCGTATTAGTATGTGATAAGCTCAGAGGCAGCCCTGCTCAGAATCGGGTTTCATGCAGCAGAGAGCAGTAGAATGGGTAGCACAGGAAAAGGGAAAGAGATGAGTAATCTAAAGGGAAGATGACATCCTTCTGGGAGCTGGTGGTGTCTTGGTGGCAATGTGTTTTGCTTAAAAAAAACCACACACACAAAAAAAAAACCAAACAAAAGGAGAGAAGAAGAAAATTTATTTCCTAACTTTAACTTTCTTTGCTATGTTGTCTTGCAGTATATGAAGACAATGGGTGTACATCCAGCCATTCATTTCTTTGCTTGGTTTCTGGAGAATGTCATTGTGCTCACAATAAGCAGCTGTGCTCTGGCCATCATTTTAAAAGCAAGTGGTATCTTTGCTTATAGCAATGGCTTCCTCGTCTTCCTTTTTCTCCTGGATTTTGGAGTTACAGTTATTATGTTAAGCTATTTTTTGGGAGCATTTTTTAGCAGTGCTGATACAGCGGCTTTGTGTGCCAGCCTTGTGTATATGATCAGTTTTTTACCCTACATAGTTTTGTTGGTCTTGCAGAACCAGTTGAGTTTCATCAGCCAGGTTATAATGGTAAATATCTCTTTTCCTTTTCTAATTTTTCTCCTCCAACCACAATGTGCTTTTCCCAGGTTTCTGTTTGCTTTTGTGTTTCAAATCACACTAATAGATATCCAATTGATAAAATGTTTTTAATGTACAAAGAAATAAAAAATAATTTTTACAGGAAATTTTGTAAACCTACAGAAAATATAAGACAGTTGAATTCTTTATGTTTTTGCCTCAGAATATTTGTAATTTTAGTGTACTTTCAAGCACACACAATGCTGAAAGTCATTATTTGTTTGGAGGAAAACTAGTGATAGTTTCTCTGTTGAGTGAGGATTAGATCAGAAATTTGTCTAGTGTTTATCTGTTTATACAGGTATATGAGGTGTATGTTTTCGGCATCAGTTCTTCCATGTCCTTTCCTGTTTTATATATGCCATAGGCTGTTTTATGTCTTTGTATGGTTTTAACATACTGCATCCCTGATTGGGACATCAAACATCACCATCATACAGTGCAAACCATATTTCACACGTATGACTTCACTCTTTCAAAATAAGTCACATACCATATTAAGCTGGTGGAATGATTCATACGCTATTAAAAAAATGGACACCTTTCAGTATCAGTCAGATCAGTCAGTTAGAAAAATTATATTGATTATTTGCATTGAAGTAAGCACAGACTTAAGACTGCAGAATTCTGGCATAAATAGGCAGGGCAGAATTTTTGGTTGGTTTATTTATTTGTTTTTTCTGTTACCTTTTTTTCCCCCTTTCTTTGGGTCACAGAGAGGGAAAAGCATGTATCAGATAACTTGCACACTTTAAAATCTGTTATTTCAAAATAACTCTTCAGGTGGATTTTCTGAAAATCACAGGGCAGCAGCATGTGAAAAAAGAAGTAGTTTATGATGAGCAGAGGCCATCAAATGGGATGGTGAAACCTTAGCAATGTACAAGGGAGGGACTCAGTTGATGGAAATTAGCATGAACTTCTCTGTACAAAAATGTTTTTTGAATTGTTTTGAATTTTATTCAAAATAGCAGCCTATGTCATACTTCTTTCTTCAGACAGCTGGCAGGATGTGTTCCGTTTGTGTAGAATACTGCAGAAACCTTATTTAGTTGCATTATTTTAAAATAGGAGATAAAATGAACTTCCATTTCAGCTCACTTTCAAATTGCAGAATTTTATCACTGAATAATGCCTTCACAAGATCACCAGAGTTTTACCATGGATTATCAGTCACACTTCCTTTTTATACTACATCACTAACTTGCTCATTTTCCATTTTGTGCTTTTGTGATACAGCATGACTCTGTTACTTCTTAGAAGTCAAATGTTATGTCCTTGTACAAAAAGAGCTGTCTCAGCATATCGTACCTAGTGTGTGTGTTCCTTCTGCCTCTGTCTCTTCTTGACTTCTGGTCTTACAAAAATGAGTAGGACCACTGATCTTAGTACATAAAGTATATTCCTTTGCATGCTTTTACAGTGTTATACATTATGTTTTTTCAGTCTGTGGTAGATTTATGATGGTCTGTAACTCGTTATAAAGTTAAATAATGCTTTCCCATATTAATAACTAGGTCAGTAGAACTTTTTAAGATGGAGCAAATACTACTGCAGTATGTGAGGGAGTATTGTTAAAACATAAAAGGAAATAATGACCATTAGCCTATGTGAAACAAATGTCTATTTATTTTGTGCTTGCTTTTAGTATTACAAATTATTTTATTTCACAGAGCTTGTTAATGATGTGTTTTGTTTGATGTTCACATCCTCTTTCTCCTCTGGTGTTGTAGTGTCTTCTGTCTACAACTGCCTTTGGGCAAGGAGTATTTTTCATTACATTCTTTGAGGGCCAAGAAATAGGTAAGCTCTCTGGTTAGAGGAAAAGCTTTGTAATTATTATTTCAGAAACTACAGTTGGAAACAGTTTTCACTTAGTTCTGAGAAAAATTCTCTAATAATGTGTTAACAGGCTAGATCATAACAGGAGAAAAAACATTTTAATGTCTCTTGAGAACCAAGTTAAGCTTGTGCTGCTTTCTAGCAGTAAATTAAAGTGGGCTTAGCAGGGCTCTATTTACAATACAGGTTGGAGGAAAATATTCACATCCTGTTAGATGAGAGAATGAGCGTATTCAGCAAATGAAATTGTTCTAGAGATGCAAACTCAGACTTTATATTAAGTGAAATTCAGTAGAGCTACCTAAAGGTGAACATCTGAATGAATATCGTTTCACTCATTGAATATGTTATTTCCCTCAGTTCAGTGGAGGAAGCTTTAGCAAGGCATTCAGAGTGGTTTCTTGGAAGTCCTCATTGATGTCAGTGGCAGCTCTTATGCTTGCTTTCTGGTGAGGATATCAAGAGGGACTTTTGTAGGATCACAAAATATTTGAGGTTGGAAGGAACTTCTGGAGGTCATCTAGTCCACCACCATTGCTCAAGCAGGGCCACCTAAATGGCCTGTAAGCTGGCTAAACGTTCTAATAGGTTGTCCTACTGTTGCCAAGCTAAGAGCTGCCCCTATTGATGCTAAAACTTCAGAAAAGTAAGAAATTAACGTTTAGGCCATTAATAACTATCTAAAAAGGGTATGCTTTTATGTTTCTAAACATATAAAGGGATGAAATCCCTTTCTTTTTTTACTACTACAGCAAGATGAATATTGATGACAGTGGATGTTACAAACCACAAAGTATTGAAAAAGCATCATAACAATACAAAAGTTAGTAAGAGTGGAAGAGACAGTTGCAGAAAATATTACTTAAATTTCCCACCGAGACTTCATCAAAATGACTCATCTTTGTTGAAGAAAGGGCAAAACACGCTTCGTGGAAAAACTGCTTTTCTTGACACTTGTAGAAAAGGAATTGTAGAAATAATATCATGACTCACTATACTGCAAACAAAGTAGCGTTTTCAGAAAAAAAATGCAATGCTTTTTGTAAATCTACAATTTGGTTACTTTTGTTTTCCATTTAGCAATATGGTAGCTTTCTGTAGTACTACTTTTTCACCTTCTTGTGCAAAAGGTTGCACCTTCTGCAATGTAATAATTTTATGAAGCAATTATTCAGTGAGTTTGTTATTCCAGTTTACCTCCGAATACAGTCAGTGCACAAAAATACTTGCTTCTTAGTTAAAATTCACAGATTTAAGTTTTCAGATTTAGCAATATAGAAATGACTTTAAACTTTGTGTAACCCATTTCTTTATAAGATCAACAGAATGGCATAAAGCTTGATTCATTGAAGAGGTCAGTGCCCCATTTTGTCAGTCATAGTTCTATTTCTTTTGCCAAATTAAGGGCCAGCTAACACTTTGTAAACAGCCCTTTCTACAACAGCTTCTCTGCATTTTCCCAGCAGCAGTGTCACCTGCTGCTCTAAATAGAGGCTTGTAGAGGCATAGCAATTCATTTCTATTCATTAGGATTACTGTTATTAACTATGGTCTTTTTTGTGTCAGTGCTTAAATACCCAGAAGTGTGCGATGTTGATGTGTTTGTGATCTTTAATGCTGTACTGATTTAGCTGTGACCTTTTAAAAATCGTTATTATTATTATTACTATTACTACCAGGAATTCAGTGGAATAATGTGCACCAGTCAGTGGCGCAAGGAGGACACATGACCTTTGGATGGATGTGCTGGATGATGCTCTTTGACTCCATTTTATATTCTATAGGTGGCTGGTATTTTGGCAATATTATTCCTGGTAAGATCATGGAGATGTTCTTATTTCACATTTTTGAAGTTATTGGATGGAATGGATAGAATTGGCTTTCCTCATTGTATGCAACTAAAACAAAAACATTTCCCTTTCTGAGCTGAGGTTGTGATGTGCAAAACTGCCTGATTGCCTTTAGGGACAATCTTGCTTAGGACTAGGAAAGTCTTCCTACGTACAAAAAATATTGAGTAGTACTAACACATGGACTAGAATTTGTAGCCAGGCATGAAATATCTTTTGTTTGCTTATGAGGAATTAGGAATTCCTTGGTACTTCACAGTAACAGAGCTCAATCTAGTACCAAAACTTTCTGTGAAAATGGTGAATCTTCTAAGATTTGAATTGCCTGGTAACTGTATCTTGCTACCAGACAGTCCACAGTCCAATGCATTAAGAAAACTAACTTTCAAGCATATTTTCAGAAAGTAGTGGGATTTTTTTTTTTCATTAACAAAGTTTTGTAAATATTATTGAGTTGGTTGATGCATTTTTAATTGTAGCCTAATGCCTCGCTAGCCTTTTGAAATTTATCTTTCCTCTGATTTGCGTATGTTACTTGCAGCTACTCTGTGTTAAAAATATAACAATTAAATATTGAATTTGCCTTGAAAGACAGGGGTGTGTGTAATATACAACTGAATTTTACAAACTTTAGCTTAAATTACCAGGTGCCCTTCAGTGTGGATGAAATGCAACTCCAAACACACAGAGAGTCTATTGTGTGATTTCTAAGCGAAGTCTGGAAAAATTGGGCACTGCCAAAGTTTAGGTTGTGTGTTGGAGCATTTTTTTAATGCCCTTTCTGTTGTGTGCTACAATAAATGTTTCTTATGTTGGCTGATTTGTGGAAATCATGCAGATAATAATGGAAGAGTAATCTTTAGTGATAGGTGAAATGGATTATTTTTATGATAAAAAATAAGGCTGTTTGCCTTGGCAGGCTATTTGGTGCATTTTCTTTCCCCTGGATCACAAGATAATGTTAGGCTGTGCCTACATATTGTTAAGTCTATGATTCTATTACATTTTAAAACTAATTTGGAGGTAAGGTAAAGCACAGTTGGTTATTTTATGGCAGGAGCTGGTGTTACGGACAAGTGACTTTTTTCCGGTTTGTTAAGTAGAGCTAAGAGTTAATAAAATGATCTAACCAGCTCTTTGTAAGTAATGATAGGACATTAGTAGTCTATAAACAAATTTGAAATTACTATAAATCTTGCAACAGTTTCTATCATAACTGTTATGTAGGAAAATTTGGATTAAAGAACCGATGGTACTTTCCGTTTACTCTTTCCTACTGGAAGAACTTGTGTGGTGCAGAGAGGAGGAAGAGACATTATCTGAATTCTAATATGTTTTTCTTCAATGAAAGCTTCCAAGAAAAAGGTTTGTTGTCATAATAGAATTTTTATAACAGCTCTTTTCTGAATGGTGTGCTGATTTTGATCTATCTGCTTTTATAATTTCCTGGCTCTATATTATGTGTTTAGATCTTGTCCCTTTCTCTCCTCTATTATATAGTGTATACTATAAATGTTATCTACTAACTGTTCATTGTGCTGTCACCTGTAATGCTTGAATTGTTCAATTAAAACTAGTGTACACACATATTTAAGAAAATGCTTAAAAAATTGTAAAACTGGTATCTCTTGAGTTCGTCCTGTCCCTGTGTATTGCCTCTTTTCTTTGTTAGGATCTTCTGAAGTTCCTTGACTCCTTTCATATTCTTACTGAATCTGAAAAGTGTTATGCTTTGTTAATTTTTTTTTTAAATGCAGTTTGATTTTCTTCCTTCTCCTTTGCTGTTTTTGCTTCTTGTTTCAGTGGAAAAATTAAGTTTTTTCACTTTCTTCCTTCTATCTCTTACTTCCCTCTTTATAATCTTTCTAGCTCTGTTTCTTAGCCTTTAGTTTAAAAAGCTACTGTTATTGTAACTAATTTGCCTCCAGATACTATCACTGCCCTTCTATTTCTATGTTCACTTACTTAAAATGAATTTAGTATTTTTAGGGTTTTTTTCCCCCCTCTCAGGTCTCTTTAAGGACTTTCTCATGATTCGTGTTTTATAAATGTATATTCTTTCTTGGGCCTTAAAACAATGTGATGGGTTGTTGTGGGTTGTGGAAGTTACAATAGCTTGGAAATGATCCAGTTGTCTGTAGTACAGAAGAAGCAGCTGAACTCCTCAGCAGTTTTATGCATTGTTATGTCCTAGAGTAGAGCAAACTTCATAATGTCTTGGGGTTTATTTAAACATTTGTGGAAAAGCTATCAGCATGCGTTTTGTCTGAGTTTCTGCAATTTGGAACAATTCCATTTTGTTGAGATGGTCCTTACTAAAAATGAACTTTTTCAATGTTTTGCGTTTGATTCACCACAACCCCTATGGAATAACACTCTCTGCCTGAGAAGTTACTAGCGTGGTCCCTAGTTTAAGCCATCCAAATGATTGGCTACAACACTGTGGATCTGTTCATCTCCCTTCTCTGCTTAAACTGCTGTATTTTATGTGCTCGGTAACAAATTGCCTGCGTGAGAACTCTAATGCTGCCATGCATGCAAAGGAACTTGCTCTCTTTCATAACAATCGGGCATCATGTACTGATAACGGGGTAAAAGCATTCATGGATAATTTGCTTGGAACAGCAAAGTGACTTATTTCCAGGCAATTTCTGCATTTGTTCCATATAGTCCAGGTAAGGGTTGGTTCAGTGGGAGTGGAAAGCACTTTGGAAATCAAAGATGCATCAGGGAAGAGCCCGAGTGTAGGTCCTATGAGCTGGAACTATGACTGGAGTAGGGCTGGCAGAACCTGGGTGCTGAGTATCCGCTTGGAACTCCTCTTAGGCTAAGTCCTAGGGTGATGAATTTACTGCCTGCAAGTAATTTGGAGCTCTTGCTCCGAATCTTACCCATGATATATGGGTAAGTCTGAGGCTCACTCTGTACTTCAAGATTTTTTTTAAGTTCCAGAATGTACTTGCAAATTTAGGAAAGAGTTTGGTCATGGTTTTAGTCTCCAGATCAAAAAATAGAGAAGTTAACTGGAAGAGAGGTTCATAGGTAGAAGGACATAAAAAATGTCACAGGTGCTGGTAGTGCCTTGCTGGAAGGCTTCTGGCAAAAGTTCTCTCTAAACTTAAAATTGATTGTGAAAGGAGCACAAAACTTCTTCATTCACAGACTAAACAAACCAAACCTTGAAACTATTGTATCATTTTTTATTTCTAATTTGATTTATATAATTTTATATAAAACATAATTTTATTATAAAGCATAATTCTCTCTTCTTGTAATATTTATTTACTTATATTTTACATAATTATATAGATAATGATCATGTAAAGTATCAAGATAAAAGATCAAGATAAAATATAAGTTTAAATTTTCTATATTTTAATGTACTATATTAAAAAGGATAATTCTCTCTTCTCATAATTCTTATCCATAACAGTCTCATTTTCTTTGGACTAGCATTCCAATTTGGCTTGCCTTTGTTTAAAAGGAAACAAAAAAATCCCACTGCCAGATTTCTCTGTTGCAATGAGTCAATAAAATATTACATGTTAATAGTACGTTTATGGGGCTGGTGATTGACTGTGCTCATGTTTGGAAAGTTGTGCCAACCTTTCCTCCTGACATAGGAAAGAAGTCAACTTGATCTGTGTCCTATGGCCTGAGCTAGTTAGAAATGCTGGGTATCTACTTGCATTGAGGACATTGAATTATGTTTAGACAAGACTGCTGTTCTGAATCATTTGGCAAAGAGGTCTGCTTTGCTTTATTGACTGAGGGAATTAAGAGGATTAACTGGCTATGCCTGTTAATTCTATGTTATGTGCATGAAAATGGATGGCGTATATGGAGTAGTTCACGCAGTTAGAATTTTCTCATACTTATGGGCATAAAACAATGATTCAAGCAATGTTATTATAAGTGGTTTTTCTACTAGAAGTAAAATATAACAACTGTTTATGACCCCATGGAGATGTATGTGGATATGCACACAACTTGGCATAACTGTTTTAGGTTGCTTTTTAAAACTGCAAATAGGCCAAATTCTTAGTGAATATTAATGAGTGTAATATCTTTGATTTCAGTGGAGTTTATGTCAGTTCAGAGCATCCTAACATCTCTTCTAGACTTTGGTAAATGGCAACAGCGATTAAATACATTTGTTATTCCCTATATACACACACACATATGTTTAGATTCAGCAATCCTCTTGATCTGCTGCTCTTCCCCATACAGACCCAGCACCTCCAGGTTGGAAAGGCCCTTGCATGGAAGGAGCCACCATTGGTGTCGTGCTGCTGTCTCTCACCAAAGAGCACGTGGATGGCCAGAAGGCTGCTGTTAAAGATCTCAGCCTCACTTTCCACAGAGGTCAGATAACAGCTCTCTTGGGACCTAACGGTGCTGGCAAGACAACAGTTATGTAAGTCTGACATTTAATGCTGTTACACTCCCCTCTGATCCCTGCTACACTTTCTCATTTTAAAATGTTTGTGAACTCTTTCCTATGCCTTTGGTTTTTTTCCAAGTAAATTTTTAATAAACTCCCCAAAGTACATGGAAAGTGAAGGCTATATATCTGTGACAAAAGCAATGTGATGACTAGAGAACTGGGTCTTCTGTGCCACTGAAACCATGTTCAGGAGCAGCTTAAGTAGGAGCTAGGCATGTCTAATTGTGGAGTTGAACACATCTCAGGAAAGGGTTCTTTTCTGTCATCCCGTGTGTACTCCTATCACTAGGAGAGCATGGAGTTTTACTGGGCTTTGTGCCTTCTTCCTAGAGGCTGCAAGGGACTCCATTCTTGCCAGTTGAACAGAAATAAAAATAACAAAATGAAAATGACATTTAAAAATGCTTCGGTTAAGAAGTCTATGTATTTCTACCTTTGTCTTAAATATCATCAGCTTTAATAAGACCAGCAATGCAGGATGGGACCCAATTAGGAATTACTCCTCAACTAGAATACACACGTGAAAAACAAAACAATGGTCTGTTATGTTTGGTTGGGAAAAAATGGATTTTGTTCTAGAAGTCAGGAAATGAAGGATTGTTGAGATCTTGGTTTAAAAAAAAAAGCCCAAATCATTAGTGGTGTTTCTATGACTATGCTCAATTTAATTGCTGTTGCTTTAAGGATGCTAGGACTTGCCTCAGGAAATCCAAGTGTGAGCTATGTAATACAGTTATTACACATGATCTTGATTTTCTTTCTTAATTTTTTTATTTTCTTGTATCAGATCACTGTTGACTGGTCAGTACCCCCCGAGCTCTGGTACCATTATTGTTAATGGAAAGGACATACGTACTGATCTGGCTGCCATCAGGACAGAGCTGGGTGTTTGCCCACAGTATGATGTCCTGTTCAACATACTAACGGTGCGAGAACATCTGCTGCTTTATGGATCAGTGAAGGCACCTGGCTGGACAAAGGAACAGTTGAATCAGTATGTCAGTGGGTAAGTTTTCCTTGAATTTGTTGAAATCTGTCAAGTAAATCACTAGTGTCTATTGTAAACCACTCGAACAAGAAAGTGCTAAATCAAAATTGCAAGTAGAAGTAAATGGAAACTGCAGGTTTTCCATGAGTTTTTATCACACTTCACGTTCTGAAATCGTGCCTTGAAAATAGATTTCTTAGTTTCTAACCTTTACTTGAATGCATTTGTAGTGAAACTGACAATGTTTAAAAACCTGGTAAACAGAACCATCACATAATCATGTTTTGCCTGGAGTGGAGATGGTTAGCCTGGTAGCAGCTCTAGTGGTTCCTGCCTCATGCTGTCTGCATTACCTCCCTTCTTGCTGGAGAGGCAGATAGAAAGTAAACTGCTGTGCATTCACCCTGAGTTTTCAGATAAGTCAACACTGACTTTATGTGTTTATTATCCTGTTTTCCCTCACCTGCAGTAGTGGAAAGAGGCAGAAAAGGCAGGTAAAAGCAGTGCTTGTTACAGTCTTTTTAAATAGGCCACCATATTTTTTCATTGTCAAACTCAAACTTTAAATGTGTGTAATAAGTGAAGGGGTTTAAAAACAATCAATTCCATGGAAAAAACTGAGTCAGAGCTCTGACATGACCTCAGAGGATTTGCCACTTGCCAGGTTGAGAATGTTTTTGAGTATTTTTAGGCTGCCACTTCTTTGGTATAGGACTACATCTTCATTTTTGCATCATGTATATTAAACTACTAGGAAACTATACAAGGTGAGATCTTATTCACTAATAGGAAACTGCATTTTCTGAACTTCAGGAATAAAATGTATGCTCTTGTAATAGTGTGGCAATGTAAATAGTTTCTATTTACCTTGTGATTCATGCTAGACTGTGTGAAGGGCTGTGCACTTCCACGCTTCAATGGAAATACATGCCAAGTTGATGAGACTTCTCCATAAGTGTACAATTAGGCATATGCGGACACATTTGTGGCAAAGTAGCTTTCATTTTTTGTAGCTATTATAAAAGCCCATTACTTTAGAATTTTGATCTGCAAAGTCTCTGGTGGGGGACACTGCATTTTCTCTAGAAACAACAAAAGCAACTCTCTAGAATAACAAGGACAAACCAAACATAGTGTTTGGTTAAAATTTATGCAAAATAATGACCTGTATTTTATTTGTACTTAGACAGCTGAATTTAAATTTCAGCAGCAGTCTGTCATACTAATGACATGTAAGGATACTCAGGACACTGCAGGCCTTGCTACTAAGAAAAAAATATTTTTTTTAATAGGCGATGAATGCTTTAAAATACTTCAGAGAAATTAGAAAAACAACAAAGCAATGAAACAAAATCTGTTTTTTATTAAGAGGGCTTCTAAAGAGCTTAAGAATAATTTTGCTGGATATGTATCTACACAACAATTACAGAAACCTCTTTTCTTAAAAATGAAAAATTCTCTCAGGGTAAATGGCATGGTCTACAGACTGCATATTCAGTCAAATTATTCTGGCCAGTAGTTTAAGACTGTTGAGCCTTTTATGTCTTGCTTGCCACACTAATAGCAATTGAAAGCTTTTAGGTAAATGTATGGGTGTTCAATGTGATGAAAAATAAACTGATGGTGTCTCAGTGCTGCCTTTATTGAGTATATTTCCTCACACCACTCAGATGCAAGATCATCAGAGGGCAAGGGTGGAATAGGCAATGTCTGTAAGTTATCTCCCAGTCCTTAACACAGGGGTTGGATTAGGTGTATTCCACCTATGGATTTGTAATCTGTTTACAGAAACATGTCTTCAAAGGGAAAAAAAAAAAAGGAAAAAAGAAAAGCAGCAGTGTTACCTGATTTGCTTCACATGACTACACATTTGCTAATAACTCAGGCATTTTTTTAAGGTTTTTTATGTTGTTGCAAAAATTGAAGCAGTGTTTCAGTTATGAAACTAACCGTCTTTACTGTGGTTTAAGAGGGTATAATCTAGAGTTTGCTGAAATCATTGGACAAACTGGTGTTTACTTCATTTGACTTAATTTCAAACTTTTCTGTTCATATCTTGCACAATACTTATCCAGATTTTTTATTCCAGGTGGTAATGACCGCTTATACTTTGTATGAATGGAGATCATTTTATTTTAGTAGTTTTTGTCACCAAATTATATAAGCAGTTATAGGTAGTATTTTTTTCACTTTCCGTTTACAGTGACTGTTCAGTAATTCTCCTCTGAGTGAACGTGATGTGACTGGAAAAACTTTTTCCAGATTGGTCCTGTTTCTCCTATTTCAGAGCCCTGGAAGATGTGGATTTATCCCAACATCAGTATAAACCTGTTGGAGCCCTTTCTGGGGGGTTGAAAAGGAGGCTGTCAATTGCCATCTCGTTTATTGGAAATTCCAAGACAGTTGTTCTAGATGAGCCCACCAGTGGAGTAGATCCATGTTCTCGCCGTAGCATCTGGGATGTTCTTCTGAAGTACAAAGCTGGTACAAAGCTTATACACATAAATTGCTGCTAATTTTCTTTTCTGGAATTCCGTTTCAATAAATTTAAATAAGATAGTCAGAACGTTAGTATGGCGATTCAGTAACTAAATGCATTAATTTCAGAGGTAATATTTTATCAAATTTAGGAAACTTTAAAGCAGCCAAATGAGAATACAAGAATTATCTGCTATCTCACAGAGAGATGCCCAGTCCAACAGAAGATTGAATTTAGTTCTGAGTCCTGTCCTGAAGATTCTCTTCTGTTATCTTTTTTGTTAGCATCTCAAAATTATTTTCTGGTTTTCATTTCCCGTTTTGCACATATCTGTATATAGATGCATATATATGTCTAATGAAAATGGACTCATCAGTCAGTGTGCTACATTAATTTTTTAAGTACCATTAGGTTAAAAACTTATTGTGGGAAGCAAATTCTTCAGACAGTGAGCACTCAATTAGCTGTAATATCTCGCAGTGAATGATCCATTGAAATAGACACTGTTGTTACATGGTTTTAAGGACTCTCTTAAGCTCTTAAAAAAGCTTGAAGTTGTAATGTTTTCATACTGCTTACTATGTATGATACAAGACAAAGCAAGTTTAGACCTGAATGTAACTCAGACTATAAATATGAATGCAGGTTTTGTTTGTGTTTGGCAGTTGTGCTTTGAAGGGACCTGAAAGATGTTCCCTTAAGGTTAAAGGACCCTTGTGAAAGCAAGATGCATTTCTCTAGAAACCAGGTTTTGTAGATGTGTACCACTCTTTCTGATGCAGGTTGCACACTGATCTTTACCACTCATCATCTTGATGAGGCAGAGGTGCTCAGTGATCGCATTGCCATCCTGCAGCGTGGCCAGCTGAGGTGCTGTGGTTCTCCCTCTTATCTAAGAGAAACATATGGCCAGGGACACAGTCTAACACTCATAAAAAAGGTATAGTAAAAATGTACTGTACAGAACCTAACAGTGCCTGCTAAGGCACCTGTGTATATTCTCAGGGAGCTGCATGTCCCTGACAGGAACTAATATATGATATAGATTATTAGAGAGCTAGCAAAACATGTTTTTATCAGCTTTCTTGGTTGTTTTGGGTGGTTGGTATTATTATTATTAATTAGAAGAACAAAATGACATCTTTGATGAATTTCAATACTTAGCTGAAAAGGGCTTTCTCGCTGTTCTTTATTCCTGGGAAGCAGTGTCTGCGTTCCCAGCTTTGGTGCAGTTTCATTAGTGGAAATTTTCTTGTATGAATTGTATCAAGCCGCTTACTTCTGGTAACATTTAATTTTCGTGATTATCTTTCTTTCCTCATAGCCCTCTATGTTTGAAATCCAGGATCCTAAGCATATTTTTCGAGTCACATCTTTGGTACAGACCCACATCCCAGAAGCCTTCTTGAAAGAGAACAATGGGACTGAGCTGACATATGTGATTCCAGAAGGGGCAGATAAGACCTCATTTAAAGGTCTTTTCCAGGCTTTAGACCAAAGCCTTCATCATCTACATGTGACTGGCTATGGCATTTCTGACACTACCTTGGAAGAGGTATTTCTAATTTTTCTGCATAATGGCATTTTTCTTTGTTAGAGAATCCTGTATTAGCTTCCAGCTACTCTTATTGTATCTTTCATAATTCACAACAGTTTTTTGCAAGAAGCAGGTTTTCTTAAAAGAAAAAAAAGTCAACTTGGGCAAAAAAAATATACTTTTTCTGTACCGTTAATTTCAGCACCCACTCTACTTCAACTCATTTCTGATTTAAAGGATCTGATGTGAAGAGTGAGGAATTGTGTTACTCTTAAATCTTTGTTTCTACATTTACTTAAGGAAAATTTAATGTGTCATTGGCTTAATGAGAACCATTGTTGTCGTCCTGGATCTTTAGCACTGGAATGAGCTTGGAATTTGCAAGGCTGGAGGTTCAGTTCAAGTAGCTCTTGGGATAGAAAAAAATTTGCTGAGAATACTCTCTGACTTAAAAAGTTCTAAAGCTAAGGGCTTAGCAAAACTGTGTGGGGAAATCTCTAAAGAGTATTTTGTGTGTATACCGAGAGAGAGACAGACAGACACGCATATATATACACATATATCTCTGTGTGTGTATTCCAAACAGACCAGAGGAAGAGAGTCTGTTATGCTGCTTCATCACTTCTGAATTTAGCTCTGCGTAAATAACCACGTTGATGAGAAGTTATTTTCCTTCGACTGTTTTTAACCTGACTATAACTTCTAAATATCAAGATTCCCTAAACCACCACTGTTCAAGTTCTGTATTATAGATACTTTTGAAAATATATTTTTTTTCCACTTCTTCAAGTGATGACAGGAGATGGACATCAGTATTTTTTGATGCACGAAACACATCTATTTTTATTTGATGGCACAATTCATTCAGTAGCACTTTGTGAAACTGATTTCTCCAGTGATTACCTATAGTGTTAAAGACAGGCAAGGTTGGACTGTTTTCTAACAGAAAATTTATGTTAGAAAAAAATCCCACAAAAATAATGAAATGCAGATTCCTGTAGAGTGATATTTTTTTATATACAGCAATAAATACTTAATATAGAAAAGGGTTTTTTCCCTTCTCTATCTGTTCCTTGGAAATGTATGAAATGATATGATGTGGTACTGTGGTCAGCTGGAATATAAAATAGCCCAGGGAAGATGCCTGGTGTTATGAAGATGATACATTTTAATGCCTGTCAGACATCACTTGTGCATTGTATTTTTGCTGTGTGAGATATATATATGGGAATTAATGGGGTCAGGTATTTGAAACTGCATCAGCAGTTTTGGGTTTATTTTGCAAGTTTAGAATTGTTCATTTTACATAATCTGTGGAAAAAATATAAAAGAACCCCAATACTGCAAGTAAACCTAAAATGACAATTGTTATGGAATTTATTGAACACCACGACATGGAGCTCCTGTATCCTGAAGTGGTCCACTGGGAGACATCTTTAGAACTATATTGAATTGCTACATAGGTTTTTAGGACTCTGCACAAGCATAACAGATCCGGTTTTGCATATTTGTTTTTAAACTGCAGTCCAAAGAATGATCTACCAGCAAATATGTGATTTCCTTTGAAGTTAAGCTCTATATAACCAAGTTATTTATAAATTAAAATAAACACCAAAACATCTTTTTAGCGTTTCTCTTACAAATGCCCACAATACATAAAGGTAGTGTGGCAAGCATTTGCTATGACAATGGCGGGGGGAGGAGAAGGAAGGAAGAAAAAGTAAAATTTACAAGTTTAATAAACACTTTACATAATGCTACAAAATAAATACATTCCTGATATACAATTCTATAAGGCAAGTCAAAAGCTTATTGAAAGATTGTTATTTTCTTTCAAATTATATAGGGTGATTAATTTGCTATAAGAAAGAATACTGTTCACTGCCAAACTTTATAAATTCCAAGGTAATGTATATTTTGAGAACTTATTTTTTTATTTCGTCCCTGTGGGACATCATAGGACTTTCCAGAACTGGCATCTGTAAAGTAAATGTGAATTTTTCATGGAATAAGAGGAAGCTTCCTCAGTGTGCTGCATCTCTTAGTCAGTTGAGAGCTTGCTTTTTTGTTGCTTTCTGCAGGTTAAAAACAGCTTTAAAGGTGGTATTAGATATTGATGCATCCTTATTTAGCTTGAAGACTTAATGCATTAATTTGGGGTGATTTCTGTCATCTCTGCATCTCATCATTAGCCGTTGTTGCAACCTCAATTCTCCATTTTCTTATCAAAAGCCTCTTTGCATTGGCAACTAAATGGATAGCACATAATAGTGCTATTTAGTCTATTCAAACAATTCAATCTGGAAACAAAAAACTCTGACTTTAAAGGAAAAATGTGCTATAATTTTTATTTTATCCTTTCTTTTTGTTCTTTCACACACTCACCATTATTCCTTTTCAGTCTGAGGGATGCTTACACTCTAAAAATTTTACTCTTCAAGGGAAACCGGGCTTCCATTCATACTTCAAAGCAATTTTGAAGTTCTAACAAAATCAGTTTCTGACACTTTCAAATCTCACTAATATTATATTTGCTTCATATTTGGTTTTAAATATCTTTTCTAACCATTTTTATTTGTGAACTTTATAACGCTTGTAATCCAAAGAGTGTTAGCAGAACCAAAAGAAGGATAGAAAGATGAACTAAATTCAGTGTATACTGAGAGCTCTCTGGAGGATGATGTTTAATTTTTTGGCAACTCTGGAGGTTTCAAAGCTTATTGCTTTCATGCTTTGCCTTGAGAAAAGAACAAAACCAATATAATATCTCTGCAAAGTAAGATGTGTCAAAATATCTGTTAATGGTGTACTACTTCAAGTTATCTTCCTTGAAATGACCAAAGAGTTTTTCCCGAAACTTTCCAGAGAAAAGTTGAAATATTTTATCCTTAAAACATTTATATAGCTTCTAGTGGGATTCAATTTTATTGAGAGTGCTCTAACAACAACTAATCCTAATTCCATGTGATCCTTACTTTTCAGGGACCTTTATATGGCTTTTTAATTACTTAATACATTACCACTAGAATTTTGACTACTCTTTTTGAAGCGATTCAAGCAATTAATACATTCCCACTGCAAAATACCTAGGATACACATGAAATTTGTGGGATAAGAGGGCCCAGAAATGTTACTAAAATATCAGTCAGTGGTTTTAGATTATAAAGGACTGTCTATAGGTGTTGGTTGTTTATCCTTTTATTCCCTACTTCACTTTCTCTCTCTTTCATTCAGTTTTGGTTTTTGCACTTTTTCCTTTTGGGTGAAGATGCGTTTTAGGATGATAACTAAGGTGTGAGGGGGTCCCCATGCTTGGCAGTGAAGTGTCAAGGATACAGTGCCACCGTAGGATACGGTGTCAAGGATATCCAGTGTAAAGGATACTGTGCCAAACTTCCTTTTCAATAATTTTACTTTTCAATTAAGCCTCTTCTAACTCCTGCGCTCTCTGAAATTTACAGTATATTTATTTTAGACAGTCTGCTTCTATCAGTGGTAATGCCTGATGTTTATAGTTTTAACAAGGAACGGTACGCAGAGAGGCTCCTGCTTATACTTACTGCTATAATAGTGAAGGTCAGCTTGCGTTTTTATGCACCAAAATGGAGGGCTGGAAACAGAAAAGATAGAGGGGTTGCACCTGTGTGGAGGAGCAGACAGGACAGGTGAGCCAAAACTGACCAACGGGTATTTCATCCCATCTGCATCATGCTCAGTATAAAAGCTGAGGGATCAAAGTGGTCAACCCTCTTCTTCAATGGCCAGTGTCCGAGGAGGACTCTGAACATTCTTCTGCCTTTGATCCCAATTCATGTGTTCCTGAATTCAGTTCTTGAATTCAATTCCTGTCTACCCCTGTATCCGATCCCAGTGCTTACCCGTGAGACAATCATCATCCTGGGAGCTTAATATCAGTTTTGTATATATATATATATTTCATTATTATCTTATTATTATCTTATCTTTTTATTGTTATTATTTCATTATAGATGTTTTAGGTTTTTTTTCAACCCATAAGTCTCTCTCCCTTGTTTTGTCTCCCTTCCACTTCTGGGACAGAGTTAATTGGAGCCTAATGTGGGGCCCTAAGCAATGACAAGCCTTTTAACAGTCTCCTGTTTAATTTATTCGAAGGTTTGTTGCTCAAGGTTTAGGTTGTGCTGGCTACTAAATGAATGATAGATGCTCTCTATTAACCCCTCTCCATTCCCAGAAGGGTAAGGTCTTGCTTATACTTATTGCTTATTCCCAGAAGGAATATCTGGGAAGAAAATGTCTGTCTGTGACTCCAGCAGGAATTTTGACACTTAACTGAGTATATGCAGGCAACGTATTGTAGTGTAGCCTTCATCCTAGCCAGAGAGAGAGCAGTTCCTTTGTGGTTTTAGTCAATTCAATTTAGTTTTGTTTGCTTGACAGAACTGGTGAGCAGAGGAGCCATCAGCAAGCAGGTCCAAGGCAACAAATTAGAATGTGGCTTTGGGCAGTGGGGATCTCCCTCCAGAGTCTAATACAGAAATGTCAGGAGGTATTAATTTTTTCTGGCCTTGCAGTTGTTAATGGCCAAAAGTGTTCCCTTAAAGTTCGCAGGTAAGACGTGCAATCAATAACCACTGTTAAATGGCAACCGTATTGACTAAGCAAAACATGGTTTATGTAACAGTCAGACCTTAGCAAGTCAAGAGATATCTTTCCACAACTATAAAGAACTTCAAATTGACTGTTTTTTATTGACTATCATATGAGCTCCTTGGGAAAAAGGAATTTTTTTTTTGTTGTAGCTGATACCAGGCTCTTTTGTGGGAAGAAATAAATACTTTTTTAATGATTTCTGAAAGTCGCTCTGTGGTTATAATCTAAGTCTTTTTTAAGCTCAACCCAAACAGAGAAGAGAAAGCAAGAGAAGGCTTTCATGAAGAGAAAACAACACTTGGTTGTACTTTTGCTGTTCAATTAGGGATGTTCATGGTAGCTGTATTTTCTGTTAATTTTTTCTTTTCTTTCTTCTTTTCCGAAGTTCCTAGATCACTGATTAAATTGCAGTTCAGGTTAAGA